AACTTAATACATATTATGTAGTTGGTTATGGCAAAGAAAGGGACTGTACAAATTTCTTTTGAACTCACAGATTTGGCTTGTTCAGATGAATTCTGATTCCCTCTGCTGTATGTAAAAGTCGTACTCGCAGACCATGTGAGAGGTTGGGTGATATACAATAAATAACTATAAAAGCTTTATTAGAATCAAATTGATGTCCAGTATCGACGAGATCAGCTAGTAATGAGCTGCGTATAACTTTATTCGAACCTTTACTAAATGCTGATGGCAGGTGTTCAGAAATTCAACGATGGACTTCCCTGATCGTACGCCAAATGTAACTAGCTCCACACAGGCAGTTAAACTGGTAAATACACATGGAAGGGGCGAAACAGGGCAGTCTGTATTTCTTGAACTAGATATTGGTCAACTAGTGAATACACAGCATAGCTTAACTGTGTTGAAAGTTCTTTTGAAGGCCCTTCTCGCTATTGACATCACCCATGAATTGTAATCTTAGGAAGACATTTTACTTTCTGAGTTCTTGTGTTTGTTTACGAATTTAGTTGGATATCCGCTTCTACTTAGTAGATTACGAATATTACCGAGTTTTTTGTTCAGCGTCTCATTTAAAAGTTAGTCCATAGAATTGTTTGTATCAACATTAAGTACCTACATGTAGGACTGTAAGTTTAACTAGTATTGAAAAACTATCTAATTAATGTCCTGATGTGGAATTTATCAACTCGGTACACTATGAGAAATGCAGTTACATGTTTAGCTGGGACAGTTTCACAAGGATCTAATCAAGAAAACTTGCACGCTATTTGTTTTTAATCCACTTTTGATTTTCCTGTTTATTGATTGGACCAAAATGATCGGCTTTTGTTGACATGTCGGCTCGGCTTCCAGTACGGAAGCTTCGACAATGACTGAGGATTAACTTGAAGTAATTTGGTGAATGGTGATTAGCGGTGGATTACTTGAACTTAATTCCCAGATATCATCGAAGCGGCCGTACTAGGATGCGACATGTCGACAGAGGCCGAACATTTTGGTCCAACCAATCAAGAAGAAAATCAAAATCGCAATAAAATAATAATAACTGGTGCCCTTTGCGTAAGAGTTGGCTCTCATGGATGCAAGTGGTCTAGTGGATAACTTCTTGGAGTTTGAAGCGTTGGTTACTGCCTTCGAGTTTCAGTGGGAATAGCATCACTGACTGGGGAATGCAGGTATTTCTAGATGACAACTCTCAAATAAGGTGATGCACCTCATCTGCACAAATGAATTTGAAAAAAGTAACTGAGAAAACTTTCGTGAAAATTTCGGGGAGAAAATATTATTTATATCATTCGTCGGTTGAATTCCGATTGGGACATGAGCCTTCGGTGACCCATCTCTACTGTATTGTTTGCTCTAACGTCTATTTTAGCTGGCTACACGACTGCCTATAAGCTTCCACTTCTATTTCATATGCTCCTTTGCATGTCAACTTCAGACGACCAGCTCGTCGTTAACCGTTATGGTTTCACTTGAAGGCCTGATACATGGTGTCACACAGTTGTTTTCTCTGAGTATGTCAAATCAGTCTCTGTTTCTTTCGGCATTCATGTTTCGTTAAAAGTTGTTAACTGGTTCTTTACCTGCCAGAGTTCCTTACTGTTTATCCTCTCTGGCCATCTGATCTTCAGAATGGAATGAAGGCAGCTGTTTAAAAGAATCTGCAGTAGCCTGTTGGAAATGCTTTTCGTGAGGCGAGCAGCAAGTCTGTGAACTACATCGAAGCACTGAATGCACATTCGGATCTTGTTCCTTATATCGAGTGCAGTAGGTTTCCACACCGCTTTCAGATTAATGAATGTTTGTTTTGCCTTTCCGATACAATTCTGGCTGACTTCGACATGCTCATTTGTATCGGCCTGTAGTTGAAAGGATACTTTCCAGATACTAAAAGAGGTCACTTCCATCAGCTTCCTCGTATAAATGGAGGTTGGTGTTTATTGTTGTTGATTTAATATCTTGATCACTTTTGTCTTCTCTATATTCACTTGAAGTCCTGTCTTCACTTGCTTCTTCTTCCAACCTGTTAGATTTCGCCTGTAAATCTTCGATTTTGTGCAACATTTAGCATAAATCATCCGCGAAGTCCAGAACTTCTAGAGTCTTTTCTCAGTCCAATATAAACTCGTCGTCTCGCTCCTCACACCTTTACATACTTACAGCATGATAAGAAGGAACGAACTCAAAACAACAGGTCATAAATATTCAAGGTTGTTAAGCAATCTAGTGAAGTTGAACTGACCAGTAAACTGAAACTTTTGTAAATGAAAACGTTGATTAGAAGAACAGCTGACTTTGAATATTCACATTTCAAGTTACAGGTCTTTGACGCGAATTCCAAAGCTAATTAAGTATAATAGTTTGAAACCTGTCGTTTATAGGCTTATAGTTAGTTGAGTATGACTAGTATATCAGGAAATCCTGAAGAGAAAAAAAGATGGACTCGATGCAGAACTCAGCCCACCAAAACAAGCTGGATTTAGGAAAGACAAATAATATGCAGATGAAATTGCAACTCCGCGCATCGTCATCACAGATCAAAGCATAGAATGGCAGTCAAACCTCTACCTCAATTTCATCAACTTTTAAAGAACCCTCGACAGACCGTGTTGAGTGAGAAGTAATTTGGAAACTGCTTCAACACTATGGCGTGCAGTGTCCCAAAGTCTTTATCAACTTCATTCAACAACTGGCTGTATGACAATGCCACGTGTCAGGTGATCCACAATGGAAAACTCAACGAAGCCTTTGCAGTGAATACAGGAATAAGACAAGGCTGACTGCCTAATATCACCTGTGCTATTCTTAATTGTGGTGGACTGCATTATGCATTAGACTGTGTGTGGGGAGCGAGAAGACAGGAGTACGCTGGGCCACTGATAAGAAGACTCTAGAAGATCTGGATTTCACGCGTTCATGATTTATGTTTGATGTCACACAAGCTTGAAAATTTGCAGGCGAAAACCAAGAAACTGACTGAAGAAAGAGCGAAGGTATGTCTCCAGGTGAACATAGAGAAAATGAAGTGATTAAGTAACCCACCAACAGCACCAACAAGCACAAATCACCATTAGTGGAAGAGATTTGGCAAAGGTTACTTCCTTCACTTACTCGGTTTCAACCAGAGACCGGCGGGCTGCAGTCCTCTAAGCGACTTTCAATTGTCTCTGAAACTGCTATTAATCATCATCAATAGACGTTAGAACACATCACAGTGACATGAGCATTTTAAGTACTTATTACTCCACTATGGATTAAAATTTTATTTTGATAAAATCATACCATTTATGCGGTAATATTTACTGAGCACAAATTATTGCTCATAATAATATCATAACATACGGTGGAGATATGTGGATGACACTTTCACACACAGTGTTAAAAACAGAACACACCTCTGGTTTCTTCACATATATAAGCTCACTCACTAGTAAAGGGAATAAAATTTACATTTGAATGAGAAAATGAACAAGGAGAATTAACTGTGATGTTAGATTGTAAAATGAAACGAACAGAAGAAGGTAAACTGAATGCACTGTACACTAGCGTTTATAAAAATCCAAAGCATTCTGCTAATAGCTATTTAGACTTTAATTAAAAACCTAAACGATGGAATGTAACAGATAGAAGAATAGCTGGTTGGTGTTAAATAACTATCCTATAAAATAAATTCATCGGGAAGATGAGAAAAGGTGAAAAGCAAAATAAAAATAATGGTGAAACTAATAATAGTAACATAAATGAGGAAGAGTATGAGGCATCTACAGTAGTTTTACCATACAAGGAGGGGACATCTGAGGTCCTACGTAGGATTCTCAATAAAGTGGGAATGTGGGTGGCATTTAAACCAACAAACTCACTACTCAGGGACAAGCTCTATAGGCTAAAGGATCCTGTAGGTTGACCCAATTAAACAAAATTATATAAAATTTACAGAATACCTCGTAATGACTGGGAGTTCAGTCAACTACATAGGTCAGACTAATAGATCAGGAGTAGTGAGATTATCAGAACATAAGAATTTAGCTAAGGTTGGGATGATTGATCCCACAAAGATAAGTAATTTAGAGATAACTCAGTTCTGCATTGCACTGCATGCATTGATACAAAACCACACAATAGGCTGGGTGGGACAGAGTCAAAATTCTAAAGAGTAATATGGGTAGGTGGAGAGAGAGATTGATATTGAATCAAGGTTCATTGAATAGTCTACACCCAACACGTGCAACAGGAATGATTCAATGCAAATACCAGAGATATGTATGGAAGATATTATTAGTACCAGTCAAATCACAGGATAATAAATAATGTTAAAATGTATTCAATCCACATTCTAACAAGTTACTTACTTTTACATAAAAACATTTTATTTCCCATCTTAATGTATTTTATTGATAACACTAATATTATTTCCGAATGTATTTATATTGATTTTATTCAAATGTCTAATGAAGTTTTACTCATGTATATACACGAAGCAAGAAAGTTGTGTTAGTGAGTAGCTTGATATGATTATGAGCAGTAATAATTTGTGCTCGAAACGTGATCATCAGTAAATATTACTGTATAACACTGTGTGATTTATCAAAATCAAATTTTATGCATAATGGAGTTATGCTCTACCACAGTGCCTAAGTTTGATGCTTATATCAATATATATATATATATATAGTTATATTAAGTATTTATTATATTTAAAATGTGTTAGCGTAATAAATTCATTCAGATAAATAAAAAGTAGTCCTTATAGAAAAATTTATTATTTTTTCCAACAGAAAAATGTCTTTAACTGAAATGTGGAATTTTGTTTCACAAATTTTTTTGCTTTGTCCTTTTTTTTAAAGAAAAATTATACAAATTTAAATAAAAAGCAGAGATATAATTCAGAGAAATCGAAATGAAAAATTTCGCTCAAACATCATGTAAAAATCCTGGATTAATTTTATGCTTGTCTGTATTTATCGAAAATTCAGAATTTTCGACTCAGCTTGTATTTTTGCACAAGTTGTACATATTAACATACCACCGAATCGTACTAAACTTTCTTTTCGAGTATACTCTGGAGTAGAAAGATTATTATCGCCTAAAAAATATTGTGAATTTATACTGATTGATTCAGATAAAGAATTTAATTTCACAGAATTTATTTCTTCATCAACCTGTTTGTTCTCATGAATACTGTCATCATCAGTGTCACTGATATCGTCATTCTCCTTCTTTGATATTTCTGATTCATTGTTATAGACAAAACTTTTTTCATTTGTACATGGATCACCACATATTGCACAAGCTGGTCGATAATTATTATTCTCTAAATTTGTACGAATTAAACAAGAACGATATTGAATTAAATCTATCTCTTTAATTTGACCAAATGAACTTTTGTCTTCTGTTTTTCTTGAGTAAAATGGTAAACCAATCAGATCGAGTTCATTTGTATCACTTTTTAAAATTTTAGTGTTTCCCGCTGCTATACTGATTGGAATAATTTGTAGGCCAACTAAACGAGGAAAATGAAGATATTTAACATTGCAGTAGTACTGATGAATCGGTCTATGCATATTATAACATTTTGTACTGGTGAAAATAGGAAAACAAGTAGAAAACAGAGTAATAATACCAGCATATATATATATATGTAAAGTGGTTTGATCATAAGTTGACACTAGTTAGAGAACCACTGGAAAGTCAAGGAGTACTGAGCAGCTGCTTCGTCCTGTTTTGGGACTCTTCATTGGTATGCAGCCACTGGCGTTCAGAGCCAGGACCTTCCTGTTACAAGCCGAGCTCTTAGACCATTCGGCCACTGGGACCCTATGCGATTGCCCATGAATTCCAAATTCTACCAATTCGCGATATTTATGGCGCAACTGACAGCCAATATCATAGGCCAGTAAATGTTCTCTTACTCAGTGGGTGGGTACTCCTGAAGGACCCCAAACTAGGACGAAACATCTGTCCAGTACTCCGTGATGGTTTCCAGTGGTTTTCTAACCGATGTCAACTCGTGATGAAACCTGTAACCAATGAAATTCCTGCAAACCAACACTTAATATGTATATGTGTTTCATTCCTTCAGGAGTGAGTCAGCCGGGTACTGAACCCAGAACTTATGCATGGCTGGCAAACACTCTGCCATTGAACCACCGATGCATATGCAGACATTACGGAAGCAGTTCAATGAAAATAAAATCAAGTCCCTACACAATATCTCTTGAAAATTAATCTGATGCTTGTTAGTAACTCGCTACACGACGAAGTTACGTGGAGTTCCAGTGAAAAGTCGTGACCAATCAGGTCCACTATGTCGGGCGTGAGAATAAATACCCACCGGTGAAATCGGCTGGTGGTCGCGCTGAAATTACGAATTGGTAGAAGTTGGAATTCATGGGCCATTGAAATAGGTCCCAGTGGTTTGATGGTCTACGAGCTTGATCTGTAGACGGAATGTCCTGGGTTAAAATTCCGGTGGGTGTGTACTACCAATGAGTCCCAAACTAGCACGGAATATCTATCCAGTAATCCTTAGTTTTCCAGTGGTAACTTTGTAACTCTGATGTCATCTTGTAAATAAACTTGAAAAGAAAATATTTCTCCTCTTTACGAAGAAATCAACCAACCTACGCAACTGCATTTACAGTTATCGTACAGAAAAACGAGTTCATTTGCAAACATTAGATAGACAGGGAGTTATGTGCATGTTACTACAGAAGGGAATCAAGATTTGAGGAGAGATTTCAACAAAGTTATATCAAGGTGTGAAATATGACACAAGTAATTATAACAAACACAGAACTCGACAAGGCATAAATAGCCCCTGGATGCGAACTAATAATATCTCAGTGTCAGTTGACAGATACAAAAAGGTGAAGAAAGGAAGGCATATACTGGTGGTAATAATATTAGAGAAGCAGTAAAACTGAGCAATAAACCTACTAATTCAGAACAGGGAAAATTATTCTTCACTGTTGAAGTACCAATGCCTATGTTGTGCAAAATCTACGGTAAATAAATCTATTTGTTTGATAACTAAAAGTTCAAATGACAAGCTACTAATTGACATTCTTAGAAAACGAGCAGAGTAATTACCTAAAGTAGTTTGGAAAATCTGCAACTGTGTAATAGAAACAACTAACTTCACATTTAAATATGAAGTTGTAATGTGATGTGATGCAAATTGATAGGAAGCGGTCAAAACTGACATCAACATTTTATGTTGCAGTGGAAGAGGTAGATTACTCCTCAAATGTGGACTTAATTTACGTTCTAGACATGAAATAACCCTCATCGGACAACTGTGTTTAACCTTGGATCAATTGCCAAACAATTGGAACAACTTATTCTCCTCTGACCTAGCCGAACCTTAATGTAGCTAAGAATGTACAAATGAGATGCATTTTCCCCGAATAAAGGTCGGTTACCAAGTTTCTCAACTTCTCTCGTTACATTGATACAAACTAAGGTGATTCAAATATAGAAGCTGTTCTCGATACACTATCATTTCATTCTATAGTTGGTGAAAATATTCTGCAGGCCTCTAGTTCTACTAGTGGAGTCAAACTTTATGAAAAGGATTTTCTTTGGGACTGTGGGAAGCGGTCATTTACCTTGCACTGGTTTTGATTTTTGTATAAATATTTCCTGAAAACTCTTAATTTAGTTTGGAACAGCTTACTATGTTTAACTTAGTTGAGTAAATGACACTTCAAATGTCTGTCATTAGGTGGTTGGAAGCAGTTGGCAGGAAGCACTACCTAGACCTAGATTTCGTGCTTGTTGGCACCCCACCAATCAGCAAGGCGTATGTATCTGTAATCTTGAAGAAACTCATGTCACTTCTGATACTCAAACGCATGTCATTCATTGCTGCAATCAAAGAGATTACCACTAAGCTATCAGGGCTTTAATTGACCTCCAATAGGACTATATTAGATATTTTGATTAAAAACTAGGTAGTAAGCAAGTAATTTCATGCATCTAGTCCTTTGTTTGGTGCAAACTGAATTCTATCAGCCAGCTTTACAATGTGGTCACCATGGTAGGTGACTCGCCATCCAACTGCAGCTCTAAGTGACACGGGTCCGAATCCCAGAGGGGATATGAGTTCCTTCAAGGTTGCAAAAACTCCTTGCTGACGAGTACCAACAGGTACAAAACCTAGGTCTTGACAGGGCTTCCTGCTGACTGCCTTCAATCATCTAATAACAACAGTTCAGAATACATTGTGGCCAAATTACACACTTGACTGACAGAACTCAGTTTGTACCAAACGAAGGACTAGACGCATTACACTAGTTACTTACTACCCAGTATCCAATCGAAGTATTTCAGATGTCTCTTCCTTCTCAAAAAGGCACAGTTTTGAAGATGCGTATACTGTACATTTGAGTCTGGCTTCAGATAGATTGTCTTTTAAAGTAAGTCATTTAGTCAATTCCTAAGCAAAATGCTTAAAATATATAACTTAGAGTTTTTTCACATTCTAATGTAGACTTTATTAAATGATGGCAACTATTATACTTCCGATCTATGATCGAACAATCATTATTTTCATCAAAAATGATAAATGTACTATCGAAATATCTGCTATAAAATGAAAAGGTTTTTACAATCACTGTCTTCCACCTATGCCGTTAAATATCCAGCCTGCTTATAAAAATAAACTTATCTATGAACTTAATGATTTTCACATAAAAAGAATAACTAATTACTAGTAAGAAACTGTACAGTCTATTTCAAGTTTGATCTCAGATTGAAATCATTTAGAAAATCATTCAAAACTAAGGAGTACTGGACAACCGTTTCGTCCCAGTTTGGGACTCTTCAGCTCTGACATATCCACGCCCTCCATTGAGGATCGAATCCAGGACCTTCATGTAATAATTTGTCTTGAAAAAGTTTATATATGCAGTAGAAGGACAATCTCCAAACACTTTGGAATTCATAAAAAAAGCGAAGTAAATTAGATTTTCTTCAGAAAAACGCTAGTCAGGTAACAATAAATGTGATATTCTTGAAAGGTAAACAAGTTATGTTTTTTTATCTAACCTGCAGTAAGCAGCCCAATTACACCGAAGACAAACATAAAATGTATGATAACCGCAAACGCAGCACTCTTGTGATCCTCCTTCAAATGAATCCTTTTCATCATTTTGTAGTAAAAGTGTATACCTATTAAGCTTCACTAATCCTTCACCGGATTCCATGTTTGTACTGCTTTTCTTGTTTACTTCATTGCATACAACTTCTGAGTTAGATTGTAGACGACTATCGATTAGATTCATACCACCATCAGTCATCTAATATAAGAAATTTTAGAAAAGTTCACCAATTAGGACGAATAATATCAGAAGAAACCATCAGAACACAACACTGAACGTTACCAAACATTCAAATGCACTGTCGATTAATTTCCCTGAAGAAGTTCGGACCAGATTGCCGAACGAAACGTTGGAATTACTCATTTCAATCTCGCTGAGATTTTACAAATATAATTTTTTACAAATGTTTACCAAACATTCATATTTCGAAATTCCACTATACGAATCATGAATAGCTATGAAAGGAAAAAGAAAACGTGAGCTTTAGAAGCACTATCAATTGCTAGCTTTTGCTTCATGAAATAATAAGTACCACATTTTCTGACATTTTCGTCACTTATTTAACTAAATAAATAAATACATAAATGACATCGTTTATGGATAAAAAATATTAATAGTCAGTTCAATTCCCCTAACAAATAACATAGATCCTGAAGTCGAACTTTACAAGTATATATATATATATTTCATTCGTAGTGCTTCAAGATTTTGACCTTACAGTAGGGATAGGGCTGCTGGCTTCACGTCCAACGTTCCCTCTTTTCCGGACTCACTGTCGACTAATAAGCTAGGCGAGGTTTAGCAGTACATCGGCCAGGAATAGAAGTCCAGACCATGTACGAGGTTGGCGAGCATTCTACCACTGAACTACCGATGTATATATATACAGAGCAGTCTGTTATATTAATTCTATTACCAGTTCTTCAGTTCCAGTGGACTGTGCCTCTACAAACGAATAGTATTTCCTGCAATCTAAATTATATTTTTATCTTCAAGGAATCTAGCGTAATTATTTTCATCCTCTCTCAGAAGCATTGTCATCAGTGATTGGAAAATTATCACGTCGACTTTCGGTTTTAGCAAAGAAAATCTTAATTCAGACTAAACGATTTGTAGGGAATTGGGTTAGCTTAATTTCAGCTGTTAGATTTCATCACAAATCAACATCAATTTCAGAGGTCATTGAAAACTAGAAAGCAATGAAAAGCTCGTCCTCCCCAGTTTGGGACTCCTCAACAGTACACAGTCAGCGATCCTGGACCTTCAGGTTACGAGACCAAGCTCGTTGACGATTCAGCCACTTTCGCTGGGATTCAGTTACCCCTGAATTGTAGCTTTATCAACTTGTGATTTCGTGCTGCCCTCACCAATGTTTTCAGTGAACGTCCACTTCACCTTGATATGATGAACCTCACATCACGACTTCCTACTGAAGTCTCAGGAAATCTATCCAGTGGCTCGTCACTGAGATGTTAATTGATGATCTCTCTATCGGATTTTGGTTTGTGATAAAAATCTGACAATTGGAATTGCTAATTCCTAGCAGTGAAAGTCACTTATCTGGAATTTAAATACATATCTCACTTTATTTATTCTTGTCCGTAACGGTATCACTTAACGTGACATTTTTGATAAAGATCATTGACATTAGAGAAATGGACAGTGTATAATCCAACTTTTTTGAGAATAATTCAATATAGCTTGTAGAATATACTTTCAACATATCTGAAAAACCCACACATACACACAAACAGAAAGAGAGAGTGAAGGCTAGTAAATTAAGTAGATAGCTATTCAGCATTTAACGATTACACTTAGTTGAAATTCCTTAGAAAACATATTCGTGCAGACCACTATAACTATACGGATCAGAGACTTGCACTGCGCGTCATAAAGAGCATCTCAAACAAACTACAGACCTTCATTAACAGTTGTCTTCGCTCAATACCCAAGATCAGATGGCCAGAAAAGATCAGCAACAGAGATCTCTGAGAGCGAACCAACCAGGAACCGATTGTGAAACAAATAGGCACGAAGAAATGGAGATGGATTGGCTGGTCATACTCTGAGGAAACCATCAAGTGACATCACTAGACAAGCCATCGCTCGAGTGGAACCCGAAAGGGAAGCGGCGAGTTGGTCGTCCAAGGGTGACTTGGAGGAGGTTATGTGAAGAGGAGATAAAAGCGTGTGGGCAGACTGGGAGCCAGGTGAAGGCTCTAGCAGATAACCGAACGCAATGGAGACGTGTGGCTGAAGGCCTATGTTCCTCTAGGAATTAAAGGAAACAATAATAATAATACTATAACTTTAACAGTAGACGCATATAATATACAATACATGACAGAGAACAAGCAGCGGCAAAAGAAAACTCAGACATTTGAATCGATGCTAAAAATCCTTCGAATCACAGACACACATACATTGTAATATTCCCACCTAAACATAGCGTTCAAATTATAAGGAAGTGAGGAATTCAAGCTTATATTTTTGAAATCGATAACTGCAGAAAAACACCACTCTACAATAAGATATGTCTAGTGATAAGAATCTCCACAGGCTAAAATTAACAACAAAAGTGACAACGCACCCTATATATATATATATATATATATATATATATATATATATATATAACTCCTTTACGTTACCAGTGGAACATAGGGATTCAAGTTAGAGGCTTGAAGTTTCGATAGCAGTGGTGTTTATTTTTACAGGGTGGGATTGCTAGCCTCATGCCCCAACATTCCCTGTTTACCGGTCTTATTACCGGCTTAGCGAGGTAAAGTAGTTCGTCGGCCGGGGATCGAACCACGGACCAAATGCGTGGTTGGTGAGCATACTACCGCTGTGCCACCAACGCACATATATACATCGCGAATAGTGAGAATTTGGAAATCATGGACCATTGGATCGAGTCCCAGTGATTGAATTTTCAACGAGTTCGCTTTGTAATCGGAAGGTCCTGGGTTCTAACCCGAATGGGTGGATACTGCTGAAGGGTCCCAAACTAAGACGAAACAGTTGTCCAATACTCCTTAGTTTTCCAGTGGTTATCTAACCAATGTTAACTCGTGACCAGACTTGTAACCAATCAAATCCCTGCAAACCATCACTTGATAATGCTCAAGAAATCTGATCGTCATTATCTCTTGCTTATTCAGTATGCTATAAAATATAATGATTGTAGTAGAAAGTGTGTGCAAACCCTATCGAAAACTGAATAAAACATGAATGACAAACGCATATAAAAACTCTTAATCTTCATATTTATTAAACCACTTGATGAACATGTGTCTTTTTTATTGTGAATAATACTTTTCGCAATGTTGAGAGTCTGTTAAAACTTCAATAAAAACACCTACTGGTAAAAATGGATGCATTTCACATAAATATTAGCTTATTGGTTATAACTTACTTAAACATACAAATACTCAATTCAGGTCTCAACAGAGACACTTTTTCATATGCACAAGGGAAAAATAAGACAAAATGAGTGTTCTGAATTCCACTAACAACAGTTGTTGAGTAAATCAGTCAAAATCATATTCATTTGTAAAATCAGACAGAGTAGTAGTCGAGAAAATATTACGACATATAGCTCTGGACGGATTACTTCGTTTGTCTCACTACATAAACTTTATAAATTCTTAGAAATGATCTTTCATGAGAAACAGACTATTTTCCAGAGTTAGTTTGTAGGGATTTGATTTGTTGCAAGTTTGATAACAGACTGATATCAATTAGGGAAGAATTGAGAAACCACGGAGTCCCGAACAGCTGTTTCATCCTAATTCATGACTGATCTTCGGCAAGCACCAACCTAGGTTCGATGATGCTCACTAGTAACTGGTTACAGAATGAAGCTACAGAATGAATGAAACTACTCCCTTTTTCCTCTATACATCTTCGTCCACTATAATTTCTTTGCATTTTTCTCTACTTTTATGTAAATTTTGTCGAAGTGCAGGAACTTGAACTAATGTGTTCCTGTAAGAAATTATTTGTCAAACGGTCACTCACTATCTTCTTTTATGTAAAGTATTCCCCGAACTTGAGAGATTTTGTGTTGTACATGAAGCTGATTTCTTTAGCACACATACTAAACTTTATTACATCAAGTTTTGTGAAGTAACAGGGAGAAAATGAAAATTCTTTTGTGTATGTATACTTTAACACAGATTTAATGTTTCTCTAATTCTCAGTCAAATGGTTTCTCCTTAGTACCCCTTATATTAGGTCCTATTCCATGTATTTTTTTGACTGCTAATTTGATACAGCGCTACGATTGCATTTTAAATCCATGCGTTATTCCAACAGAAGTTGGATATATCCATAAGTATTTATTTAACTCAGTGAAATTCTGCTCTTTGGCAATTAGCTAATAATCATAATCTTTATTTCATGAATGACCTGATCAGGAAGACAATGTTGACAACTTTTATAGTTAGTTTTGTAAACTATAGTCATTTGATTAGTTGTATGTCACATCAATATCTTAGATGATGAAATGGCATGAGAAAAGCTTTTGAAAAATTTTCGAGACAACCCGATATAATAACTTCGCTTCTTTAACATAATTAACCTACTATATATCATGTTGATAAACACTCATTGGATGATCATTGATTATGAATCTTGAAGGCAACTAATTTAATTTCTGACTTCACTTAACTTGATGGTGAAATAAAGATTAAACATCGGATATCAGGATGCGCTAAAATATTATTTTCAGTCAGGTACACTACTGCAACACCAGGCACGATAATTCATGAGCAGAAGGTTTCATTTCTTTTATTAAGTCTATGGAATAATTTGATACTCAATGTTATGGGACATTAACTAGCGTAATGTATTTAGACATTTATTTGGTGTAGACTCAATTATATAAATCAAGTTTGCAAATGTGACCACGATGGTAGGTGGCTGGCCACTACGGTAGACTCTGAATTGTTGATATTAGACAGTTGGAGGCAATCGGCAGGAAACTCTGCTTAGACCTAAGTTTTGTGCTTGTTAACACTTGACAGCAACTGCAACAGATGGCGAGCAGCCACATTGCAAACTTGACTCATAGAATTCAGTCTGCACCAAACAAAGGACTAGACACGTGATACTATTTGCTAACTAGTGTCTGACCAATGTATCTTATACAGTCCTACTAAAGATCAATGGATAGCCCGAATAGCTTAGTGATAAAGTCTCTCACTGCAGTACTGAGTGACACGGGCTGAAATATCAGAATGGGCATGAGTTTCTTCAAGATTGCAGATACGTTTTGCTGAGTGGTGGAGTGTCAACAAGCAAGAAACCTAGATCCAAGGCTTTCTGCCTCCAACCATCTAATAATTTGAGGCTCAACTGCTGACTAAACTTTCTAGGATGAATCAGTCTATGAAACCGGTGATATTTCAATTAGTTATGAACAGTTGTTTACTAGCCTCCTCTTTCAAATTCATCCGGATATTGATTAAATTGAAATAACTTCTTTACGCAGGTGCTGCGGTGTTAAACAGACAGTCTCACCCGCTACTCATTTAGGCGACTGTAAGTTATGTGAGACTGCTAATCAAAAGGCTGATGCTTTACTTCCTGTAGATACGCAGGCTTGACTGACTAACTGGTTTCAACGTAGAACTTTGCACCGATGTGCAGCAGTTCCAGTTGCCACACTCCCTCCATGTAGCACACAAAGCAAGAGGAGAGAGTAAAGAAAGATTCAAAAGAGAAATAATAAACAGAGATATGAGGCAAAGAAGATTAGTAATATGGAAGACCAGTAGATTATCATTGGATATTATGAATCACAAAGAGCGAATGCATATGCGACAGTGAGAACGATATGGACCATATCACCAATAATCTCCATTCATTGGTTTTTACCATTCCGAAGACCCCAACCAGGAAGTCTACACCTCCCTACATAGCCAAACTAAGTGCCAATGAACTCATTGATTGATGAAGCCATGTTTTAGTTTGACCACCACTAGCTCTTTTCCAACCTGATCCATTCCATGTCAGCTAACATTGACCGTTGAGGAAGGTGGTGGCTAGGAATGCGTAGCACATGTTCTTACTATCTCAATCCACGTAACTTCACAACCTCGTCGATTGATCTCCCTTCATTACCTAGCACTCGACCGATGCTTAACCCCAATATTGCTCAACTTGTTATACCACTTAACATGGGAGATAGAGTACAGACACCTACGATCAAAGACAGCTAGCCAGACTTTTCAATGGCCATGTCTCACTCACAGCCATAAAGGAGGACGGAGCGGACTGCTGAGCAGTACGCATGCCCTTTGTTTGACAGTCAGCCAGATATCACGTCTACGCCAGAGACGGTGTAAACTGGCATATGCGAAACGAGCCTTTTGTATTCGAGCTGAGATTTCGTCAGCAATCAACCCACTGGCGTTGGCTGATGCAACTTCCCAAATAAGTGAAGTGGTCAACACGCTCACCCACCACTACACTCCCTGTTTCTAAGCTAGGAGTCAGTGCAGTCCAGTCCAGTCCAGTCCTGTAGCATCATCTTACATTCGGTGGGGGTGAATCGCATGCCAAACATTAGCAGATTGCAGTTCAAGGTATTCAGAAGACTCTGCATTTTGTCAGTGCCTTCACCTAGAAGGACTATAGCATCTGCATATTCTAAATCAACGAGAATATTCCCTGGTGGTAAAAGTCAATCCCTGAGTCGCTGAAGTGAATTAGAGTTAGGTGCATTAGTAAATCCATGATGGCGCAGGCTTACTTTCAACTATCAGTTATCATCACATACTGAATTTTTCTTTAAGATGACAATAATCAAGGATAACAAAAACAGTGACCACTTCTAGTTTGAATTTTCACACAACAATTAAAAACCATCGAGCTATCATTGTATAAAAGATAATAAACTTTCTGATAGATCTGAATACGCTGTAGTACCATGGTTCACAGACAATATAGATTATCAATCGGATAATAATGGCGCAAAACAAAATAACACAGATCAATCAGAACAATCAGAAAAAAATGAAACCTAACAAATCAGAACAAAAACGAAGACAAAAAAAGAGAAAAATAAGACACGTTTGAGTAAAAAATAATCCGTAGGAGTTATTATTCACAAAATAAAAATAGTACACATATTAAATAACAGAATAAAAAAGGTGATATTAAGCAGTGAAGAAATCACTTAATAAACCACATAGATATGTTGAATTACAGGTAGAAAACAATAGCACAGCATTTTATATGTTTTATGAAAAAGACAAAGTGCCGTTGGCACAAGTTAACTTCTTCGTAGGAAGAGGCCAAGTATCAGGAAGATTACCACCGGAACTAGTTACAAGTGTTGAATAACTACGTTGATTTTGCTTAGGTAAAAGTGCTGAACAGTGTTCAAACATGAATTTCTCAAATTCTTTAACAATAAGACGATTATTATCTATTATATGATCACGATTGGTAGTAGATAATAAGTTTTGATTAGAAATTTGTGTACAAACTGCACGATTCAATTCAGTATTAAAAATAGGCAAGCCTAATTGTAATGTAATAAAATAAATTGGCTTGCGTTCATTCATAATTGTGATTAGTTCATTTTCATCTAAAACAACTTTTCCAGATGAATTATATCCATTTTCTTCTTGTTCACTTAACAAAGGGAAATCTGCGCCAACTGGTGAGGAGGACAGTTGATCGTCTTCTGTCAATGTATCAACATTTCGATCATATTCATGTTTATTTATGGGAGCCAATACTGTGATATAACCTGAAACATAAGTCAAATCAATGACCTTCATAGTATGTTTAATGAATTCCGGTATGTTATCAGATGAACCGTGTAAAAATTCTTTGGATAGGGGTAGGGGTATGTATCTTTGAGTTAAAGTCTTCTCATATTCGTAAATATCGATGGCCTATATAATGGAAGAAAACAAATTAAACGAAGTAATTAAAAGGCTGATTAATATTCATCTAAGTAGTAATCCATTCCAATCACTTTAAGCTTATTTTATCACCACAATCTGAGTGAAAACTTAAATAATAATTGAAAATTTAAAAAAAATAAAGAAACCTAGGGATTCAGATTTCTATCCACAACCGAAGAACCCTCTAGATATCACAACAATCCCATGACTTAAACGTTTAGACCACTTTCTATCTAAACCGCCTGAAGTTGTCAACAAGTTCGTGTATCTAGGCGGTTATGTGAGAGCTAGCGGTAGTGTGATGCGGACAAGATATCTAACCGCATATTGAAAGCTATGTTGTCATACGCTAACTTGGCCCACCTATGGCTCCGTCGCGACGTCAATCTGACTGTCCAAAGTCGGGTTTACAATGTTTCGGTGCGCACAGTCTTGCTATACGCCTGCGAAGCCTGGTCCATCTGAGTTGAGGTTGTGACGTAACTCTGTGTATTCAGTTATCACCTTCCCCGTACAATTGCTTGCGTCCAATGGCATCATCGTATGAGCGATTCTGAAGCCCAGCAGCGTGTGTTTGGGCACGGTGTAGATCACCATTCATTGCGTGTTGTCATCTGAAAGCATCATCTTTGGTGGCTTGAACATGTGCTACGAATGTCATCTCAAAAGCTTCCGTACCCGTCTCTGTTCGCTAGCCCCGGGACTGGATTGAAAAAGAGGAAAAGTGGTCAGCCTATGACTTAGTGTCGTGGGGTGGAGGATATTTGTGTTAGGTTAGCATCATTTGCTATATCACGACTGCCTGGTTGGAGTCCAAAAGACAGTTCAAACCGATGGCTCTATACGTTATCAGATACGCCCAAGAGTCGCAATCTATGGCGAAAATGCTGCAAATTCCTTCTTTCTTCCCTCTTTGAAATTACCGTGAAGTAAGGAATGTTGTTTAGTTTTGACAAATATGCTTTCTTCCTTTCTGGATAACGTCTCTCATTCATTCTCTGCTTATTTTCTTTATATATTGTTTGTATACTCTAGGTGCCCATAGTGTACGAAGTTTGCGTTTTAAATACATAAACAAATGAATAAATAATAAACCACCTATGAGAATTTCAAGGTTAAGTGTGAAAGCTAACACTGGATGCACAAACATAGATACAGAATGACAACCTAGAAGATCGTAAAATAAGCAAGCGCTTTTCACATTTTTACTACAAGCCACTGATAAGAATACCTGAAACAAAATGAATTCCTATTACATTCTTTTTCAACTACATCAAAACAATGATGAGACATGTAGTGTCGTTTAAATTGTTTCGACAATATCCAACTCTTTTTTGTGTATGGAGCCAATACTATACTATACTATAAGTTCGTATGTTATGCGATGGGTTTCTTTCAAACGGAAAATGTTGCAAAACTGATTTGATTTAAATATCAATTTAAGGATAGGTAGTGAAATGATCAAATGCCTTGGCTACCTTAATTAACAGGTCACTAACAGAACCTCAACAAAGACAAAAGGAAGTCAGTTTCAGTTGGCTAACTCGTACTGGTGTGATGTTGGACTATCGAAGAAGGGAAGCGTACACTGTACAACAAGCAGTCCATCTTGTCATTCTTTATGACTCATGTACGACTGTTAAAAGACAGTTTCTAGCCACAAGTATCTTAATTCATTTGCTAACATGCGTTAAGACTGAAAAATGACCGAAAGATGAATCAATACGGAAATTCGCACGAATGTGTATCAGCTCAGTCTGTCATACCTCAAAAGAGCACACAAAGAAAACGTTAATACACCAAGACTAGAAATAGACAAATAAGTGTGAGATAGAAAATAGTTCAGTATATACTACTAAAAACGTTAAGGAGACAGATTTATGGATCGGTGGTATGTGTTTCAGTTTCACTTTCAAGTTAATCCCAATTCGGGTAACACTGCTCGTCGAAGAATGTGATCCGTTGGTGGATATAAAACACTTCCCAACTACTCTAAATGATGAGGACCTAACGTTTGATACATTCGATCTTCAAGTATTGGTTTGTAGGGATATGGTTGATTGGTTACAGGATTTCATCATGAGCTGATATTGGTTAGAGAACCATTGGAAAACCTGGGAGTACTGGACAGATGTTTCTTCCTAGTTTCGGACTCTTCAGCAATACGTACCCACCACCACGGTTCGAACCCAGGACCTTCTGGTTACAAGGCGACCTCGTAGACCATTAGGCCACTGGTTACAGGTCGGGTGTGAGGACAAATACTCGCCGAAGACATTGGCTGGCGGTTGCGCTGTATCGTGAATTGGCAGAAGTTAGAATTCATGGGCCATTGGACCGGGTCCCAGTGGCCTAATGGTCCACGAGGTCGCCTTGTAACCAGAAGGTCCTGGGTTCGAACAGTGGCGGTGGGTACGTATTGCTGAAGAGTCCCAAACTAGGAAGAAACATCTGTCCAGTACTCCCAGGTTTTCCAATGTTTCTCTAACCAATGTCAGCTCACGATGAAATCCTGTAACCAAACATTTGATCTTACCAAACACTACTGATAATCAACACAAAATTTGAAGGACAGAGGTAGTGCTAACTAACATATCAAACTTTCAACATAAAAGAAAAGCAGTGAGTCCTTTGGGGAGGGTTTTCGTTATTAGGAAAACAATAGTAACACTGACAAATCTAAGGATTCCAAAATAATACTTGCAACAAACACATTCCATGAATGTTCCTAGTGTTTATTCTGTATATAGGAATCAATCAGTTCCTACTTCAATATAAGGTTCTTAAGCAAATGACGCTACCTGCTTAGCCGTGACAAACTCATGGATTTGGCTATGTACCGATGCCAGCTATATCCAAATGACTACAGTCGAAAATCGAAAGGCGGACCAACTCATTAAAAAGTCACTGCTACCTAATTAGCTTCAAATGTCTACCCCCAGAATATTTCTGCAGATACAATTTGGAACAAGAACACCAACTGTAAATTACTGGTGACCAAAATAAGAAAATGAGCATTAAACTTTGAAGTAAAACTCCTTCAGCAACTGGCATATGTAATAAATACACATCAACCCGAAGTATACAAAGAGACGAATACGCCATATCTTCTAACCAATGAATAAAGGTAAACTTATGTGTACGACTTAAGAAATATAAATGTGCTGAAAATAATATTTTTATGCATTCCTTCCTAAATCACTGTAGAATGCGCAAATTATAGGGTGTTTCAAAAAGCTACACCACTTATTAATACATTGTCACAGACTTCGCTAGGTTTTTCATTTGCTGTTAACCTTACATAATTCATTCACCTTAAGGAAGTATGTCTCAACTAGAAAAATTTAGCCCACCAGAATTCTAGTCACGACTATCCAATAAGTTTTTTTAATTGTTGACCGATCCAGTATGATGAATGTGACATGCCATTCACCACAGAATTACAGTCTACGACACAACATACAGGCACCTCATCGGAGTGATCTGAATTATAGATTATATGTACATCCAACGTAATCCAATAATTAATATCATGAATTTGACGTCTATTCAACGTTTTCATAAACAACCATTTAAGACTGTAATCAGCTGGTAGGTGTCATAAGACTTAAGATGAATAAAACAGTCACTAAGACAGTAAATTAAAAGAGACGAATTCTTATTAGAAAAAAAAGCTGCAGAACATACATAAAGAAAAGCAAATAAATACGGTCCCTTCCAACAAAAGGAAATAACTTGAAACCAAAACAGGATATTTTTCTTATTTTCAGACTGGGATTAATTGAATATCAGAAAACAAAATTTTATTTTAAAATCAACTCTTGAAGCAAACTAACAGCTCACCTGGATAAGAATCGGAGACGATAACAGCATATCATTGGCCATAGTTAAAAAGTTGACTGCGTCGACAACTACAGGTTCATGACCCCATGCAGTGATCCAAAAGCATGAAATACCTTGTAAACACGATGGAAGTCTGTATATTCGAGTACCGCAAGTCATTAAGAGAGTTGGCAGAACAGTAACACAAGAATCCTGTTTCCCTTCAATTGCATTACTTGCGACATAAGATGTGTAAAGACCGAACCAAGGAGAACTAGCTTCTGATATAGGTGGCCCCAAGTGTGCTGGCCATTGAAAGTCAGAAGCCTGCTGATCTTCATAAGTAGAGGGAATCAGGCTTACAACCACACTGTAATTTTTATGCAAAACCCGCCTGCGTGCTTCAGGCTCTAAACTCAATAACGAACCACCTCTAACTAAGTCGACATCATGAAAGTCAGTTGATTCTAGTGAAGCCTGAGAGCGCAAGAAAAGGATCGTTTCTCTTAAATTCAAAGCATGTTCACGATACATTCTCGCTTCACCCTCTGAGACAGGAGCCAGATGATTTAATTCAGACAAAAAGGAGTTCAATGAATCATCAGATAATTTTCCTACTTCGAACATTGTTACAGCATGTGGTTTCAAGTTGGATGAAAGATTGCCCATCATGAGATATGCAGTAATGGTAGAATCAAATATTAATACCAACTTTTTCTTTTGTTGATGATGGTCATCTGCACATATCGAAACGTTTAAGTTTTCATCCGTAGAGCCTTCTGAGGTAGGACATACATCTTCATTGGTACTGGATGATGGAATTTTGGACGACTTTGTCTGACTATCCGCACGTCCAACTCGTTTATAGGCGAAACCCAACCGACAGAATATAGAAGCAGCTTGTTTCACAGAATTTACATCAACTTGTAAAATGTCAGCGAGCTCACTAATTGATGTGTTTTCATCAGCTGTGACGAAAATCTTATACAACAGATTTTCTCTAATATCCCCACTAATACGATTCATAACAAAACCTTCAAGTGTCGGAACACATATTTTATCACTACTATAGATTGGAATATCAATATAAACTAATCCACGCAGATAAAGTCTTTTGAGGATATCTTGATCAAGATCCTTAACTAAAATTCCAGAGTTGTTTAGACTAATCTCCAATTCACCAGTCTTTTCCGCGTCGATAAGCTGATCAATCATGATACGCTCGGAATCCGTAGACGTTTGAATGTCAGACAACATAACAGATCCTATGTGAACTATATGCCATGGTTCAAATACGATTTTATCAACAGGTTGTGATGGTAGGATATCAGACAGAAGTCCTTGGCGTTCATGTTCATCAGGACCAATGGATGACAGGAAGCTCTTGTAAGTATTAATAAGATCAATATACTGGTTCCTGCCAATCCCAAGCAAACGCAAACAATCTGCTGCAGTGAAATTCGGGAGACAGTCGTACGACTTTTCTGTTGAAATTAGATCAATTATTATGCGACGATAATAAACGAACGGAGTGACTTGCAAACCACGAACTATTTTGTCTTGAAGGTGGTAGGGATACAGAAGATAATGTTGCTTTCCATAATCAATAAGTTTTTCGTAATACTTTTTCTCACGTTTTATGACCTTAAGTTGAGATTATTTAAATATTTTGCCTACCAAATTCACAATATTTCCTGTATAGCGCAGTTGGTTTCGAAGACTGTGCAGCAGTATTTGTTCTTCATACTTTTTGGGATCATCGTTCAGTTGTGAACGCACCTCCGAAGATAGGTCAAACCAAGATAGGTTCGCCTCAATGCTTTTCCATAAATCCATTTATACGCTATTTATGTCGCACGATCATGACACGAAACTGGCAACCAAAGTATCCATTAATAAGCTGTGCAACAGAATGCAATCAGTGCAGTCTAAAATGGAAAATCAATATTGAAAATTCTGAGGTTAACGAATATCCGCCTACTACGTGATGTAAAATAATTAGATCAAAGTTACACAAATTACATCACTGAATAATTCTATTTGATAAAAACACAGTGGCATAATATTATTTACTGATGGCGTTTCAGTAAGAATTAATTGGTCATAATCATGTATTTCATTTTTAGAGTGCAATATCCAGTAATATGTTTAAGAGTAGGAAACAGAATATGAAAAACAAAACTCTGACATTGATAAGCTGTCATGAATAAGAACAATGAAAGATAAAAGCAAGTTCTTAGCTGAAAGATTAGTCAAGTAGCAAATGTAATTGTGATTGAATACCATCTAGCAAGGTATATTTTGTTCTGCAGTACACTGTTAACAAACAGTTAATCACAATGAGAAACACAATACGTCGGTACTTTTTTACTGACTTTGACAAGTCTTAATTTAATCGAAAAAAGCATTGGAAGTCAAAATGCAGTGAAATGGTAGGGAAGGCTATTAATAGTTTGCAGTTTTATCCGAAATGTACAATTCACGCAGACTGAGCTCATAATATGAAGAGGAATGAAGCCTTTCTAAACTTAAACTGATTAATAGCCTTCGCAGCGACTACCAATAGTGTGGCAGTTAACAAGAACGAAAGAAGTGGCATCACTTGTTAACTATTTAGTCTCATCAGAGAAGTGCTCTTTAGAAAACATTTGTCAAATGAAATGATTTCCGAAAAATAAGGAACTTAAATAAATCTTCAGAAGAGATCGGTAGAACACATTTAAGAACGCTTTAACTGGCTTACAATCACTCTCCGGTTGCCCACCATGTAAAATCAGCTTGATTGTTGTGTGAATATCGGCACTTCAACTGCAGCCAAGATAGCAAAATGTCTCTAGTCCAAAAGTGAGTACAGCAGCAGGACCAGACGTTATGAATCCCGAGGTGTTGAAGGATAATGTTCAATAATTGACTGGAAGAAAGTGTTGGCTAGCTTATAGGAACCCGAGATAGTCCCATCATCCAGGCTTACAAGTAAAGAAACAAACCTTTCTATGATAAACAAGGAAGAATCCCCTTGACTATCATAGCACCTGAATGCTAAGCTCTATAGTCCCTAGAAGACTAAGTGTAACTGAAGAAGACAGGTCTGGGTGGAGGTACTTGATTAGATCCCCAACCCTCTATAACACAGACATACTGATGCCTAACACTCCCCAAACTTGTTGACCTGGACTCAAGGCTCTGTGACAGTGTCTAATAGAGAAAGATTTTCTGACAAAGTAATTTGTAATAACCAGAGCATTCTGTTTAAAAGAATACAGGCTTGTAAGAGATTATGGAAAGTTACATCCTGAAGTGATAATATTAGTGGTGTCTGTCAGGGTTAATTTCGAATTCGATGTTTCAGGGATTAACTTGATACCATGCTTTAAACGTGGTAAGGCGATTGAATGTGTTGACCACTCCATTTATTCTGGAAGTCGTATAATCCTTAATGGACTGATTACTGACGAAATCTCTGCATAAATACAAAAGACCCGTTAGCGTTTACCAAACTGCATCATCTTCGGCACCTATATGATGTCCAGACACTCACTACTCTATCCCATGCTACGGCTGACGCACAACCATCAAAAGTGGAAGATATGAACAAATGAGCTTTAAGACCACATAACTCCAATTAATTTCCCATGTTTGGTGCAGCATTATGATCTGAAACAACGAGCTTAGGTTCGTAGTGTTAGGTATGTAGGGAAAATCAAGCGATGGGGTTGTTAAGTATCACAGGTTAAAATGGCTAGGACGTGTTAGCCATATCCAGTTGATGCTTTTCTCGATGAGTGATGTTGGAAGTGTTAGAAGCAGTTATACTACAACATGGCACCGATCCATGAAAGTTCTGACTGTTGGTGTGACCCACATAAGGGGTTAAGGATTATATGGCCGGGATCCTCAGGATATTAAGAAACAATGATTGAAAATTTTTGGTGACAGCTAAATATGGTACCCAAATGTTCAGATGTCTGACTCCGTCTTATTATACAGATTCTGAGAACATTCCCTTATCTTTGTTTTATTATCGTATCAGCAGTATATTCTCGTTCATTTCAGTCTCCTTATATTACTTTCCGATACTTTTGTTTTTGGAAACATTTCCGCTTGAACTGCTGCACTTTTGTGCAAATTTCTATACCACTAAATCAGTATAAAAGCGTTTGGATATGAAAGCTGGATACGTAAGATCCCTAATGAAGAATAGTGGAAATGCAAATATCTGAATCAAACAAATGGTGAGTGAAGTGCTTGGAGGAAAACCCACAATAGATAAACGTATAAAATCGAATATTGATGACAAAGAAATAGTAAGTAAAGAAATGATGCATATTCTTGGTGAATAAGTCAAGTGAAATATTAGAAAGCATCGAAAAATCACATTGAGACATGCGATTGGCACATACTATACGAGATGTCTGGAAGAAATGACACTTATGTTATTACTATTTCTAAACAATGGAAGTGTTTCCACTAAAACTCCGTTTATCTATGTAGCTCCTACTAATAATACAGGCTACAAGTCGCAGCATCGGTCGGTGTGTAGGACTCGATTTACACTCACAACTTCTTGGGCCTTTTTAAGATGAATTCTCAAATGATCAGTAGAGGTTACCGCCTAAGTGGTTACTCAGAAAAGGTAGGTGAGATCACTTCTTACAAGGGAAGTAGCTATTTTACTGATTATGCACATACCTTTTGAGTACTTTAAAAGGTCAGAATCAAACCAGGATGGTGGTATACCATAGCAAATGCGTAAGATTATTTGGAACGCATACTATGGTTAGATGTCTTTATTAAAACATACAATTTAATTCCTAACTCAAAATAGCACCCCAAAGTTAACTTTCCAAATAGCGTTAGGAAATTGTTGCATTATACGTGACCACTGTGTATTGATCAAAAGACAGATGAATAGAGACCCAACGGTAGCGAAAGAAGATTAAAGATGCTAATGAATTCACACAGTCTACTGTCCCGGGAGAGAAACTATTTGCAGAACGTTAAAATAAGCACCAGCGTCAAACGTGAAGAAATCTCCCTGGTTTAGAACAGATTCTGCGAATCTTCTAGAAAACCTGGAGTCATTGAGGGAATAGTGAAGTGTGGAACCTCCTACCCCACGAAAATAAGGGAAAACCCAAGAAGGAATGCAGAGTTTAAATGAGGTTTTACTTTCAACTTACTCTCCCAAAATCTCAAACTTATCTTCGTGATAGCGACCCAAACAGCAGATTCATTTGCACGCAACTCCTACAGGAATTACACGACTAACATATATAGCTATGTCCGAATTCAGTCCAGAATGACGCGAGACAAAACGATTCAGACAGAAACAGACATGTGCGGCAATCCAATGAAACATGAACTTATGAGAATGACCACCAAATTTAGCACTACAAGATTCATCAGAAAAACTACTCTAAGTAAATTTTTTGCCAAATATATAAAGAAATCCTTGGTAAAAATTCCTAGTATGTATTATAATGACCTTTATATTTCAAAGCCATCAGCTTTTAAGAACAAACGAGGTGAACCCTTACCAACAAATCATTTTTGTGGAGAGAAATCGAAAAGTCCCCAAGGTCAAGCTATGTGTTGTCATTTCAAAATCCAATATCCGACGTTAACACTACCATTTACATGAAATATTAGACCCGATTGAGTTACTGAATGCAAGCCACCAGATGACCTCTAAAAGATAATTCCAACAAAGGAGTGTAAAAACTCTGAAGTTTGTTGGTACATGATAAGTTTAGACCTTTAGAGTGCTTAATGAGTCAATTCTCCTTTATCTTAACCCTTAATCCCTAACTTTATCCTTCGCCCGACGTAACCCTAAGAGCACCAGCTAAGGCAACAATAAGTCGCTAAACCAAATCAGTAACAAAGTTTGAATACAATATAGACAGTGTTCATGACTAGGGACATGACTCAATGAGGGGAGTATTCAGTCAGAAACGTTTGAATGGCAAATGGATGAATAACCACAGCAAATAAATTGGTCAGACAAGGAAAGCCATTCAGATGTCAGGGAGTTCAACAAGCCTAGCTTAGTTGCAAACCAAATGATGGGGTATGTTTAGGCTGAATCTCCGTTTGGTCAGGATGACATCCCACCGGACACACACCGTATGTTGCCTCCTCTCAGGGATTACTGCAGGATGCTCAGAATCCTCATTTACTTTCAAGACACCACGGAGTCAGGACATCAAAAGCGGGAAGGAGCAGGAGCACATACGAGTTTTGTTTTCCGATAGGCGATCATTCCTGGGTTCCCTTGAGGGAGCCGATAACGACCCGGTGGTGCAGTCATCTTTTGTGGTGACTGATAATTATTAACTTTATGGGTGGTGATTAGATCACTTTAAGGCGATGTTGTCTAAGTGTGATGAGACAATTTCAAAAGTTTTCCGTTGCATTGTTTGTTCAGAGGTCCAGTTGCCCTTCTCTTCACAGCTAAACTTTGGAGTCTTTCGGAAAGACTGTGGAACAATGATGCAATGTACCTCAGGAAGAAAAATAGCTTGAATGCAAATGTGCATTCGCCACTTATAGAAAAGAACAATTTGGGCTTCCAGCATGGTTCTGCAATAAACTAATACGAAGATAGTACTCTAATGTTTTGAACGATCACACAGCAGCTGAAAAGCATTCATTGCGGCGTCAAGGCGGCTAATTAGACCACTTTGCACTCTTTAAGGCCAAAAAGTATGCATTGAAACAGATGACTGAATGTTATTACAACCGGATATCACTTCTTTGAATTTCAAGAGTTCAGTTACAGTTGCCGGATGACTTCTGTGGATTTATCATAATGTGTTTGTCAATCTTGGTTTGATGGAGCCACCGCATAGGCTGGAAATAGCATCAATCACTTTGCCGCTTAGTTGTCATCCAAAAAATATTTATCTCTGTCTAAAAGGAACCTACCAATTGAACAGACAAAAATAAGTTATTATTTAGGCCACATCAATTTTGTATACAAAGAAATCACATGGTTGCTGTCCTTTTCGTCTCGATTAAGTCTGAAAAACCTGTTAACCAGTCACTCAGTGTAGCACGTTAAGAAGTGTATAACAATTTATAATATAATAATTTATATTTCGTATGAACGGGTAAGTTTACGAGAAATGCATGCCATTTCTACAGGTAAGATCAGTAATGTTATAAACTACAATCCTGAAGTATCATAAATTGATACATTTCCAAAACTTTAAATTGTTCACTTATTGTGCAAGCAATCAGAACAGGTTCTTATAAATGTTATATTGTAAACCCTTCACTAACGTCACCACAAAAGTTGAGTGACAACCCAAACTTCCTTCCGTTTCCTGTTGATGGTTATGATCAACCAGTGAACCAGTGAAGAGCAGATATCTGGGGGAGTGCTATGCCGCCACGTGATTGAACGCTATTTCAGGAAGAGAAGTAAATTCTGCGCAGATGCAAAATGTCATAATACACAATTATGGATAATACATTATTGGGAGTGCATTTACAAGATATATACAAGAACGAACTGAAGACTCCTTAGAATGATAGTATACATTTGCAACGTGTAATGCTAACCATATTGGTCTAAGTATGGAAACTATGATGTTTTCGATGAAGATATAGCTTTGTTCAAACATTGGTGTTGTTTTGTTTTTAATCAAAGCAACCAAACTTTAGCCAACAACAATTATGAACAAAGAGAAGGTTTTAGATTTAATAAAGACCTATGTATTGAAATTAAAGTAGAGTGTAATAGTGCGTAAGACTATTTCATTGCCTTCTCGTCAGCTGCTTACAGGGCGAAGACATTATTAAGTGTATCTACAAAGACAGATTCAACATACTTGCACAGAGTTTATTTTAAACAAAATCAATCGATCAGTATACTCATACACTCATAATATATCCATATATATTTGCAATAATAAACACTATTCCGGACAATAATAATCATACACAATGAAAACTTTCCAGCATCTCGCATTCGGATGAAAAATATCCAGTTACCAGGGAAAAGAAAGACTGATAACCGCTTCTCTCTGAACGCATAAGTCAGGCTTCAGGCGCTTGATGGAAATGGCTTCAGAAAACTTAAGGAGAATTGAGCTCTTTTGCTTATTGATAATTTTGAACGACTTTTCGACGTCGAAAAGGACATTCTTAGCAGTATCACCTTCGTACGTGCATACATGTACATAAGTATTTGTTATAAACGCCTAGGAAATTGCGTTCACTTTAAGAAGTATAAAGTATGGAAGTAGCTAGTATTCCAGCAACTAAGTAATAGCCTATTTAGTAGAGTAAAATGGGTAGTGGAACAATTAGTAATAAAATTATGCAGAATGATCCTGAAGAATACAACTGGTTAACAGCACTATTTCTGGCAAATTGTGATAACCTATTTTCGTATGGTATGCGTCAGACATTGCAAAGTAACCCACGTTATTTCAAAAATGCTGTGAAAAGTCATAAAATTATACATTTTAGACAAGTATATGAGAAAAGATAGTTATTGATTGAGTAAAGTCATTTCAACACAAAAAAGTATTGTATTGTTAACTGCATATATATGTTAAATATTAAAAAGTGTGTTTGCTAATATAATTATTTCCAGAGTTACTTATACCAACACAAATTAGTGAAGATTATAGAGAATAGAAAATCAGTAAATTAGTTAAGTGTTCGCTGCGTAAGTAGCAGAGTCGAGTTATAAGTATGTGACAATTACAGTTTTGGTCTTTTAGACGAGCTAGGGTGGACATGTTAATGTGTCTTTCTAGGCTCCGTTTGAACCCATCGGGGTTTTCACAACATCTAACTTCAGATGGTAGTTGGCTCCAAAGAGTGCGATATTTAATGGTGAAAAAGTTTGCCGTAATGGATTTTCTGAGGGTAACCACCTTGACAAGGCAGTCGTGGTTACGCAGCTGATATGATTTGATATTTTTCCACGTTATGGGTGAGTTACTGTTACAACGCTTCCTAATGACTTTGAAGAGTATAGATAAGTTGTGTTTCACTCTCCTTAACCACAGTGGTTCTAATTTCAGTCGTAGACACCTGTCAGCATATTGAACCTGTTGGTCAAACCCTGTTGTGCGCTTCATGAGGAATCTCTGGACACTTTCGATTCTTTTTCGGTCTGCAGACCTTAGGTTACTAAATAGGAGAGCATAATATTCAAGTTTGGGGCGAATAAATGTCCTGTATATATGTAATCTTGCCTTCTGACTGTAAACGTTACTCAGAAAGAAGACAGTAAGTCGTTTACAGTCAGATACTACCTTATTTGCATGATCAGAAAAGGTTAAATCTGAGTATTTTATCCGAAGATCTGTGACTGTGTTCAGTTTTGAGAGGAGATTACCGTACATATGTAGGCACTTTCTCTGTTTCCAGCGTCCAAGGTGGGCTATATCGCAGTTGTCTGGGTTGAAAGTCAATTGCCACTTTTCGCTCCAGTCGCCTAGATTGTTTAAGTCATGTTAGATCTTACTTTCGACGCCTATGTCATCGTACCCATAATCACATACTATCTTGAGATCATCTGCAAAGAGGTATGTCCTGTCAAACTATGTCGTTTATGAATAAGAGGAATAGAAAAGGGCCACGAATGCTTCCTCATATTGCACCACTAGTTATTGCCTTTGATGAAGACAGCTAGTAGTTGATTTTGACTAATTGCTCTCTTTCTGTGAGAAAAGAATTTATCCATTTGAGAAGTCCTCCGGATTGGAATTTTGTTACAAGTCTGATATGTGAGACTTTATCGAAGGCCTTGTTAACGTCGAGAAATAACGCCCATTGCGTAATGTAGTCAAAATAAACTAAGTTGCAAGTAATACACGACTTTCTACTTAAAAAACCGCATTGGTATGGGGACAGTAGGTCATCTGACAGCAAGTACCGAATGATTTGAGTCTTTGCTATCTTTTCCATTGCACGTGAAACTACAGGCGTGATGTTTATGGGGCGGTAGTTGTTGATACCAGCTATAGGCCCGTATTTATGGATAGGTACAATATAATACTTCCAGCATGTAGGGTATGTTCCATCGCTGAGTGAAATTGAGCATAAATTGAGTGGGAGTAAATTCACGCCATTACCATCGTTCTTCAGCAGAATAGAAGATACACCGTCTGGACCAGTAGTATCACTAAGCTTAAGATTTGCGACAGCTTTATCGATCTCGTGTGTGGTGAGAAGTATGTCACTTAGACATCCGTCTGTTTTACGTGGGAAATCCACGGCCTCATCATACTCCAAGGTGTACAATCTAGCATAGTGCTTGTCAAACAGTTCCTATATCACCTCAGTATTTTTGTAAGCAACCTACTTTTGAAAAGTTTGGCTATTTCTCCTGGGTTATGCAGTGCCTGAGTGACCCGCATTTCTTTGTTTCTGAGGCTTATATTTTTCCACTCTTGAAGTCCAGTGAGAAGGGACGTAATGGAAATTATTGATGATAAGTCATGATATCTGTGGTATTTTATTGGGTGCTTTCGTAGACTTATCCTCAGCGATGTCGGAATATGATCGCTCTGGGGGAATTTGAAGCTAAGAATCTTCTCAGGTGCACTGATGTCATGAATTGAGTTAATATTGTGATAAAAGTTGTTAGGAATTGCCTCTAAGGACTCGTTCGAAAATCACGAGTCCCAATTAGAGCATCTAATTATGCGCTGATACAACTCCCAGTTGTTATATGTGTACAATCTAATAGGTGTCTGGCCAGCTTCATCTCTGCGTTTTGTCTCAGGATAGATGTTAAAAGAACACACTATTAATTTATGGTCACTACCTGGAAATTCATGTCCCACATGTACTGTGGAAGATGTTCGTGAAGATAAGGTCTGGGATATTTGTGGATCTAGTGGGTGAATTTATGTGTTGTGTCCACCCTCCTGTGACGACGGAATTCAGGAGATTATCATATTTGGGGTCCTCGGAGTGAAGATCATGATACTTCTGGCGTGTTGAAATCACCTCCAATAATTTTATAACTAAAGGGAAGATTGGCTGCTTGCCTTTTCCCTTCTATTCGCCTTGTAGTGGAAGTTTCACAGATCTACATTTAGACTGAAGCTGAGCAACAATTGAAGTCACTTACTCATATATTCAAGGTTTTGGCTAATGACTCAGCGTCCTTGGAATATCTAGTGTCATCATAATAAGACACTGTACAGTATCCTATACAAGCAGTATTCATGATCTAAAATGGCTTACAAATAGCTTCCTACATGTTAGTCAACTTACTCGTACAGAACAACCATGCAGCGACAAATGGCGGTTTTGGCTGACGTGGGCACAGTAAAACAAATCTGTCTGACAATAACCAATATTAATCTGCATTCAGTACAGTTCACTTCTGGTGTTACCTACGATGGAATTGCTGACAAGCAAATCACTTATTTCAAATTAATACGTTATTAAGATATAAATCAAGAATAAGATAAAATGCCGCACACTAGAAAGTTATATGGGGGAACTGATTTCAAGCTTTATTTTCTTCCGAAGTATTTTTGATCCATCCAACACATACTTGGGTTTTTTGTTAATACGAATACAATGTTTCTATATTTCTTAATGTGCTCCATTGAATGACTAGTTAGCAGATTGTACACACAAACTAATATCAGAAAGGACAGCAACCATGTAATCTCACCATAAATCAAATTTATGTAATTTAAATAATCCTTATCCATGCCTGTAAAACTGGTGTGTCCCACAAAGATGGGAATAAATATATATTATTATTAGAATGTTGCTGTGCATATTATCGTACTCCCTACAGGATGAAGGGGGTCGGTATGCACAGCCCACAAATATAGGTGTACTTCTGACAAATTTTATTTCGACCAAGATCGAGTCATCGAGTTGTGACAGAATTGGGTTACTGAAATGGGTTGCACACATGGATTGTTCACAGTAAATTAGTGTTCCACCCCCACGACCTGTCTTTCTGTCCCCTCGAAAAGGTTGTATTTATCAATCCTTAGGCTGTCATTGGAGATTTCACTTCTGCGTCAGGCGTCGGTGATCATAATCAATGACGGTCTGCACATAGAAGCTAATGTACTGAGTGCTAACTGTTTGTTTGTAACTGATCTAGCATTTAATAGGATAATGGATAAACACTGGCTATGTGGTTTCAGTGAGCGGACAACTTCTTGATAAAATAATCCGTTAGTATTCTCTATATACATGTTTTTAGGCTCACTAACCATTATCTTTGGATCATAGGAATACTTCAGGCAGGTTTGTGAGGTGGTAGTCTGGGATGATCTGTCGTTTGGATAGGGTATGCAGTGAGAGACACCTGTGTGATAATCAGACATTAGTATTTTAGGGATATTAGTATCCGCGTTTGGTGCCGACACTGCGTCGTTTTATCAGCGAAAAACAATTCAGCATAAGACGTTGTGACGTAGAAACAAAAAGCAAGGCAAAGACCATCGGCCATTTAAAACAGGAGTTTTGAGTTATGCTTATGGAACAATTCTCTGTCAGATGATAACATTTATTTCTAGCCGGGAAATCGTTAATAAATATGATCACTCCATTATATTCACTGAATATAATCTTCCTACATCATCAGAGGAAAACGACGTTACTTCGGATGTCTTGTGTTTTTTAATTCAGCCATTCCTATTTGAATAAGTAGGAATTTTAACATCCAGCGGCTGACACTGTAGGCTACATTCATCAATTTAAAAAGCAAGCTATTGTTATCATCTAACCTCGCCTAGTAAACTAGCTTGCTAGTTTTCTAGCCGGTCCCATGCCCGGATGAAGTGGGAGGGTTGGGCGAAGGACTAGCAACTCTACACCACTAAACCTATCAAACCACCAGAGAAACTCCAACGCACACAAAATATATTAAAAAGGCAAAAGTTTCAGCGAACGATCTTATTCTTCGCTTGAAATGACGAAATGACGCAAGCGAGCGAAAGCCTTCGGTAAGCCAACCAGCCGATGTGTCTACTCTCGATGAAAGCAAGAATAAGAATGAGGGCATGGAATGTCCGATATCATCTATGATCATGAGAGCAAGATTTAACTCAAAAGGAAGGTTACAACACTAATGTGAAGTCGGTGCTTTCATTTGGGTCATAAACTTGCACTGCGTGTCACAAAAAGGATTTCCAACAGGTTGCACACTTTTATCAACATCTGCCTTTGCTGGTACCACACTGAAGATCAAATGCCCATAAAGAATTAGCAACAATAAACTGTGGGAACAAACCAACCAAAAACCGATCGATCAACAAATATGTAGGAGATAACGGAGATGGATTGGGCATATATTGAGGATTCCGCTGAATGACATCGCACGCCAGGCCATTGTTCGAGTGGAATCCCAATGGGAAGCGACGAGTGGGTGGTCCTAGGGTGACATGGAGGATATCGTGCGAGGAAGAGGTGACAGAATTTGTTCAGTCGTGGACACAGCTGGAGAGGATGACAGGAAGTAGAAGAAAGTGAAGTTCTGTTGCTGAAGGGAATAATAATAATTGTTATTATCTACTTAAAAGCTTGTGGGATGATCTAAGTTAAATTTACTACTGCAGGTACTTGCTGGAAGAAATCCTATCGTGTTGTTGATTTGTTGACATCAGGTTGGGGTTATACTGTTATGAGATGCCTTAACATCACTGATGTTCAACAGCACTGATTTTTCCAAGAGTTCCGGAAAGCACTCAGCTTTTGTATCAAATGGAATTTTTCTTGTATCACCATCCTTCGGCTTACCTGACTTAATTCCAGAAAATTATGAGTGTTTTGTCCTAGGAAATATTCAATCTTCAAAAATTCTCTCTTTTTTTAAATACATCTAAAATGGACATAGTACAGCTGTGCGTCTGATGAATTCGAGGTCACCTGTTTGAAGGTCATCGTCTGGACTAAGGCTTATGATAATGAAATGATGTAGAGGGATGAGGCTGCGTATGATACCTGTGATATTTAAGGAAGGTATCATCGCCTCTCTCACTGGTGGATTTTATTTGGATACTTCACAAACCCATTTCTCAAATATTGTCCATGTCTATGTGTGGATTGTCTTATTCGTTGCTCCGTTGGTGCTGTTTATGGTAAAGCCTGGGTTTTTAATTATTTTTCAGATTTCAGAAGAGTCTCACATTATTGCAGCCATTTATAGTGTTTCGGTTGGTTCATTTGTTCTGGTTGTTAAGCTTATAATTTGGAGACTTCATGATCTACTTGATAAGAGTGAACCTGTTGTTAATAACAATCAAGAAGCAAATAACTCGTACGCAAATACAGAGTAGGCGTTTTCATTTCACCATAATTTACTTAAAGGTTTTCAACACAGCACCAGGTAGATGTACATGAAAGTGACCAGGAAGAATTTTCAGATGCTAATGAAATCGAAAGCAGATGCCGACGAATTGGTCAGGCTGGAATCGAACTAGCCGGTAACTTTTTTTAAAACAAATATATGTAGCTTTTGCATGATACTCTGGAATAGGTACCTGCATACCTGTAATGTAGTTGAAAAACGAGTACTGCTTTTGGAAACTGAATTTTAACACATTTTTTTCAATCATATGGGTCTGCAGGATTACGTTTAACTCTGCTGTGACTACCTAAATTGCTTCATGTATACCTTGCCAACATAACTGTGCTCTGTTTCTATTAATGAGTACACTTACTGGTGCTTTTGATAGGTATGGAAGTCAGTTGTTCCTTATTTGCGGGAACTTAGTTGTTTCTTTTTTTGCAGATTAGGTGTGGGCATCAGTTTTGTGTAACGTTAAATATTCATTGGAATTCATTCTAGTAGATAGTAGGATTATGTTTTCTTTGGAAGGTTTTCAGTACACATTTTGCAAACAGTTAAAACTCATTGAGCTACTCATTTCTTCATTTACGATAGTTGCTTTTGATATGATAATAGGTGAATATGCATAGTGTGGTAAACAAACCAAAATCTTAAATCATTAGTGTCAGCCTGCTTGGGATTCTCAAAAAAAATTAGCATCCATAAACAGAAATAACTGATTACTTTTACTGAATGTTGTGTAAGCCGCACTTTGTAACCTGATATATGTGTAAAAATTAAGTACTGGCAGTATGCAATTCTATATTAGTTTGTGTATTATGTGGATTACAGTGAGATGTTATTTACTGGGTACGGTTTTAACTGGTTTACTGTTGATCGTCGTGTTATATCATATTTGATATGATTGAAAGGGTCATAATACACTGTTGTATTTTTTACGCTGTTTTATTTGTTTTCAATCTATGGAGGCTGCACTAAATTGTTCTTAAATACTGATATTGCTTCTGACATACTTTTATAGGTTTATTAATGTATATACCGTGTTGTTTTATTTCTTACACCATATTTTAACTCCATTTACTCGATAACTTTTAATCCGTAGAAAGTTTTCCGTATACGTGCATGATGTCTATGTTCGGTGCCTTTGTCACTTACATCATTATAGTCTGCATAAAAATTAAGTTTGAGAACAATAAATTAACTATTGTCAATGACTACCGACAATCTACCTAAGGGTGGGTTCACTGCACTGCACAGATATGGAAAATGGAATGCAAAATACCTGAAAATCCTTTTAGTCACTTTTATATTGATTTAAGATAACCTCGGTAAGTTTTGAGACCAAGAGGTGCCTAACATTGTTATTGGTGCACTATTGCTTTCGTATATGATTGCATCTAATCACTAAACAATGTTTAAACCCAGTAATGAAATCATGTTTATAATGCAGCTCATGTTGAAGCCGATTGACACTCAGCTTAAAGCACTGGTACGTGTCCACAACTCCAGTAGTCTTCATACAACACAAAATAACTGCGGTATTGTTTAGAAAAGCAGACAGGTGGGCAGTTTGTTGACAGACGTCTATAGTGAGAAGTCATTCGGTGAAGTAATGTATTAGTGTTTTCAATTTATCATGAATGCTCAAAAAATATTGTAGGCTTCTTCTGAATCTAAGAATTTATGATGAGAATAATTTTAATGTTGTGATAAAATTTCAGAATGACCCAACCGTAGGTCGCATAAGCCACTTTACAGCCTATTTCTATACTGATTACTCAATGATAAACATGCTTATTATCTTCTCTTTCAGGATTAACTGATGCCATTTCAAACCATGATAGTGTTAGTCCACTACCTGACAATGACATAGTTGTCTCCGATACTAATCAAAATGCATATACAGCTAAAAAGGATGAGATTTGTAAATTCGAACAATTTGAAAATAATTTGGAGCCAAGCCTTGAATTTTCTGACAATTTCACTGATCCTGTTACCTTCTCTGTCCCTTCAACGAATGCCAAAGAATCAGTCATAATAAATGATCAAGACGCAGTTGAAAAAGTGGACTGTACTTCAAATACGCAGTCTTCCTTACCTACTGATTTATCTGTTGTTGATAAAGGACAGATTGTAGATAATCAGATAGGACAGTTAGGTTTGGACGGAGCACCGTCTTCTAAAGGTGACGATAGGAATGACGATTTGGGGCCTGTAAAGGAGATCGTTACTTTGCCACCAGTGAATTGTGGGATTTCTTCAAGCTCTTTAGAACCAAAAAGAATTGAATTCGGTCGCAGTATCAGCTCGAGAACAGCTAGGCCTATATATTTGAATGCACCATTGAAAAGATCATTCATTGGTAGACATGGGCGGCGAGCTCCTGTTAGGAGACAGTTTTCTGAAACTACAGGTATACGTTTAAAACTGAAGTGCTTTCTCATAGTCTTTATAATAGAGTAACCATTATGGAGCATGCTATTTTTGGTCTAATTTTTTATTGCGTTAGTTTGAGGTTGTGTAATACACACTGAAATATAGTTTTGTTACTACTTTTTACTCTGAAATTATTCATATGATGAATGTATTTTTATAAGCTATAAAGCTATCAGTTGAAAAGTAGGGTCTGAAGTTAAATTTTATTCATCAAATATCATTTATAGAGTAAGCAATCAAACAATGTCAGTGTTATTTAGTCTGGGAGATTTTAATGACATAATGAACAATATTTGAGAGGGCTTTCGTAATTATAAAATGGTTCGCCAAAGTCCAATCTGTATATTCTGCTAATCCAAATATGTTTGACAAATAAGTATATTTGTTGCAAGATTTTGCGAAATGTTCTCATTGGTGCATGACTATTCACTATATCTAATTTTGTTTTAAATTCGTACACTTGTATGAACCTGATGAACAAACATGGAATTTCACACAGACCAGCATCAGTTTCATTTCGCACACTTCTGGAATGCATACACAAAATAAGAGAACCAAGATGTAATTATACTATAGTGGTTGAGAATTGAATAAAAAGTGGTATTATTTAAAATTTAGATGAGCTATATAACTAGAAGTGTATACTCATCGATTGCTAAAGTTGTAAAAATCCTAGTCAAATAACTTTAATCTTACGTGATTGGGATAATTAGTTGACTTCATCAATTGTCCCTATGCTTCACGCCTACCATCCTTAACTTTTTCCTGTTTTAGTCCCATTTTGATAAAAATCTCTTAAGGAGGAAGTCAGTGACTTGCCACGCGTAAAGTAAATCTTAACTACATTCACAACTTCATCGGTTGACTTAATTTTCCTCTATACATCCTCTGCTTCCTCTGAACCAACTACTAATTATCTCGTAGCGTGTAAATTCGTGGAATATAAGAATAAAATAGCGTTATCTTCATCAATGCATTTATAAGAGAATGAAATTAAAATTAAAACTGACCATTCCAGTGGTCACCACTAGTTGCCACTACTTCTGTTGACAACTCTTGGTTGGGTTTCACATGACGTCGTGAGTTGGGGGTACAGTTCTCCTTAATAAGCCTATCACTAATGCCTTTTGTGGTTTATTTCCTTTTATCACCCACCAATGCTCTCAACTGCGTTGATGTTTAGTCATTTTAAGCATAAACAGCTCTTAATCTTCGTTATGTACGAAGCCCCTTCTCGATTCAGTCATTTTTAACCGATTAGTTCGATCACGTGACCTATAATTAGCATGCAAGTTTTTCCTAATGCTCAGTTTGTATCACATTAATCTTGGTTGAACACAATGGAAGCTTAATAACATACTTGCTTTTAATTTTTCAAGTGAAAAATACAAATGAAATCCAGCGGCTATGCACATTTTATGATCAGACAGGTCATATTCCTGGACTGAAATGTGATCAAATCGTCCCGGAGGCTGTGAATTCTTCAATGGAGAAAATATCAGGTGATAAGTATCCCTGTCCAAGTATTTCTTCATCTGGTCGTTCTCTTGTGAGATCTAGTTCTGTACGCACAGAAATTGAACACTGTAAACGTATCATAAATCAATTAAAATGGGATGTGAGTCGACTTCCTCCCATACCTGTTACACGATTCACTCCTTCAGTAAAAGACTTGGAAACTTTGAATTTGGACCCTGGTACATCTTCCACACCATCATCATTTCACACGAGAAGTAGATCTCAGGTTAGTAAACACTTTTGTATAATGAGTTTATTAGTTGTTTTTTAACGGAAGCAAAACTGAATAAGAGATGTGATCCCTTGATGTATGATTGCATACCTTTTAAAGATGGCCTGTTAATGTCTCCCATCTTGTCGCAGGATGTTCTGATCTTCTCGTCTCACTTATTCAGTATTTTTCTGTCTCCGTCTTTCTCTTTGGTTTTATTCCTTATAATTTCTTAGTATGAGGATATGAAGTGTCTCAAAGTGGACTAATACTAACTGATTGATGGATTAACGTAGAAATTAGTGCACAAGTGTGTCAGTAGAAGTTACCTCATTTTTATAAAAAGCAGTCGGAATAATCTAACAGAAACATAATAATACCACGATAAACAAACATGACTGCAACATAGAAAATAACCAGGTAAAAATTAGTGGAGTTTTCAAGATCTAGAAGATGGTAAAGAGTGAATATATATGTTTATCTGTTGGTTAATCACGGTCATGGCTCTCACCATCACACTTCTTTATTGATTAATATTTCGTGGTCACTTATTAAGTGTAAAGATCTATCATCAATCCACTAAAGCATCTTTTTATTTGGTGTTGGCTATTGGTGGAATACAGGACTGTCTTTCATTATATTTGAGACTCGTCAGCTGGATGTGCTCACCTCCAAGTGACAGGTGGTGTTCCCACTGTCTCGAACCCATCACCTATCTTTGCAAACGCCAAAGCGTCGTCTTATGTAACACTGGATTGACTACCTGCATGAAACTTATTGTTTGTTCCTGTGTAGTGATTAAATGAAAGACACTGACAAGAACTTGTTCTTCTGTCCCAGTGGATTAAAGGATTTTTCTCATTGTGTTCAATTACAGCTTCACAGACGTGCTCTACTTGTGGATTGGGATCAACATAAGAGAACTGTAGCCTATTTAACTCGAACTGATCGAAATAGCATTCCTTATTCTACCGAATTTTCGCTATCTGAAACTATTTTTTTCTGGCGTCAGTGCTTTGGAAATATTAATCACAACAGACCTACAACATCTAATTCCCGACGCCAGCAATCAAATATGCTTGCATTCAGTGACTTTTCTACTGGTAATCTGAGCCTTCGTCACCAACGATTACCAAGGGGATGGCGTTCTCACAGTTTACGTTATGATCCTGTGGTAAGCTTTAGTTGTAACTATTGAATTTGCTTGTGTTTACTTGAATGCAACTGACTGATTGTTTGGTTGATAAGACTAGACTGGAGGGATACTAATTGACCTATTGGTAGCACTGGTTGATGGTATAGCTGAGTGATCACTACTCACAGAAAAACTGAATTTCTCGCATAAGCTTCTACTTAATTGATATCAGAATACAAAACAACTAGGCACATGAAATGATGTAATCTTTTTGAGAGAAGAGAATTCGTCATCTAAACCAACATCTTAAGCGATAATTTAAAAATTTGGGGGTATCTTCCCAAGCACTCTTTGAATAGGAATCGACACGTCAAGATTAGTAGTGCTGTGTACTGTAATATAATGATGGAAATTTACAGATTGAAATTTTCTTAGGCTGTGGAACGCACCTGTTTTTACTGAGAGTATTCCATTTCTTAGTCATGGGGCAGTCGAATTCCGTTTATCAGAATCAGTTCTGCAATCATTTACAGCATTGTGGATTAACTAGCAAGCAGCTACATTTTATTGTGTGCGAAGTAATGATACTACTTGGTTGGGTTGTCAAAACACTTAGACTGAGATTTTACTACGATAATCATCAGTGATAAGTTGTCAGTACTGTAGTGTACCACTTTTTGACAGTTGAAATTCTGTCTTTAATCATATGACCAAAAACTGGGTTCTGTGGTAATCCTTTTCTTATGATTATCCATTAAATCTGTAAATCGTACGTTGTTCATATCTTTGACATGTCTGTGTTACATTTGCACAGAAATAGCTCATGGCTTTCTTTTTTGAATTTGCATAATATTTACCTATAGTTTGTCAGTTTATACATTTGTTTTTCTTTTCTCATGTAATTATAAAGATTGTCAGTTATACAGCTTATTTCCATTTTGTCCATATTTCCTAGGCAATGAATTCAATTACACCATACCTTCGACAACTTGTTCGTCGACCAGGTACAGCTCTTCGATTACAACGTCAACAATCGGCTGGAGCATCTTATTCCCCAATTACTGATAGTATGTCACTCCATTTTCGAACATCAGAAATGAACAATGTTCAATCTTCCAGAGGTGATTCACACGTATCTCTCGGATCCGAGATTACTGAAGCAGTTATATTAGAGGGTCAAGAAGGAAGTAAAGTTGTTGACATGCCCGATGGGGCAGAAATTCACAACGAAAAATGGTATATTCCAGAAGAAACTTATTCCACTCTACCGAATTCAGGTGTGCTTTGCAAAATTTCTGTAGATATATCATGTTTCAGTTTTTTAGTGTTGTTTTTTTCCGTGTGCATTAATGTCGTTTAGGTGTATCCTTGATAGCAAATTCATGATAATGTGAAGTAGTGTATCCTTTAATACTTCCTCACTTTGGTATCCAATTAGTCAGTTGTAAGATAGTTGAGTTTAATTTAGAAATATCGCTTTATATACACCATAAACTTGAATTATTATCATCTTAATATAGATTGACATTACAAGTCCTACAGTTGGAAACACCCTCAAAACAATCACACCTTAAACTGTAAACACTGATCACATTCTCAGCACATACATTTATCAAGTGAACGCTTCAGGTTCATTTATTCCCCTTTTGATGGGTGGGTACACTGTGTAACAAATTTTTGATAATCACACACTGTTCATATGCAAAATTCTTTTTAGAAATAAGCTTGCGTGTAATAAACTTTCTTGTGAACACTAGTTAGTGTACAGTTTATTTAATTTTTCTTTGATTTCTGTTCCTTTTTTATATTTTAGACTTAAAAGAAGAAGGAGGTGAATGTTTAGAAAACAATGAAAAAGATGCAAACACCACCGTCATCACCACCACCACCACCAACAACAACAACGACAACAGCAAGGACAACACAGTTCCTACTTCATTAGTCGATAGTATTTCTACTGACAACATACAGTCGTGTAAACAAATAAGTCATCCTTTGGAATTAACCAATCATGATAGTAGTAGCAGTAGTGTTACTGGTGAACACAATAAATTACCTATCACTGAAATAAGGTAATTTTTGTTTTTCACTGGAGAGACAGGGAATGGGAGCTTCTGCGTCATCCATTTTTGTTGTTGTTATTATTGTTTTGTTTCTCATAGATATCTTTATTTTATTATTCACTTATATACAGATGGTTTCAATATCGGATATTTAGAAGAATTGAGAGAGAGAAAAAAGGTCATCTCACTAAACTGTGTCTTACGCAAAGCAACGGATACACTTTAATTGGTTATATATATCAGCTCATGATGAAATCCTCCATGCAATCAAACAAAATTCCCTACAAAACCAATACTTGAAAATTATTCTGATGCTCACTAGCGACCGGCTCTATTCAGGCAGTTAACCTGGGGTTCTAGTGGGAAGCCGTGACCAGTAGGGTACAGCAGGTTGACGGTGAGGCAGTAACTCATCGAAGAAGACATTGCGAAATGGTCGTGCTATGTCGTGAATTGGCAGAAGTTAGAATTCACGGGTTGGCCATTGGATCGGGTCCCAGTGGCTGAATGGTCTACGAGCTCGCTAGCCTTGTAACCAGAAGGTCCTGGGTTCGAACCCTGGAGGTGGGTACGTACTGATGAAGAGTCCCAAAATAGGCTGATGAAACAGCTGTCCAGTACTCCCAGTTGGTTTTCCAATGGTTCTCTAACTGATGTCAGCTCATGATGAAATCCTCCATGCAATCAAACAAAATCCCTACAAAACCAATACTTGAAAATTAAAGACTGATAGTTGTTCATTTTTGAATTCAAAAAAGATTGCGTAATACTTTATTCTACAAGACTGCGAGTAATTTATAGATAAACGCAATTAAATAAGGAGTGGTTTTATGTGACACACCTTAACAACGACGCTTATTGTAGCATTGTCATGTTCACGTAAGGATATAATTAATTCATTATTTAGATATTTGACATTAAATTATGAAGTGGGAAAATTTTTATTAGGTGCTTATTCAGATGACTTCAGAGTTCTTGCTATTTTATGACTGTAAATGTTGTTTCATAGTTATATCTAGGCTTCAGGCCTCAAAGTTAAACACAAAAAAATTGCATTTTCAGGAATTCTTCGTTTTTACTTGCGTCCAAATGGCGCTCACTCAAACTAGGGGTGGTAGTTAGGCTATACCATATTGTCATAAGGTGTAAGAAGTCATCAATCATGGTTTTTAAGAAACAACCAAGTGTGAGTGCGATGAGAGTTACTAAATATTACATAACAGTAGCAATAATAATAATTATTATAATTAATTACTAAGAAAAGTAGCAACAGATTTAGTAAATGAAAAAGGAGATTGTCAAAACAAGCTAATACAAGAATTAACATGGTATTTACGTCATTATTGAAAATTAGTTGGACATTCTCAGAAAAACAAAACTCTGTTTTTGCACAGAACTTGAATTTCATGACTTTGACCGCAATAATTTAACCAGTTTATAAAGACTGCAATTTTTGTACCTGCTACAGATAGTTAATTGCGTCGGTGGCACAGCGGTTAGGACGCTCACCGAGCATGCACATGGTCCGGGGTTAGATCCCCGGCTGACTCACTCCTTTACCTCGCTAAGCCAGTAATAAAGCTGGAAATAGGAAAGGTTGGGCATGAGGCTAGCAACCCCATCCTGTAAAAATAAACACTGCTACAGAAACTTAAACTTTCTAGCTTGAAGCCCTATGTTCCACTGGGAACGTGAAGGAATGAAAAACAAACAAACAGATAGTTAATTAGTTTGTGAATTATTGAAGACGTTATATGTGATCACTGTTTTCTTCATCAGCTCCTGTTATACCTGTCAATTCTCCTTTCGACATAATTCGCTGCAAATAACTTGTTGGACAGGAGCAATGAAATTATCCCTACAGGTTGGTAAGATAAATGTAGTTGTGGACCTTACTAGTAATGTAGCCGTAGGAAGTGTCTTGTCCAGCACTGAAGGTGTGTTGCCCACACCATAGGAGTTGATCTTTTCTTGACTGTACAGCCTAGTGTACAACTGCCTGAGGCCGTGTGGTAGAGTATAACTCCATTATGCATAAGATTTATACAGTAATATTGATATGAGCAATAGTTTGTGCTCGAAACGTCATCAGTTAATATTACTGCATAACACTGTGATTTATCAAAATAAAATCTTATCCATAATGGGGTGCTTGAGGCCGGTTACGCAAAACCTGTTCGAATTGGTTTTTAGAATTATATTTGTAGTAAAATCTTACCGCCAACTGCGGTATGTATGTCGGACAGTACAATTTCCGCGGTTGACCTTTTCTAAACTTCACTCTCTAGAGCAATGAGGAAGCATAGTTGACATGCTGGTCATCTGATGGAAACACCTTAGTGCAGTCACATTCCTATTTGCCAGTAGTAAATGACTAACACTGTGATAAGAACTGCTCTTAGTCTACTCATTATCCAAACGACTTTTCTGGAGCAACATTCGTTCCGATCAGTGTAACTTGTTGGATGATTGCGATGTGTCAAGGTAGCAGTTATCAATTGGGTTTTAGCTGAGGGTGGTCTATCAACTGCCTGTTCTGCTTCCCATATTGACTTAAATAAAAAAAGTCTGAATACTCCTTTCATCTAAAAGTGTATGTGTGTATTTCTGTTGCTTATCCATTTATCATTACTTATAATCTGTCATCTGATTCTATTAACTCTTGTTGTAGCCATAAGCAGATTGATTGAAAAATTGATATGTGTCACCGAATTCCAGATTCTCTCTCTTTCATTTAAGTTAAGCAGATAAATTATACGTCAGATTTATATTAAAAAATATATGTTTATTCTTTTTGCAGTGTAGTAGTAAATATTAAAGGGAATTGAGCCCTTCAGTGGCGACTTTGTTTATCTCCTAATTGACTCGCCATACTCACCTAAAAGAAGTAGGCATATATGCTAATTACATCTTTGTTATTGATCGACTAACCATAAACGATATTGCATTCTTGAAGACCATCAATCACACTTATTTTTGTAGATCAATAATGACAAGTATATTACTATTTTTGTTACATTATTAAGAAAAAGTACTGTACCGTCTTCGCTTAGTTAAAAAAGTGGATTTGTTTATTATTCCCTGGTATCAAACCAAGTATGAGCGGTATGAATAGACTAATTGTATATTTATAAAGAATCATAGATCTTTCGGTTAGTTGCGCACATTTATAAGCAGCTGGACTTCATGACTAGTTTTGAAAGTGCCGGAATTGTGAGGTGGGTTATGATCAGGAGTGCTTCGAGTGCTTCTGGAAGTGTATGGGCGATTTTTACTGCCCGGCTACCCAACTACTTGAGACTGGTCACACATGACCTGTTTTTTGAAATGGTTATTAGAGTTGTGTCCGTATTAAGAACTTACCGCCGGCTACGAACCGCCTTAGAGCAAGTCGGGATATACGATTTTTCGGGTCTGCTCTTTCTAACTGTACCCCTCCAGAGTGGAAATGTGAAATAGCTGGGATGCAGGTTAGTTGAGGGAAACACCTGATTCCTGTTATACCTGTGTTTCTCAGCAGTACGACTTTACCCACAACACCCCTCCCAGTATAGTGTAAACATCTTACACTATGATGGTAACTACTTTTAGTCTAATCGCTATTCTAACAGCTTTTTCTGGCATAGTAGGACCTGTAGGGACATTAGCTCCATCCAGTGTAGCTTGTTGGTTCGTTGCGATATGCAAGCCCGACCACTACATCAAGTTAACAACTATCGGTCGAGACCGAACAAATTGGTCCCCTTAAATAGCCATCCAGCGGTTCTGAAGCTCGAATTTTAACAACAACCTGGTATCAACTACTATTAAGATATGTGTAAGAGATATTTAAGCTTTTTGTCACCCTTAGACTTGACGGAAGTTTTTCTTAATGTGATGTTTGTAAGGAGAAGCCACTCCGTATTGGACAAAATGCGATTATTTTCCAATTCATCTATAATAGCTTTTTCAATATTATCATCACTGGGATTTTAACCACAGTATACTAGCAACACGAATATGCTGAAATAAAAATTCTTGTTTCGCTCAAAAATCATCTTATTCTAGTTCTTGTTAATTGAAATAAACGTTCATGGGGAAGTGATTACTTTTACAGGAGGAGAAATGTTACATTCTAAACTAATTTCCAACATTTCATACGTGATTTCCCTTGTGTGAACTTGAACAAAAGAAGAATAGAAAATTGTGTAGAATAATACGATATCATTTGATTTCGTTGGTTCTAGTCAACCTCATACGATCTAAGAGGAAAACAGTTTCAGTATCAATACGCAAAATATTTACCTAATTTAATTAATTAGCTGGAAGATGTTGACACTTAATGCAGTGTAACTGAATACACGAAGAGTTTAAAGAGAAGGATTACAGGTGTTCATAAGCTTGTTGGTGTGTATATAGAAAAGTTGCAGGAATATTCTTGCATTAGGATGCTGTAAATCTGCTTTGAAAGGTCGGATATTCGTTCTTCAGAGACTTAATCGTGTGAATGGATTCTGTTATAGTGAAATGTGATTCGATTGTGCGATATTTTCAAGGATACATATATATATATATATTTCATTCCGAATTGTTATTAGATGGTTGGAGGCAATCGGCAGGAAGCCTTCGACCTAGGAGGTCAGTCGCGAGCTCGGATAGCTCAGTGGTAACGTCTCCGACTGCAGCACTGGGTGGTGACACGGGTTCGAAACTCAGAAGTGTCATGAGTTCCTACAAGATTGCAGATACACCTTGCTGACGAGTGCCAACAAGCACGAAGTGTAGGTCCAAGGCTTTCTGCCGATTGCCTCCAGCCACCTAACATGGTGGCAACACTGCAAACTTGACCGATAGAATTCAATCTACAGCAAACAAAGGACTAGGCACATGACACTATTTAGTGTCCAATCAAAACATTTCATTCCTTTGCATTTCGAGTGGAACAAGGCTTGAAGCTTTGAGATTTGAAGTTTCAGTGGCAGTGGTGTTATTCAATTTTACGGAGTGGGATTGCTAGCATAATGTCCAACCTTCTCCCTTTTCATGGCTTACTGTTGACTAGCAAACTAGGCTAGTTTTCAGGGTGCATCGGCCAGGAGTCGAACCCTAGACCACATGCGTGCTTGGCGAACACTCTACCACTGAGCCGTCAAAGCATATATATATATATATATATGGAAAGGGGTTCATTATTCATAACTAATTTCCCTTCCACTGAACTTAATACACCTTTTTTTCTTCTTTCTTTAGAAGTAGCAATCGTCTGACGCGACAGGCTGGCTTTCGTCGGAGACCTGCTGTTTCCTCACGTCCATGTAGTCAGTCGAAAACTGTATCTTTACATCAAAGTGAGAATGACAGTTGTTCATCTGGTAGTCCATTACGGATTGAAGATACCAAAGAAATACCGAAAAAAGAAATAGATAATGATTGTGCTCAGGTACAAGTGTTGACTATTTTATTCATAAATATATACTACTTATTTGGGATAGAGCCATTATTATCATTATTTATTTATACGTATGAAATATTATTTATTTGTTGTTTAACATCTTTCTATATATATAGACTTCATCGTCTGCTTCAAAATCCACTTCTCTGAATCCTATTTCAGTGGATCAAGCTGTTGGTAAGTGTTTTTTTTGCTTCTTGATTACAATAAATTCATTGAATAAAGCTGCAATGATAATTTGTTTTTGTCGTATCTAATTTTGTCAAATGAGGAGGACTTGTATGGGATATACTGGCTATCAGAGATCGCCTGTTCTTTGAACTTTTCATTAGCATATCTTTGATCTTCAAAGGGTAAAAAAGGGCTTTATGCATTTATACCTGAGATTTAGACTCATTCTCACATTTAGTCGTTTGTCCTACTTCTAATGATTTAAATTAAGTAAATTCAAATTTACGTTTTTATAGGTTGAATTTAACAAGTGAAATAATGCGAATTTAAACAACGTTCCAAAAGTCATTCGTGAGCACTGAGTGGTATTAAGGAGAGACAAACCTGCGGAAACCAGACAGGCCTAAAGGGGCTAGGGCAGGGATGAATTGGTAAAACTTTTTCTCTTCGAAGTCTCCAAGACTCCAAGCATTTGAAGGTGTCGACCGAGAGTTGTTGTGGCAATGTCTTACCGAGAAAGTATATCACATAGCCTTTTAAGAGGTTACGAAGAGTTGTAATCTGAAGTAGTGACCATCATTGGGTGCCCACTGTCTCCATTTTTGTTTAATTTCATCATACTTGCACTAATGGATATGGTGTTAGTCAACTTCAGTGACTTAGGGGTTGACTTGTTATCAGGGCACAGTCTCGTTGAATTAGGATAAGTGAATGATATTGTCCTTCTAGGAGTAGACGGTGACAAAATGCAGAGTCTTATGAACACCTTGAGCAGAAATGTTCGGTATGTAATTCGTGCATGTCAAATGTAAGATTATGATGTAGGACTGGTCTGCGCGATCTCCTAATTTAAAGACAAGGACCAAAGTGGTGGAGCGCGTTGACCACTTCACTTATTTAAGAAATTGCATCAGTAGTAATGGACGGATCGCTGACAAAATCTCAGCTCAAATACTAAAGGCTGGTGTAGGGTTTGCCAACTTACGTCATCTCTGGCATAGCCATGGTGTCCAGCTGTAGATTAGAGGACATGTTTACTGGGTAGCAGTTTGCTCTGTCCTCCTTTTTGGCTGTGAGACGTGACCGTTGAAAGTGGACGACTTGAGGTGGCCAGCTATCTTCAGACCACAGATGTTTGCCTTCTATCTCGTGTGTTAAGTGATATATGCTGAGTAATGATGAGGTTAGGTGTGTAGTGTTATTTTAGGAGGACAAGTCAATCAACGAGGTTGTTAAGCTACATCGATTAAGATGGCTAAGATACATGTTACGCATTCTAAGTTACAACTCACCTCGGCCACCAATCTTAATTGGCATAGGATAAGGTTGGAGAAAAGTTTTTTAATTCCTTGAACTCCTAATGGAACATAGGGCTTCAGGCTTTGAGGCCTCGAAGTTTCAGTAGCACTGGTGTTGTTTTTACGGGGTAAGGTGGATATCCTTACCCTCAACCCACCCTATTTTCCAGGTTTACTGCCTCCTAGTAAGCCAAGCAAGATTTTGGAGTACGTCGGCCGGAAATTGGAGCCTTGACTAAGTGCTGGGGTGGTGAGCATTCTACCACTACACCACTGGTGCACATTGGAAACGAGTTAAGGTTGGTGGGATCTAGACCTGGCATCGGTTCATGAAGTCTTTGAGTGTCGGTTAGAGTCACGTAGGTTGGATGTCCTCGAGATACTAAGAACCAATGCCTTTGATACTGTTGATAAAATGGCTCAATCTCGTTCTCAGTGATGCAGATGCATCTACTCTTTGCCAGTCTTCTCTAAATCCTCATTATTTTCCAGTGTAATTACTACGTCTGCCTTACATTTCCGTCCATTGTAGTTGCTGTTTTTTTCTTCTCTCTACTGTTGTGTGCAGTGTGGCGACCCGAACTGATGTATTTCTGTGCATAATTGTACGTTGTAAACTCAGCTCATTTCGTGTTACTCTCAATCATCTGTCAGTTTTATGTGATTTATTTTAATGAATCCTTTGTACAGAAATCTTTAGTTTTGTGAAAAGGAGTAGATGGCGCCTTCAATAAGAAGGGGAAACATCAATTAGTAGAGAGGAGACTCATGTAACTGTCACTTATAAAGACATGGCGTATGCATATCACAGCAAGAATAAATGAACACAATCTATGCACAGTATAGAAGGATGCGTCCACTACTTAACTTTTTTCCATTTTTATTTAATGAGACGTCTGATTATGGTTATAGAACAGGGTAGTCTCCAGAAATATGACGAATTCAGCTTCCGCTAAATGATGGGACTAAGTCACCATACCTAATTTAAGGCTATGAATTCTGTTAAAAATGTTAAGGCGTTAGATAATTCCCAATTTATTGTTCTAGGTCAAACAATGGAAATTGGTTTTCCAAACATTGGTAGGCAGAGTGCTGTTAGCACGTGTCAACTGTTGTCGATTCCTGAGACGATCCATCCACAGCTTTATCCCTGTTAACTAACTTTATTACACTAGTTACTCAATCGTGGAGACAATGAGTAGTGTATAACGAATTGTTTGCTATTCCTTTTATAGATAAACACAGTATTCAGTATTCATTACTAGTCAATTTGGGTTATTTAATGTTTTAGATAATCTACTCGCTCACCTTATGGGTGTAAAATCCTTGGCTGAAACTGGATTAACTCGTCAACAGTGTTTACTACAATTACGTGGAGATGGAAATGCTGAAGATTCAGAAAAGTGTGTTTTTTGTTTTTACTGATTTGTCAAATTTTTTTCCCCTCATTTAAATCTTTCGCACGAACTGTGATCAAGTTTTGTAGTTCTCTTATTTTTTTGGGGGGTTAATGAATCGAATGTAAATTGAATTTTAGGCTAATGTAGGAATAACGTATAGGAGAAGGAGAATTTCTAAGAAAGTGTCAGTGTTCAAATGAATTCAAATACAATTCTTAAGTGGTATATTAATCTTCAAACTGCTCCGAACATAGTTGCACTAACAAAGAATTTACCCGCACGTTATCGAAGGGCAAGTGTAATTTAAGTTAGTGCATTCTGTCCAGCTCTACGACTTTTACAGTACTCGCCTATAGTTGAACGTAAATGAATTTAGAGCTTTTTTGTTATGGACACTATACACAAAGTTTACGAATGCATCAACATGCAGGAACTAATTAGAGCGAAATTATGTCCTGAAAATGCTGACAATGGCAAACTCAAGAAAGAAAACGGCAAGAATTTATTATATCTTTAAATTTTAGCCTGAGATGAATTTGGAATTGTAGAAAATACCCATCAGGACATTAGAGAAAAAAAACAAGAATCTAAGCAAAGATATCTTTCTGGTGATTTCATCGTCAGAAGCAGCTGTACAATCGCATTTATATACAGACGTTTGCATAGATACGTGCATCGGTGGCTTAGCAGTAGAATGCTCGCTAACCACGTATGTAGTCCGGGGTTCGATCCCCAGCCGACGCACTCCTTTGCCTCGCTAAGCCAGTATTAAGAGTAGTGAAGAGAGAAGGTTGGATATATTAGGCTACCAACCCCACCCCATAAAAACAAAATCACTGCTACCGAAACTTCAATGCTGAAGCTTGAAGCCCTATGTTCCTCCTGGAACGCAAAGGAATAAAGTGACAATGATAAAATACATGGATAAAGTTGTTATTTAATTCCACATAATAAGTGAAGGAGACATGAAATTTCGAAGGTGCGAATATTTAATTACAAGGGGTTTAGGAACAAAATTACACTGGATTACGAAATAGTTATGTAATATGTAAAATGGTTTTCAATGAAAACAGGTGTAAAAGAGGTGAGCATGCAAACAAACTGAAACAATAGTTTTTATAACTGAAGATGAAAAAACAAAAACTAAGAAGTCAAACCGAACTAGATTCATAGCAAATGTTTAGAGGTTAGACTAGTTTCTTTTGAATACACATAGCTCAGGGTTTCCGATGAATATGGTGAGGGATTCTGCAGTACAATGAAGTCGGAAACACACTGCCTTTGGTAGATTTTTGTTTATTTTGTAAATGACTCTGAATGATGAGGCAGTTAAGATGCTGTGACAAGTATTGACTAGATGTTCAGTTATGGCGCTTCTGATTGAATCAGGGACACGTGTTCGCAGTCATGCTGTGTAATGTTTTGAAATGATGTATATGGAACGACCTATGTACCCAGGTTCATAGGAGCGGGTGAACTGATATAGGCACATTGAAGTGGTCATATATAGGAGCCTGTCCTTCACAATGCCTAGAAGTAGTGGGTGGCTAGAAAATGTCACTCTCAGTGTCGCTATTATTTAGAACTTAGTAATAATTGTATCTATGTAAACTTATGTATATAAATGTGATTGTACAGTAGCTTTTGAGGATGAAATCACTGAAAAGACGTCTTTGCTCATCTTTTTCCCTCTCTTATCTCTATTAGCCGTAATCCTCCAGATGTTTAAGACAAATATGAATAGTTAATTTGTTTTTACTGTTTTGATTTAGAAATTGGTCACACATATGAGATGCACATGTGTGTTCATTTTTTTCTTTCTCAAAATATTGAATAACCTTCAAGTGTATGCCCTACTGGTTTTGTTTTTGTTGATATATTTTTGATTTCTAATGGTTTCCTTTGGCTTTGTATTATTTCAACTTCACAATTGATGGTGTGCTGTTGTATGTATTTCTGCGCATTTGTCTGTTCCTCAATAAAGATTTTGCTTACACTATTTTCAAAATTATAATGTCTAGATACTTTTTTTTTGAAAATACAAATGAATAATACATTTGGAGTGTGTTCACTATATGATACATTATATTACAATAGCACACTTGAAAAATATTACCGTATTCATGCCTTCCGGTATATACAGTGAACAGCGTTCATTCTTCCGAATTACTAATAGGATGTTTGTGATTTATTATTCTGTGAAAGGGAACTGAGTGATTTTTCGATTATGTTGATAAATGCCATTACCAATGTGTGGAACTATAAAATTTTGTTTATCAATGTTATCGTAAATATTATGGGATGCTGTAAGTCTATGCTTGACATGGAAGAAATGAAAAGTCTAGCTGTCTCTGATCGTAGATGTCTGCATTCTATCTCCCGTGTTAAGTGGTATAATGTGGTGAGTAATGTTGAAGTTGATGGTATGGCGGCAGAATGCTCGTCGACCACGCACATGGTTCGGGGTTCGATCCGCGGCCGACGCACTCCTTTACCTCGCTAAGCCAGTATCATGACTGGTGAAGAGGGAAGGTTGGGCATGAGGCTAGCAAACACATCCCGTAAAAGTAAGCACCACTGATACTGAAACTTCAGGCCTATGTTCCACTAGGAACGTAAAGAAATAAAAATAGTGCTGACGTTAGGCGTCAAGTGTTAGGTAAAGGAGGAAACTCAATCGATGAGGTCGTGAAACCACATCATTGGAGATGGTTAGGACATATGTCACTCATGCCTAGCCATTACCTTCTTCGACGGGCAATGTTAGCTGACATTGGATTAAGTTGGAAGGGAGCTGGTGGTGATCAAACCAACACATGGCTTCATCAGTCAATGAAATCCATAACAGTTAGTTTAAACCAGCCAGCCATGTAGGGAGATGTAGACATGCTGCTTGGGGTCCTCGGGATGGTAAAAACCAATGGAGGCTAGAAACAATTAGGGATATGACTCGAGATTGTTCTCAATCTCTCAGATGCATTCACTCTTTGTGGTCTATCCTATCCAATAAATCCTAGTATTATCACTCTTTCTTCCTCACGTTTCTGCTTTTTATTGTTCTTTTGAATATTTTTTCTCTTTTTTCTCCCTCTGTATGCTGCGTAAAGTGTGGCAACTCGAATTATAGCACTTCTGTGCAAAGTTCTATGTTGAAACCAGTCAGTCATGCTTGACATGATTTTCAGTCAGTGGGTCTCTGGTCGCGTCTCACCCTACCTATTTCAGCCTGGGCATGTGGATAGTAGTAATATAGGTGTCTCATTTTTGGTAAATGTGTCGTGTTTTGAGTAGTTTGCGAGTTAGTATAAGAATTTTCAATTTATATTCATAACTTTGCAGATGTAAAGCCTAACTTCAAGAGTTTTTATTCATGTCTATGTCTGTCTCTGGATCTTTATTTTTGTCTTCCATCAACTTTTATCGCACAACACACTGATGAGACATATACTGATATTTTAAAAAGCTGGCCTGTTGATTGTTAAAATTTAAAGATATGTATAAGGTAAATATGTACAATCTCGTCTCTGGTGTAGCTAAGTTGATAGTTCTCATATCCAAACGTTTGAAAATAATGTGGTTTTCTGGGACAAGTTGTTTTGGATCTGGTTACATTTTGCCTCAAAGAGCTGTGTTGCCTGGTTGATGCAGAACTGAAGTAAACGAAATAAAGTCTTCGTTGAGTTATCTGAGCCCTAAAGAAACTGGATTTTTTCTATATTATTTTCTTTATTATTCCCTTGCATTCCGAGTAGAACATAGGGCTTCAACAACTCGTCTCCACTTTATTCTGTTTTCTGCCGTCCTCTTCAGCTGGGTCCACTACTGACCAAACTCTCTCATCTCTTCCTCACACGATATCCTCCATATCACCCTCACACCGACGACCCACTCATCGCTTCCCATTTGGATTCCACTCGAGCACTGGCCTGGAATGCGATATCATTCGGCGGTGTCCTCAATGTGTGCCCGTTCCATCTCCACTTTCTCCCACGTATTTGTTGAGCGATCGGCTCTCGCTTGCTGGTTTGTTCCCAGAGTTTCTTGTTGCTAATTCTTTATGGGTATTTGATCTTCAGTATGGAGCCAGCGAAGGCAGTTGTTGATGAAAGTCTGCAACCTGTTGGAAATCCTTTTCGTGACACGCAGTGGAAATTTCTGACCCGTATAGGCGAACCGACTTCACATTATTGTTGAAAATCCGAATCTTGTTTCTTATGCTCAGTGCAAACTGGTTTCAGGTTGATGAAGGCGTATCCTTTTATATGTATATATATATACGAAACTATCAAAGTTATTGGTTGGTATTCTCTGTCATTATCTGTTAAAACTTGTCTTACTAGTACTACTGATGCATCAGTCATTTATTGTGTACTGTTTTTACTTGGTAAATACACACACATACACACAAATATTCTACTTTTTACTTCCCGTTTTGACTTATGCACTCTTTCTACATTTTGTCGTTACCACCTACTGTTATCGATGTATAATTTTAATTTCTATGACTTACTCTTCCACTTCGCAGTACTCTATATTATGCTGTCCTAGTCTGTAGTGTACAAAAATTATGTCATTAGTTACATGTATTTTGCGAATTACTATTATATCATTATCATTTACTTAGGTTCTGAGGAGAATATAAGGCTTCAACACTACACCTCCGTTTCCTCCTGTTTTCTACAGTCGTCCTCCGCTGGCTCCACGATTTCCCATAAGCTTTCATTACTTACTTCTCACACAATCTCCTCAACATCATCCTCAGACTCTTCCATACCCAATTCACCATTTCCTAGTTGGGTTCCACCAGAGGCCCTGGAGTGCAATGTTACTCAATGGTCTTCTCAACTTGTGTCCGATCCATCCATATTTCCTTCGGAATATTTGTTCGGTAATGGATTCTTGGTTGGTTCGTAGCTTTCAAGAGTTCCTTGTTGCCAGTCTTTTCTGTTTAGTGTTTATGTGATCTTCAGAATAGAGCTAGTGAAGGCAGTTGTTGATAGAAGTCTGAAACCTGTTGGCAATGGCTTTAGTGACACTTCAAGTCTCTGAACCATATCGAAGAACGGACCTGAGAGTAGTGTTGAAAATTCGAATCTCGTGTTTGTTGATGAATGCAGTAGGATGTTCACACTGATTTCATACTAATGAAAGTTTATCTTGCCTTTCCGATCATTGCCTTGGCATCTTCATCCGTGCCGTCTGCCTGTAGCTGAAACGATACTGTATGGACAGGTGAAAAGGTGGCTTCCTTCAAATTTCTCCCGTTAGTAGTGTTTAATGCTTGTTATTGGTTAATTGGTTGGTTGGTAATATTCATCACCTCTGTCTTGCCTGTGTTCACTTGAAATCCTGTCGCTGTTGCTTCTTCTACCAACCTGTTGATTTTCACTTGTAAGTCTGGTCTACTAGCCTGTCCTAAGCCCAGAAAAAGAGGGAAGATAGGGCTATCGACTCTAATCCACAAAATTAATCCATTTGTGACAGAAACTTCAACCTCGAATGGCTAATGTTCTAGAATTATAATCATAATCATCTTAGCTGTATTTTTCCTTCATTGATACAATTCTATATGATTGTCATAATGATACGTGTCACATTGTGATGATTTTAGCGATTGATAAGACACATGCCGATAGTTTATATTTACAGCTTAGTCGGTGTGGGAATTCTCATACACGTGACTTTAATATCATTCTAACAAAAAATCATTAAAATAAATTATGAAGTCATCGTATAAATTAGTGAGAAGATAACAAGTCCGTTAAACATTAGTAAATAATGAAATTATAAACCATTTAAATGATATTCGAATAGTGTGTGATGCAGGATTAATTGTCGTTTTTATGTGTGTATTATTTATCATCTGTAACAAACAACGAGAAATTGCGATACCATCACCTTTTGCTTATTTACACGTTTCCTTCTGGTGTAGTGTGTCCTATTTGTGGCATTTATTTTAAATTTCCTGTTTAATTGATTTGACTAGACCGAGGTATATATTTAGTCTGTCTATTGACCTGGGGGTGGAGTGGACTGCAGGTACGTGCAGTTGACGAGTTCCAAACACGACGAATCATGTGTCCTAAATTCCACCATCATGATGTCTAATAATTTTCATTGTGAAATAGTAGGGAAGATTCGTGCGTCGGTGGCATAGCGGTTAGGACGCTCGCCGACCATGCACATGGTCCGGGGTTCGATCCCCGGCCGACGCACTCCTTTACCTCGCGAAGCCAGAAATAAAGCTGGTAAAGAGGAAAGGTTGGGCATGAGGCTAGCAACCCCATCCTGTAAAAATAAACACCGCTGCTACAGAAACTTCAAGCATATGGCTTGAAGCCCTATGTTTCACTGGGGAACGTAAAGGAAAAAAAAGGGAAGATTTGTAGCTCTAGTTGATGACTTTGTTCTGGTGTGTTGTCGTTGCATTCCCCGAGATAAATGGTTTAATTCCGAAGCTTTCATTTAAAGTTACATTCAAGTTACCTCTGAAGGCGTTGTCCAGAAATACATTAAAAGCCAAGCAAGTGTTTAATTACTGAACATATTTTTTGTTCCTGGTTTTGGTCACATGTTAGTCTTTTTTGTACATTTACCTTGTGGTTGTTATGATATAATTTTTATAGTGTGAAGATTCTCTAAGTAATTTTCATTATTGTCGTTAGCTGAAGGAGTTATATTACGTCTGACAGTTACATCAGTCAGAAATTTAACCGATTTATTCATTGTTAACGTTTAATCAGATGGTTAATGACTCTTATTTTGAATGTCAATCAACTTTTAGTCTGTTAATTGTTTTTACGTTTTGAATAAAAATGCAACCTACAGCTGTTGTTAATATATATATATATATATGTCTCTATACAAGTCACATCTGACACACAACTGACTGTTAAGTCATTATCGGATGAATTAGTTCATGGCTTTTAATTGAATGTCAAAATAGTCTTCAAACATAGTTACAGAAATATTTTGATTGGACACTAGTAACTAGTGTGACTTGTCTAGTCCTTTCTTTGGTGCAGACTGAATTCTATCAGTCAGGTTTGCAATGTGGCCACCATTCTAGGTAGCTCGCCATCACGGTGCACATTGGTTCGATGATATTAGATGGTTGGAGGCAATCGTCAGGAAGCCTTGCTCGACCTAGGTTTCGTGCTAGTTGCCACTCACCAGTCAGCAAGGCGTATCTGCAACCTTGAAGGAACTCATGTCCCTTCTGAGATTCGAACCCGCGTCACCCAGTGAGTACTGCAGTCAGAGACGTTATCACTGAGCTATTCGGGCTCGCAATTGACCTCCTGTAGGACTGTAGTGGATATTTTGATTGGATACATTACAAACCTGACTGATAGAATTCAGTCTGCACCAAAGAGAGGACTAGACACATCACACTAGTTACTAGTGTCAAATCAAAATATCCACTACAGTCCTACAGGAGGTCAATCGCGAGCCCGAATAGCTCAGTGATAACGTCTCTGACTGCAGTACTCACTGGGTGACGCGGGTTCGAATCTCAGAAGGGACATGAGTTCCTTCAAGGTTGCAGATACGCCTTGCTGACTGGTGAGTGGCAACTAGCACGAAACCTAGGTCGAGCAAGGCTTCCAGACGATTGCCTCCAACCATCTAATATCATAGTTATAGAGAGTCTGTTTAGACAATACTCTACTGAGTTGTTGAGTCACTTGCGTGAAACAACTCATCAGTAGGTTACAAGCATGAAAACCTTACTTACTTTACTTCGGCTATCTCCTACGGGAGGATGAGCCGGCTTCATGAACATCTCGAATCATCGCTGCCCAGGTGCGGCGATCTGATGCAAGGTTTTTCGACAGGGCTATCCAATTCTTGTTCCACAGACGGAGTCCGTAGACGGTTTGTAGCCCCAGGCACTCCATATCAGCCTTGACTGTACCAAGCCATGTTTTCAGCTGTCCACCCCTGCGACGTTTGTAAGAGAGTTCATGAAGTTTCATGGGAATTTGGTACGAGTGATATCCTCAGAATCGCTCGGCCTTTTGTTTGAGAGTGCAGCTCTAGCCTTTACACAACCAAGTGTGACCTACAAGGCAGTAGGAGTGGAGTAGGGAGTCCACTATCCATTGGCAGCCGGTGACCGGAGTTCGGTTCATAAGCCTTTTTGAATGGGGCCAGACATCCAGGACATCGAACAAGCCCTTTGTCCATACGTCTGCCGGTGAGCTCCAGTGAGCTTCATACGCCAGTCGTTGGATGTTTGAAATCAGGGTTTAGCCATCTCCCCTAGACTGTCATCCAATGGACAGTCAACCCGGTGAAGAGCGCCAGGCATCCGCTTTCGCCCTCTCACTTTGGTGAAAAACACCTCCGCCACGTGAAGGCAGTGAGAGGAGAGGCTATGTAAGACGCCCGGTCATATGGGAGCATTTCAAGAGGTGTTCGGAGGGGTGGCCAACCCGCAGCGCAAGGCACCCACCCCCGACCATCCTGAGGCATGAAAACCAGCCAGATTATAACGATTTGTATAACAAGATGGTAGTACAACCAGATCCTATGTAATGGATGTAATTGTCTGGTCCCTTATGATGGTTGAAACCAGCATTATTCAGTAACTGTGGATTTGTATCGTATTTTGATGTGATCGTTTCGCAATTATTTACCAACCTTAGCATACTTCACTAAAACACATTGTTCATTGACGTAGAAAGTGGCTCGACATGTGTAATATGTATCTTAATAATTTCCATTAACGAATATCTTCCATTACATCGAATGAACAACTGTTCTTACATTTGCATGGAGGATTTCATCATGAGCTGGGAGTACTGGACACATGTTTCGTCCTAGTTTGGAACTCTTCATCGGTGCGCACCCACCGGAGTTCGAACCCAGGACCTTCTGGTTACAAGGCTAGCGAGCTCGTAGACCATTGAGCCACTTGGACGCGATCCAATGGTCTTTGAATTCTAGCTTCTTCCAATTCACGACATAGCGCGACCATTTCGCAATGTCCTCTTCGATGAGTTACTGTCTCATCTTCAACCTGCTGTACCCTACTGGTCACAGCTTACATTTGTACATAAAATAAAATTTGATCAAGAGGAGATAATGAAAAATAACTAATTTATATTGGTCTTTCGGTCATGGTCAATTTACACCTCAGTTAGTGAGACCGCATGTGTTCTATTTAGGTTTTCTTGTTCATTGAGACGTAAAATTTTTCATAAGTGTTAAATATAAGATTCATTATCACTAAAGCGTTGGAAAAGTTTATCTGCATTATGAAATAAATGCCAGTGATATTTTTTCATTAGTTTCATATTATTCTTTTCGTGACTGTTTCACACTCATCTTTAAACCTATATGTAGAGATAAAAATATACACGAAACGATTTCAACTAGAGATCCTTTTAAAGCTAAAGAGCCTTGGATAGCCTTTTTGTCCTAGTTCAGAACTCTTCAACAGCGCAGGCACGCGACGCCAAAAAGGGATCGAAACCCAGGACTTTCAGGTTGCTAGGCGATCCATGCTGAGATTGTAGGCACACGCTACTGATTAGTTTTAAACTAGGTAGAAACAGCTGTCTATTGCTTTTTGATTTTCAGTGATTCTCTAACTGATGTTATTTCGTGACGAAGTCTGCACTGAAATCATATTCAAAATCCCTACAAAACCCAAAATTGGAATAGGAATATGCATTCTATATTTTGTATTTTTTCCGGTTAGTTTAAAATAGCGCGCATTCAAATATTGTTTGATAAAAGTGTATTTATTTTCTTTCTGACACTAAACTTATTCACCTTATGTTTTTATTTTATCCTCATCAAGCGCTGAATGGGATATTTTATATGCTGTCACTGAAGCTGCAACTGATAGCGCCACAGTACTACAGGAATCAACTGTTACCAATGGTGAAACAGTTAATCGGTAAATTATAGTTCTTTATAATTATTTAGTCGTAACATGGTAGGCTTTAGTAAATTTTCTTCACTTATTATTTTTTGCCGCTTCTCCTCTGAAATAAGAAATTGAAGTCATAGACCTGTTCTTTTTGGTGGAAGAGTATATAAATTATGATCACGACTCAATTGTATTGTTAATTTAAAGCCTTGTGTATTTCTTCAAAAGACTAGTAGTAGTGTAACGACAGAAGATAAGGGCCAGGCAACCGTTCGTTTATTGAGAAAATCAACAGATATTTATAGATTTTTATGTACATCATTATTCGTTATTGTTAGCAGAGAAGGAACGTCTTCTGATTGGTTGTTTTCCTGCTGAAGGTTATTCTGTCATCTCTTTGTTGCCGTTACTTAGACAGTCCGTTGATATATCTGCGAGTCGTATTCGCTCACGCTAAGTCTGCTGCGATTGGTTGTTGAGTTCCTCAAAGTTAGGTTTTGTTCTTGCTTTTTCTCATGACCCCGATTTGGGACGTAAACATTAACGTCATTTGTTGTCTACAATTTTGGCTGGCAGACAGCTTTTACTACAGTAGTACACTGGCTTGGTTGCTAGAATAGTTTTTCTCAAATATTGGAAGGAATAACGCCTGAACTTAGTTCGCTGGAACAGATGTTTCATGTTCCAGGCTATGAGGGTTGATGATACTGTAACAATAGAAGGCTAGACACGGAAGCCAAGGTATATTTCCAAGTGATCAAACTGCTATTTATGCATATACAGTTTTATATTCTCTAACCAATCATTGAGCGTGTAATTTTGGTTTACATTAAACCACATGAAATGGAATGTTCAAATACACAGTATTCTTTTGCTAACGCTTTATTGAATTGTGGGAATATGTGAGTATAATATTCTGTTGGAACACACCACCAAAATACTACCGCGTTGCTGAAGCTGAATTAGATGGCGAGGGATTCCAATTGTAAACCTACAGGCTGAAAAAGAAAGTCCCAGCGTTATGCAATACTACTATATTTCTAAATCGGATTGAAGTTGGTTAGAAAGAATTGGAATAGAATAGAGGCCCAGTATTGTAGCATCCAGTTTACTGCATGTTCGTGAATCAAATAGAGTACTATCCTAGTGGATAATTATATATAGGAGAGGAATTATGGCTAAGAAATCACGTTTATCAGTCATCTTTAAGATCTGATTGACTCGCCTTTTATTACCATTTCTCTTAGCCATTTAATTTTTATTCTATCACTGATAAGATAGATGTTAGTTAGTTAGTTTCAATATCTCCAGAAACATCTGGATATTTTATTAACAGAAATGAATACATCCCAATAAATGATAAAATAGATATAAGTGAAATACATATTATCTGTATTTCGAGAAACAAAGTTTTTCTCTTTCTTTTTTATTCCACTTATCTAATACCTGTAGTAATTATTTTTAGAATTAGTAAATTGATATTCATTTAGATGAAGAGTTGGATTTCATTACATATGTAACTTTACACGGCCTTGCGTTTAAGTTGTCACTGTTTATATGCCTTCATTTGAAAACCGATTTTTTCCCACGCACCCACCCCCTCCCAACTGATTTGTCTTTATGAAGCTAAATTAGGCGAATCACTGTTCAACAGACCGAAAGTTGATACTTAAGTAAGAAGACTAGTAATCATGTATAGGTCAATGGCAGTGTACTACTAAAGTTTATATTTCATTACAAAAGAAGTAAATCCTATGAGAAGTACTACAATTTAATGAGCTTATCGAATAAGGATATTATCGCCGATGATATTCCTAATTGTGCTGGACTGGATTATACGATAGACTGTGGAGAGCGAGGAGACAGGAGTACGCTGGATCACCGATGATAACACTCTAGGAGATGTGGATTTCGCGAGTGGATGATTTTTGTCTAATGTCACACGAACTCGAAGACTTAAAGGTGAAAACCAACAAACTGGCCAAGGAGACAGCGAATACACGACTGCAGGTGAACATAGAGAAGACGGAGGTGTTGAAGATAACCAACCAACAGCAGCAGCAACAAAAACTAGCACCAATCACCATCAACGGGAGAGATTTGAGAGAGGTTACCTCCTTCACTTATCTAGGCAGCCAGCATCGTTTCAACTACAGGCCGGTGGAACGGATGATGTCAAAGCCAGTCAGAATCGGAAAGGCCATTAACCTGAAACCAGTTTGGAAATCTTCTGCGTTCAACATAAGGAACAAGATTTGAATTTTCAACGCCAATTTGAAGTCGGTCCTTATATACGGGCCAGAAACTTACACTGAGAGTCACGAAAATTATTACCAACAAGTTACTGATTTTATCAACAGCTCTCTTCGCTAGCACCATACTGAAGATCAAATGGCCAGAAAGAATTAGTAACAAGGAACTGTGGGCGAGAGCCGATTGCTCAACAAATATGTAGGAGAAAATGGAGATGATTTGGGCATACATTGAGGAGGTCGTCGTATGATATCGCGCGCAATGCAGGCCATTGCTCGAGTGGAATCCCGATGGGGAGCGACGAGTGGGTCGTTAGTCTGAGGGTGACATGGAGGAGATCGTGTGAGGAGGAGATGTGAGATTGTGGGCAACCGCGGTTCAAGCTTAAGAGGGCGGCAGAAGATAGGACAAAATGGAGATGTGTTTTTGAAGTCCTATGTTCCACTCGGAACTCAAAGGAATAATAATAATAATTGAATAATGATATTTTCAGGTGTGTTTTTCTAGGTATTTGATTAGTTTCAAGCTTGATCGCAGACTGATATCAGTCAAAGGACCACTGAAACCCAGAGATACTGGGGGCCTGTTTCGTGCATACCTATGACTCCAAAAAGGATTTAAACCTATGTCCTTCAGGTTACGAGATGAGCTCGTTGACTATTCGACCAGTGAGACGGAATCCAATAATCCGTGAATTCCAACTTATGGGAATTCGTGGTCAGTTAGATTTCGTGGACCGTTTGATCCCGTTCCAGTGACTGAAAAGTCAACGAGCTCACCTTGTAACCTGAAGGCCCTGAGTTCGATTACTTGGTGGTGTTATGGGCGTGTATACTACTGGAGAGTCCCTAAGGAAGGTAAAGAAACTCTCCAGTACTCTCTTTTGTTTTCAGTGGTTCTCTAACTCATATTAATCCGTGATAAAACTTGAATAATAATAGTATGATACATGACATGTTGTTATTGTGATTCATTTTATAATTTGTTCACTGTGTCATTGAAATTATTTTTGTTTTTCCATGTCAGTGATACTCATCAGATCAATTCGGCGGGTAATGCAGGTTCGAATTCATGGGATATACAAGGTCTAAATATCACGACCTATAGTTCAGCTAACAGAAATAGACAAAGCGATGACGAGATCAACGTGCAAGGTGTGTGTGTGTGTGCGTGTGTGTATGATCTTATTACTCTTATTTTACATCTCAATAATATTTTGTCATATATTTGCATCGTTTTACTTTGTTTATTTAAAGTCTTATGTTTATATCCAACTTAGATACAGGTTGTTAGTCTGTACATTTAAACTGTTGTTATAGCCTTTTATATCTACCTGTCTACGTAGTCTATACTTGTGTTGCACTTCAAAGTTCAAAATATCACTAGTTCTTTATTAATACTATTATTATTCGGCTCCTTCGGTTATAAATTTGTGCACTTCATTTCTAGACTAATTAAATTTGAATATAATTTCAAACTATATACTTAAAAAAACACACAGGAGTAAATGTCTCATACTAACAAAGTGAATTATTAAAAAGCCATAGAATCAATGGACAATAATGATTAACAACCAATGGGGCTTTCCTTACTTCTGTTTAGTTAAGAAAACCTGTTAAAGAGATTTCTACAAGCAGTGTGGTAGAGCTGTAGTAGTTCATTGGTCTAGGCACTAAGGTAGACGGGTTCGAACCCTACCCTACCTACCAAGTATCATTAACCCTTACACAATAGGTGGTGCGTCGGTAGCTCAACGGCAGAACGCTCGCCAACCACACCTCACGTGGTTTGGGGACCGATGCTCGTCTGACGCACTCCTAAACCTCGCTGAATTGGTAATAAGACCGGTAAAGAAGGAAAGCTGGGCGTTAGGGGATAGCAACCCACCCCGTAAAAATGAAAACTACTGCTACCGAAATTTCAAATCTCAAGTTTGAAGCCCTTTGTTCCACTCGAAACACAAAAGGAATAATTACACAATAGGTATAGCCCATTGCCAGCTGCATGAAATTGCATATGGTTTTTGAGCCGCTGAAAAATTCTGATTAATTCAACTGATGAGATCGTGATGAGATGATCACACTATTAGAAGTACACAATATCTCACTTCGTAGTGATATTTTCTCAGCACAGTTTTATAATCTTGTATGAACTGTGAGAAACAGTTTACATTTCGGTTATCCCAGTTTAAATGGGATTATTCGGTGGAGTATTAATATTTAATGTTCATACGTCTTACCTTTGGATCTGACCTGATGTATCTGTCTTAACAAATGATGTAACAGGTGCTCCCATTCGACGATATCAAGCATTATTCGTGTATTGGAAAGATTTCTGAAGCATTCTAGTACATTACTTAGGATGTATTGAATTAAAAAAATACTGAGCTAAAGACCTCCTGTTTTAGTTCTAACTAAAGTATTCTTCAAGTTGATGTTTTGTTCTCCAACAAAGCTTCTAGTAGCATCCTAATGATTATCTTGAGTGTGATTTATGAGATGGTGAACAGTGTAATTATTTTCACGTGAGTACTAAGACGAATTTAGTCTACTAGATTAATCATTGGCTGCATATTGTCTTTCTTCTGGACGATTGGATTGTCGTTCGTGCCTATCTGTTGAACATGAAAGTAGTTGATAACAGCGCTGACCCGTGGTGCAGCTTCAGCAAAATAAACTATATAAAATAGTGACTATTTAAATGCCATCAGTACTCCACCCCCGCAGAAACAGTTGTTGTATGATAACGTTTGTTTCTCCTTTATGATGTTCATCGGCCTTACTTTTCTCCTGACCCTTTTTTTCGAGACTAGTTTTAAAATTCATACAAATTTTGTTTTTGGATTACAGAAAACCCACCAAATCTATCTAATGATTCTGGGTCGGATGATGAAGATCGTTCCTCTCCGAATTCCTTACTTTGGTTTTTCCGTAAAGGTTTTAAGCCGCTGAGATTACAATCCCAACGTCCTTCTCCAACTGCTCCTGTTCACACTATATCCTTGTCTCCGTGCCTTCCATTTACACTGCGTCTTCAGTTGAATCGTTTGCAGCTGGGATCTGTTTTCGACAAGTATGTTCACACTTTTTTATATGTATTTTATGTCAATTCATGGCTACTATATATCAAGCGGAAAGTGGATGACATGAAAAGGCTGGCTAGCTGCCTTTGATCATAAGCGTCTGCGTTCTATATCTTGTGTTAAGTGGTATAATAAGGTGAGCAGTATTGACGTTAGGCTTCGGTCGAGTGCTAGGTAAGGAGGGGATATCAGTCGACGAGGTTGTGAAGCTAGAATGATTGAGATGGTTAGGATATGTGTTACTCATGCATATCTAGCCATCGCTTTCCTCAACGGTCAATGTTAACTGACGTAGGATGAATCAAGTTGGAAAAGAGCAAGCTAATGGTGGTCAAACCAAAAAATTCTTTTTGCCTCATATTTCTGTTTATTATCTCTCTTCTTTTGCTTTGTGTGCTTCATGGAGAGAGTGTGGCAACCTGAACTGGTCCACATCTATGCAAAGTTCTACGTTGAAACCAGTCAGTCAGTCGGTCAGTCAGACTGTGTGATGAATAAAATTTCAACTTTTTCGTTCGGCAGTATATTTTCTAGTTTGTCTTAATTAAATTTTTGCTTTATTGTAGCTTTATTATTTAACTAATTCTCATTAGAAAGTTTTTTATAAAACTGTTATGAATGTGTTTTGTAACCACAGTAAAAAGAATTATATCTTTATTCAAAACTAAGAGAAACCAGTGATTTAACGCATGAAAACAAATCTTTTTTTAACAGTTGTATCGTGACAATTTCTAAAACTACTTAGTAGTTAGTTGTGTAAGCTAAAGTGATTCACGCGGGAGTTGAATCAGCCACCTGTTGCTTCAATGTGACTAAGCCTTTTCTTTTTAACCAATGTGCTTTTAAACTAATCAATGTCTAATCCGTTTTTCCTTTTATGTTGTGGATGACGTGAATGGACAAGTGTTTTTTGTAAGTCTACAATAACCCGGAGTTATTTTCGACCAGTCGCTACATGTAGCTGTCAGATAGGTTGTGATTTTCAATTCCTTTTGTAGGACATAATAGAATAGCTGGAGTAGGAATTAAGTCGTGACCATTGGGGTTCATCATATTAAGGTGAAGGTGATGCTTATCGAAGGCATTGGTAGGGGTTTTATCATGACTCGACAAAGTTAGAATTCAAGGGTCATTAAATTCCAGCCCAATTGGTCAACGAGTTTGATCTCGTAACCCGAGGGTCCAGGGCTCGACCCTCGATGAGCTCGTGGGTTGGCGTTGATGAAGAGTCCCAAAATAGGACGAAACGGCCGTCTGGTGCTACCTGGCTTTTAGTGATCTCTAACTAGTATTGGTTCGTGACGAAAATCTAACGAGTGAAATTATATAATATTACTTGGAAGGTATTTTGAAGTGTACGCCTAAGTGTTAGTTTTCACACAAAAGACGAGATGTGTTTTTTTCTTCTTCTTGTTTTTTTTCTTAGAAGCTTCACTATGCTTGAAACAATTTTGTGTTCTATCTTAGCCGCTTTGGTCAGTATTGTTGGTTACTATACTTTGCGCACATTAAGCTTTCAAGATTATGGACCTTTGGCGTGTTTTACAATAGCAGGTTGTCATTATTCACTAATCAAAAGTGTTCAACCAGATCCAGCCTCACCTAGACATGGATATAATCGTGTCATTGTATTCACGCGTTCTGTCTTCTTTTGTTTCCTTGCTTCAATCTATCTATTGTCCAACTACCTATGTCAATCACCAAAATCAGTACTAACAACAACAACAACAGGTCAGAGATCCAGTTTAGAGCATACTGGTGAACTTCGCTTTGAATCGACTATATCATTCCAGTCAGCATCACAAATGTTACCATCGAGTGTTAGTGAAACAAGTGAATTTTCAGTTGAGAAAATGATTTGGCGAATGCCTAATATTTATATATCATCACAAAGTACAAAAACATCAGATTCTACTACAATTAAATTTTATGGAATTGATTTATCAGTCAAGCGATTTTCTTATTTAGTTCAATGTGCATCTGCTTATGTGATTCTTATCTTCCCAATATTATTTTGTTGTGGTTTAATGCCTCAGATAAACACAGTTCTCATTTATGCCTTAGAACAATTGGATATTCACATTTTTGGTGCAAGTGGTATGTACACCTGGATTTTAATGGGATTATGTTTTATTCTACTATGTTGTGTGTGTGTGTGTGTGTGTGATAAGATTTTTTTACTATCTAGTTAACATCGAGGCATAAACACTGTCGTACTTCGTTGAATTTAGTTCCAGGTAGTTTTCTTTACTTTCCACACGACTAATTCATTCTCTCAGGTTTGTTTGTGCTAGTGAATTTTTAAATCGCATGTAGAATCTTGAGGATATTTCGATTTACAGTGAACTTTGATGCCTGTCAGTAGTAGTGCATTCTCATTGACAATTGCTGTATAATTTAGTGATTTCCATTTTAGCATTTTTTTATTCCTTTAAGTTCCCAGTGCAACATAGGGCTTCAAACTAGAAGCTTGACGTTTCGGTAGCAGTGGTGTATGTTTTTACGCGATGGGATTGCTAGCCTCCTGTCTAACCTTCCCTCTTCGCCAGTCTTATTACTGGTTTAACGATGTAAAGGAGTGCGTCGGCCGGGGATCGAATCCCGGACCACATGAGGCGTGGTTGGCGAGCGTTCTACCGCTGTGCCACCAACGCACCATTATAGCATTAAGAACACTATATTTAGCGAAGTGACTCTTTCTAGCTCGTTTATTATCAGGCTGTATAATCCTATATATATAATATCCTATGAGTAAGTTTGAATAACAGGGTGTGAATACCTAAAGTAACAATAGTGTGAAAGACAATTAAAATGTTTGTCATTATAATCACAGTTAAATATCAAATGGTTATACAAATAATGTCATACATAGTAGAATAGAGTCGGTTTTCAGGGATTTGATTGGTTACAACTCTTATCGCGAGTTGAAATCATTTAGAGAACCATTTTTAAAAACCTGAGAGTATTGGATAACTGTTTCGTTCCAGTTTGGGACTCTTCATCAGTACCCATCTACTGAGGTTCGAACCCCAGGACCTTCTAGTTACGTTGTGAGCTCGTCGTAGACCACTCAGCAAGTGGGGTCCTATCCAATGGCCCATGAATTCCAGTTCATAGAATGCATAGGTATTGGAAGGGGATGTAACATTAAAGGATTAGTAGTCAAATAAATGTTACATAACATGATGGGAAATTTGATAAGGTAGAATTTAACATTGCGTATCCGTGTGGAAAGCGTTCTTTAGTTACGGCCATTGTGCCCAGCTCCACAAGAGCAGGTGAATTGATAGATACACATGGAGGCAACTAAACGAAAGAGTTTATCTTTTTACGGAGACGTAGGACAACCTACGGCTGGTGAAGGTAGGTCATTTTGGGCTTTTTTGTAGCGAAGAACGTCTTGCCGACTGATTTAGAGAGACGATTTTTGAGCATATCTGAATCCTGATCACCTTTGAATTACAAAGTCATGAATATGGTTTTCTTTGGGACTGAGTCAGTGACCAGTTTATCTCTCGTGCTTTTGTCAATAAATCGGTTCGTGTAACCATTTCCTGTTAGCGTGGCTTTTAGTAAGGAAAGTTCTACATTTCCACAGTCAGAACTAAAAATATTTCTTATCGTGTTTACCGTTTGAAGCATTTGCCGGTGATCAGTTCATACTGGTTATCTTACTTATACTACTTATTTGTTCTAAATGTTGATGTCTAGCTTATGCTTGTATTATAATATTCGTACTAATTAGTAATTTTGATGACCCATTCATCCTGTTAATTGGTTCATGTCAATTAACACCACTCAATGGGGGTGGGTGGGCAGATGAGAACAATGTATAATAACACCCAACGGTTGTTTTACTGGTTTGGAAATACACATACTTGAAAATTGTTTGATGAATAAGGCCAGCTCATAGACTCAATTTGTGTGTAGCATTCTTTGTTTGGGAAGGGGAGGGAGAGGGAAAGAGAGAGAGAGTTGGTGTTAATTAACATCAAATAAACTGTTTATATAATCCATAAGATAATGAAGTTATGAGAAAATCGTCATTAATCTATCAATGTTTTTCAGTGTTCATAATGCCATCCCTAATCAGTGTCCCATGAACCTGTTTGCTAGTTATTATTGTTTTTAAGAATTAATTTTCGAGTAACAATTATTTCATTAGTCATAATCGGTAATTTCTAGTGTCTAATTGGGCGATTATATGGCCTATCCCCTTTTGATGAAATGGCACCACCTGTTTCTTTTCTCCGGTGGGTATTAGCGCCTTTCAGTAAGTAGGCCGAATACACTAGCATAATTTCATGAAGATTCAATAATATACATTTCACTTTTGAACTTACTGCCTCTTTTAATCCATTACACTGCTCATATATCAGTATCAAGCGACATTTTCTGATGAAAGTACAGCAAGTGTGACGCAGTCCAACTACATTACGCCACCGATATTATGTACGTCAGGAAATAATTTCTAATGCGGAGTGTCATATAAAAAGCATATGAAAAATATAACTTCTCATTAAGTCACCATAGCAACACTTTACAACGCTACACATAGCGGGGGATATACAATAAAGCCATTCTGTCTAAATTGTTTGGTCAAGTACACATAACGTCTGTCACACTGTACACATCATTATGGAATATGTTGATTTTGTGATTTGTTCCTATTCAAGTTGAGAGACTCTATGTCATCACTACTAGTTTGGTCTTGTAGGTAAATATCTGAGTTACTGAATTAAGTAGTTATTTACCAATGCTTCAGTTATACATAGATGATGAAAACGTTGATTTCTAGTGTCTGAATTTAGCTCTGTATGTGATGTAACCTTAAAGAATAAATATCAAATGGGTCTGAGTGACCTGATTCAACACAGTGTCCACAAATATTAGATCTTATTACCGTCCATCTTCTTTTAATCAAACAAACCGGGTAGTGTTCATCTACGCGTTTCTAGGGGACATGCTTACAACATCCAATGTGATTAGCTTGATAGGAGCATGTGAAGGAGTACATGCACATAAAGGTGAACGTAAATGGTAGTTTATCCTTCATGAATCGCCGAATCATAGTCTGGCCTCATTTAACTTATCCTTTAAAGTTATAAACACTCTAAAAGTTATTTACTAGTCAAAATAGGTATATAAAATATATTTCTTAGACACTTAATGGAAAGAAAAAATACGTGTACCTGATTAGATGTAGTTTCATTCATTCATGTACTACTATTATTATTCCCTTTGGTTCCGATTCTAATATAGGACTTCGGTTGGAAATCACCATTCCATTCTGCTGTCTACAGTCTTTTTTTTCAACTGGTTCCGCAATCACTTAGTGGCTTTCATTTCCTCCTTCTCACATGATCTCCTTCATTTCACCCTCAGCCGTCCAATACGTCGTTTTTTATTCATCTAATCGCTTATTATCAAAATAAAATTAGGCCTATACTTTCATCCCTTCCAAATTTGTTCTTTCCTTCGTGATTTCTTTTCATATATGTGTCAGATGGTATTAATTAATGTCCACACATTTTGTAAGAAACATTACTGTTGCTACCTAGTAAGGGAAATTAGTGCACTTGTGATATGGTTTAATAATAACCTATGGACTAAGGACCCTGACAAGAGACAGACGACGGGTCAGTCCGTCTTAGGATAGAAGACAACACATAAAGTTTATTGCTAAATGTGTGAGTGTGCGCATAGTTATCCAATTGTCGTTTTCTATTTCTTCCGTAATATATCATCGACTTAAAGTTTGAGCACGAGGTGACATCGGTTAGGGATTACTGGACAGCTGTTTCATCCTAGTTTGGGACAATGGGTTGTGACCGGTGAGGTCTGCCATATCGGATGTGAGAACAAATACTCGCGGATTACATTAGCTGATAGTCGCGCCAAAATCACGAATTGGTAAGAGTCAGATTTCATGAGCTGGCCATCGGCTCGGGTCTCAGTGGCTGAATGGTCTACGAGTTCGCCTTTTAACTGGAAGGTACTGGATTCGACCCCCCGGTGAGTGGGTACTGGTAAAGAGCTCCAGACTAGGACGAAACAGCTGCCTGTTACTCCCTTGTTTTCCAGTAGTTCTTTAACTGATGTCCGCTCGTGATGAAATTTGAAAAAATCAAATCTCTGCAAACAAACTCTTGAAAATATCGTTAATTGTTAGCAAGGACAATGCAGATGTAGTTTTCAAAGTACACTTTGTACAGTGAATAAAATAGTGTATTATTAAGGGAAATTACTTATCAATTGGCATATTTGTTTTATGTCATATTTGCCTGTTTCGAGTTAATCTGTTCAGTTTTTTTGTTGTAGAAATTTCTCTACTCTTTTTTGTGTTATTTCAGGTACTACTGGACTTTTCTCGGTCACATTCTCAATCCTACGAACGTTTATAGTGATAGGAATAACTTTTATTCCGTGTCATTATGCAGTACAAGTAAGTTTTCAATGGATAATGTTGTACTAAGGGTTTTAATAAATTGTTTACGGTGTATGTGTGTAGTTATTATGTCATCACAATGATTGAAAAGCCAGCCTGTTTGAAACCTGGGCTACCAAAATACTCCATCATTATATTGCATATAATTTCTCTAGTTCAATTTGTGTTAATCTATTAAAATATGACCTCTAATGGTGTTTTAAGCTCTCGCGAGTATTTAAAATGTCTACAAGCTGCTGAATAGCAAGTTCCTATTACACTTAAGAAAAAGCGAAATCGTGGGTGACAGCGTATCCCAATATATGAGATAGTTATCTCTGAGATTTTCAATACAAAGTACCACTGCCTGAGAAATAAGACTGATTACCTGCAGTCTTCGGTTACTCAGTTATGTCCTTGGGTCAGAAAATTTACTCTTGCACCTTTCATAATTGGCTTTTAACAAAATATGTGCATTTCTCGGTGGAGGCAAAGAAAAGATATCATAGGGGATTCTTTTTTTCTTTACTTTAGACAGCAGTGTCACGCGACTTACTGTCAGTTACTATTTCACTTGAAGATCCTTGGCATAAAGGGACTGTTGCGTAATAATTCCTGCTGAAAAATTCCGCACATTGCATAAAAACTGTTCAGAATAAAGCCATTATCATTATGTAATTTGTAAGTAGAATTATTTAGCTTAACCCATAGTTGATATACTTTGATTTGCAGGACACACCTTTTATGCCTTTTGTCACTCATCAGTGAGGTGTGATTGTAGCTATATAACTCGAATCTTCGTCATTCAATTTTGAATTCAAAGACTATATTACTAAGCTATTAGGGTTGGATTATTTAGAAGTGTTTGTGTGTGGTTGAGAGGCTTGGCGCGTCACCGAGGGCAAATGTTTGGTTTTTTCCAGGCATTGGGACTTAATTGTGAATCCAACAAAGTTAAACTACAACGATCCCTAAGGATGCGAACGCACGGGTGACCTTGAGCCGACCAATTAGGAAATACAGTGACTTATGCATAAAAATGACTTTCATTTAATAGAGAAATACATGAGAATACATTAAACAGGACATTGTTTCCTGACATAACTTGAAAATACCTCCAAATTATTATGAGGAATAACAGTTTTTAGGTTAGATCAACTTCTTTCTGTGTATGTAATTACCACCGAGGTGACTGAAGATGAGTTCTAATTGCTGCTCATTTATTGCTTTTATCCTTTTTCTCAGTATTCCTCAAAAGATCTCGACTGAATTAGTATGGGTTCCAGTAAGACTATTGGCATCAGGAAAATACGGATAATAAAAATATGTAATGCCACCCCTTAACCTAACCTTAATCATAACCCTGATTCTAACTTTAAACTTGATCCTAACCCTAATCGTGACCTTAACCCTAACAAGCTATTAACACATTGTCCAAGAAGTACTCGAAAATGAGATCGGGATGAAATGTGCACTGGAATGACAGAATAGTAAAAGCAGATCTCACTATTCAACGAATAGTATGAGCTCAAGGTCATTGGAGCGTTCACACTCTTGAGTCATTATACTTTAACTTGACCATGAATCTTTTATCACTAATGTAAATGATAACTCCATGAACACGTCGAAATGCTTCAAATAAAGACGATTTAGAGTCTTTCATTTTTCATATTGATGGTGAAATAGTTAACGTGTACACGCCTACCAATTATTCATCTTATAAATTAACTTGATTTCTGCTTTGATTATCGATTACTATGATAAATCCAAATCTCTTATGCAATCGTCAAATCGACTGTATTTTAGCTCTCTGTTTGTCTCTCTCTCTTTGCGTGTTTCTCGTAAATCATTGTTTGCTTCAATGATTACTTAGTCATACTGGTGTTTCTGATATGCAGGTGTACAACACCTGCTGATTTATTTAGTCATATGTGTAAGACCTTAGTCTTATCAAATTCTCTTACCCTGCTTGACTAAATAATAAAATTACCAAAATGTGACTAAGCTTTAGTGCAGTAACTCGGCTTTTTGTTTTCTATTATTTAATTTTTATAGCGCGTATCGATTGAAGTATCTAATTTTCTTTATTGTGTGTGTGTGTGGTCATAAATTTTAAATTTTCTCTGTTTTTAACTGTTATAAGTAATTCTGTGTGACACATTTATCTAGACACTTTTAGCGGTTTTTCGTCGTGCATTCGAAATCAGCGGTACTTGTAAGAATAACTTGAACCGTCAGATTAGTGATTTGCACACAAGCACACGCACACACACACACACGCTATATAAATACAGGCCTAGTACATGTAATTTTTGGTTCACTAAGCTGCAGTTTCCAACTTAAATTGATGGTGAACTTTGTTTTGCCTTATTAGCATCTTTTATTAGAAATACTCTTTTGAGGATGAAGGTACATTCATCGAACCGATGCATTACAAGTAGGTAGGAACGCTTGCATTAGGTTTCCATGCCAATCGGTCTTTTCAGAGGTCGCTCATTTAAGTGAATACTAATGAAATTTACACATCGTATCATAGGAATTATTAAAAAGACAGTAACAGCGAAGACAATTTTCTTTTCGATGAAGTTATGAGCTAGACTGCACATTCGTGTATTTATAGTAAGTGTGTGAGAAAGTTGCAGAATTATTTCCGGTCAAAGGTTCAATTAATAAAATTACCAAGTGTAATTAAGGCATGATAAGATGATAATTACTGAAAACTTGACTGTTTGTGCAAATTACGGATTATGGAGGTAGTTATAATAAAATAGGTAGGAAGTTCGGACATGTATAAAAATGAGAAAAAAGCAACCGAATCTAGTGGTGCAGATAGGACTTAAAAACGTAAAAATAGCAGAAATAAACAAGAAGGTTGGATAAGAAAAATAATAGGATAATCATTAATGGTGGGACTGACTTTTCATGATGGCCACGGCAAGGACAACGGTTGGACATATTTCTTTTGAACACAGAGTGGGCTTGAGTTTTTGGATTGCTAGTGCCTCAGCTATTCTTAGATGCCTTGATTTCACTACCTTCGATGGGTTTGATCGGATCTTGTATATGGCTTTGAAGGACTTTTCAAATGGAGATGAATGTCCCGAATTCACCAGATCTTCTGTTACCGAGCTGTATTTACCCTTGTATTTCCCCCCCTGCTAACCATGCTGGATAATGTTCCCGAGCACTTTTTACAAGCGGACGCTTGGTACGCCCAATGTACTCGGCTCCACACAAGCAAGGGAATTGGCACATGCATGTTGAAGTAGCCCAGTGCGACAGCTTGTCTTTCACGTACTGGTTGAATAGTGTCTTGCAGGAAAATGTTACTCGTAGGCTGGCGGCGAAGTATGTTTTACTGGGAGACTTCGAAAGCCGTCTACGGAGAAGTTCTACTTTGATATCACTTTTAAATTTGAGGTTCAGTATCAGTATCTTTTTTGGGGTGACTTGGACCTTTTCCGGTGTTTTCTCTGGTTTTAGATTCTTGTCTATGAATCTTGGTGAAGAGAAACCATTTTCTATCAATGTCCCTCGGAAATTACATAATTCTTCGTCAACTGACTCCTCAGTGCAAGTTTTCCGGTTGTTCGAGGGAAGTGGGTATATTAAGTTTCCTTCTCTGCTTAGAGGCACACGACTTTAAAAGTTGATAAATTGTCGGTTCCATGTGGGCTTCTTGTAAATGAGTCTTCTCAGTGAGTTGTTAACATTCCTTTGCAGTTGAACATCGAGGAAATGAAACATTGAGTCAGACTGGAATTTTTGTTAATGTAATCGAGGTAGCAATTCAAAATGGTTGATTTGAAATGGTCTGCACTGTAGTATGGGATTGGGATGAGATCATTCGTCTGGCTAATTACGTTCTCGAATTGGATTTTCGTGTGCGGCTCATTCACTTTAGACGTTGCATCACAAAACTTTGGTCCAAGTGCTAAGATTTGCATTTGAATTGGTGATAGTGAAACATCAGAATGATTGAATATGTATTGTTTTGGGCAAGTAGGAAAAACTGTTTCTTTGGTAACAGACTCTAGGCTTTGGTTGAATTTCCTTATGACATCATTTGTTCTTTTCTTTGTAACTGTATTGGCGTAGTTCTCGAATGAAGTTCGTTCATCTTCTGATAACTCATAGAGGACGTGGAGATTTTGACATATTCTGCTCCAGTTCAGGTAGTCTTGAGTTAGGGGATGTGTGATTTCGTCTGAGGTGCTTCCAGAATACTTTAGGATGTACATGTTTTTTTCCAGACAATTCTTCCAGAAGAAAATCTTTGCGTTCTCCTCAGCAAGCTTGACAGACAAACGTAGAAACTTGTTCAGTCCCTTCACCGTTGAACGTTCCTTGCTTTTCTTCAAATCACGGAACACACACATTGGATCATAGGAATTATCAAAAAGACTGTTACAATGAAGAAAATTTTCTTTTCGACGAAAATAGCCTTATTTATTTTGTTTATTTATTAACTAAAAGATAGCAAGTGATTTATGGGGGTGTAAAACCTGATTCTCCTGACTTAATGTTGTAAATGAATTTTATTACCAGTTGAAGTACTATATCACTCACTAGGATAAACATTATATTCAAATGACAAATTTCATATAAAATGCTACGCATTTTGTGGGGTTCGGTTGCCTGTTGCTACCTGAAATAATCATTCATGATGATCAGGTCTGTTGATGTTAAGATGGTGTTAAGTTTACCTGGCTACGGTCTTTGTAATCCATATGTATGGAGATTAGGCGAGTAAAAATTGTAATGTTTGAAGGATTTCTGAAGGTACTGAATATTTTGACCAGAACTGACTCATTGTTGTCCGAACGCAGGGTACTAATCTTTTCGTTCTAATGTTTATAGCTATCTTAAACTTCCTTGAAAGACTCGACAGTCACAAGCGCTTCAAAGGCAGCAAAAGACGATTATTCTTTGATAAATCTATGTGATTCTATTCAATAATAATAACATCGAAAACTCAAAATTACCTCAACAGTGCCGTTATGCAGCTATACAGAGAAGGTAACTTTCTTAGTACAAAAACGTGCTGTAAAACAAAATTAGTTAATCAAAACTCAACTGTAAGAAGTACCTTAGAATCAAGTTGAATATACCCAGAAAGGTGGGATCAAAACTCTGTCAATATGAATCACTCACCAACACTCCGTGCAGACAGTCCAAGGTTAGGATGATCTTCGCTCACCCAAAGGAAAATCATCTCGTAAAACAACACATTATCAATGTTTCGCAAGACCACAAACGGAAGCACTCAAATGAAGATCGAAAAGAGACAAAGGATGAAGCCAACACCATTATAGATAAGATTTTATTTTGATAAATCACACAGTGTTATACAGTTATATTAACTGATGACCACGTTTCGAGCACAAATTATTACTGCTCATAATCATATCAAGGCACTACTCACACGACTTTATGGCTTCATTTATATACATTAGTGAATTAGATTAGACATTTGAATAAAAATCAATATAAGATAAAGTACATTCAGAGAAAATATTAGTGTTATCAATCAGATACACTAAGATGGGAAATAAGATGTTTTTTATAGCGAAATAAATAATGGTTCTCTAACTGATATCAATCCGTGATCAACTCATAAAAACAAAACCATTACAAACTAAACTATACAAAATAAATAACTTTTTAGAATGTTATAATGTATGTGAATTGAAATAGAATTTTAAGATTATTTATTATCCTCCTCTAATTTGACTGGTATTTGCATTGAGTCATTTCTGTTGCACGTGTTGGGTGTAGACTCAATGAACCAGGATTCAGTTATCAATGTCTCTCTCCACCTACATAGATTACTTCTTAGAATTTTAATCCTCTCCCACCCTATTGTGTGGTTGTGTGTTAATACATGCATTGCAATTGCCGAGCTTTTTTCTAAATTACATATCTTCTCTGGGTCAACCATTCTTACCTTAGCTAAATTCTTATGTTCTGACAATCTGACTACCCCTGACTTACTAGTTTGACCTATGTAGTTGACCTCACAATCATTGCAAGGTATTTTGTAAATTTTATGTTATTTTGTTTAATTGGGTCGACCGGGGCCTTTAGCCTACAGAGCTTGTCCCTGAGTAGTGAGTTTGTTGGTTTAAATTCCACCCACATTCCTACTTTATTGAAACTCCTACGTAGGACCTCCCCTCCTTGTATGGTAAAACTACTGTGGATGCCTTCTGTTCTTTCTTATTTATGTTATCATTTTTATTGATATAAGTATAAAACTTGGGCACTGTGGTAGAGTATAACTCCAGTATGGATAATGGAATTATCTTATTTAGTTTCACCATTATTTTTCTTTTTCTTTCCACCTTTTCTCATCTTCCTAATGAATTTATTTTATAGGATAGTTATTTAACACCAACCAGCTATTCTTCTATCTGTTTCATTTCTTCGTTTAGTTTTGTAGCACTTCTTAGTGCTATTGCTCAGTTTTTTAGACAGACACTTGAATAAGCCTGTCTTTACAGATAGATAAATAAGGGATGAGATGAGTTAAAGTCTAAATACCTAATAGCAGAATGCGTTGGCTTTTGTATAAACGCTACTGTGCAGTTTACCTTCTCATCCATAATAAAGTTATACTCTATCACAGTGCCCAGGTTTTATACTTATATCGATGAAGCCAACACATACACATATCAGAATACTGATACACAGTTTAGAAGAAAAAACGGATGATAATTACAGAGTTAGTCGAAACATCCAAATGGGTATAAATATTGTGATTAGATCTATCAGGAGGGATTTTCCAAACAATTTTTGCGTTAAATTGTATATGAGTATGTCTGGGTTATTTTCCCGAACTCTTCCCCCCACACACAACACGACTCATTCTGTTTGTCGTTTATCGTTTGTTATTATTTTCTCACAGATACTGGTTATTGTCATATAAGTAACAGATATATTTTAATATAACTGTATACAAAGGTGAAAACTATTCTGCGCTCTAACTGTTCATTTCGATGTTCCAGTAGGGTTTATTTAATGTCTCTCAATACAGGTATTCATAGTCGATTTTACGAAAACCATTTGATCATTTAAGAGGCATTACGCTTGTTAAACGAGCATATTGGAGTTTCAGAGTGTTATTATTGATTACTGAGAGAGTAGTATTGTATACGATTGTCTGTTATTCGGGAATGTTTACGTACCGTGATCAATTCTTGGTTGAAATTTTCTGTTTTATACTTTTTAATTTTCAAAACTTGTTTAAATATGCCTAAAATATTTTGTATTATGGTATTTCCTTTCGTTTCTCCTTTAAGCAAACAAGTCCTGAGTCTATCCTCTTCTCTGTATTCTGGGGTGCAGAGATAGCTCTATGCTTTCTTTTGAGTCGTCTACCATCGAATATAATGCTGTATGGAACTCTTCTACCTTCAGCTGATCGTCGTGTTTACTACTTGAATCGTATTCGTATTTGTTTCTACAATGTTTGGTATACACTGACTACACGGCCGAATTTATTAAGTCGTACACGACGACGTTGGTCAAAGAAAAAGAAATCTCAAGTAGCTCCAATTGATAAACAGCCTATATGGTGGAGGAGGTTGCCTCTATTATTTCCTAATCTTAATATGAAATCTGCAAATGCAATGATTAGGCATAAAGATGATAGTAATGCTGCTGAAGAATTTTTACTAACTCGTTTAACACATGCTACAGGAGTTGTAGATGTTGAAAGTGGATTACCAGGTTAGTTTAAAAGAAAGAAGTTTGATGTATGTATATAACTCTGGAATTTATAATGTCTCTCTTGTTATGCACTTTAGGTTGCATCAATGTATTTTTAATGTTTTTCACACTAATTATTGAGATGTAAAAAGATTTCTACATACAAATACTCACCTATCACTTACTTGTAAAACTTCAGTAGCTCTCATTTATTTATTTAAAAAATTACGTTTTGATAAATTTCTGTTGATTAATTAATAGTAAGCAGTACTGCTTGATTTCATTAGTATCCAACTACTCATGTTAGTCGATTAGTAGTATATGAACGCATACATTTATGCTTGCTTTCTTGGCTACCATTTACGGTATCACGCAGATTACTGTTTGTGGTCTGAATAATTTTATCAAACGTGTTACCAGTGTTCTCCAAGGTGCCTGACCAGAATGCTCTGTTATGAGCTAAATTGGGTACACTGCTGATGAGCTCAGCTCCATACAGGCGAAACGGCAATTCGGTGTTTAGATAACTTTCATCTGCTCAGTAAATACTACTGGCTGATGTAAGTGGTGTCCAACTACTTATATGAATCAGTCAGTAGCATGTAGCACCACAGATTAATTGAGGTTAACTGTCCTCCTTGGGTTATCCATGCTTATCACCACCTTCTGGTGCACTGAGGTACATTCCAGCGTCGCTTTATCTGTCTGTTTTCGACGAAGAACTTTGCACAGATGTGCAGTAGTTCAAGTCGCCACACTCCATGTACCACACAAAGCAAGAGAAGAAAGTAGAAGAAATGCATAATATAGACAGTAAACAGAGGTGTGAGACAAAGGAATAGTAATAACGAAGAACAAAAGTTTCATTTGAAAGCATAAGTCACAAGGAGTGGATGCATCTGCGCTAGCCATTGAGAACGACTTTGAGCCATATCACCAATTGTTTCCCACCATTGATTTTTACCGTCCCGAGGACCCCAACTAGTCAGGAAGTCTACACCTTCCTACGTGACTGGCTTAAACTAACTGTTGTGTATTTCAATGACTGGTGCCATGTTTTGGTTTGACCGCCGCTAGCTCTTTTCCAGCCTGGCCCTATGTCAGCTAACATTGCCCGTCGAGGAAGGCGATGACTAGGCATACGTAACACATGTCCTAACCATCTCAGTCGATGTAATTTCACAGTCTCGTCTATTGATTTCCCCGCCCTACCTAGCACTCGACCGATGCCTAACCTCAATATTGCTCACCTTATTATACCACTTAACATGGGAGATAGAACGCAGGCACCTATGATCGAAAACAGCTAATCTTTTCATGTCTTCTGCTCTCAATGGCCAGGTCTCACAGCCATAAAGGAGGACGGAGCGGACTTTTGAGCAGTACACACGCCCTTTAGTCGATAGTCGGATATCGCGTCTACGCCAGAGACGGCGTAAACTGGCATATGCGAAACTAGCACTCTGTATTCGTGCTGAGATTTCGTCGGAGATCAACCCGTTAGGGCTGATGGTACTTCCCAAATAAGTGAAGCGGTCAACGTGTCCAGCCACATCACCCCCTATTTCTAAACTAGGAATCAGTGTAGTCCAATCCTGTAACATCATCTTACATTTGGCGGGAGCGAATCGCATGCCAAACATTCGTAGATTGCGGCTCTAGGTGTTCAGGAGACTCTGCATTTTTTCAGCGTCCTCGCCTAGAAGGACTATAACATCTGCATATTCAACGAGATTATTCCCTGGTGGTAAAAGTCAATCCCTGAGTCTCTGAAGTGAGTTAGGGTTAAATCCATTAGTACATCTATGATGAAATTGAATTGAAATGGGGATAATGGGCATCCCTGACGGACGCCACTAGTCGTCACCACTTCAGATGACAACTCACCGTAAGCCCTCACCTGGCTGGATGAGTACGAGTAGAGTGCCTTAATCAGTGCAATGTATTTTCTCGACATTCCTTTCACAGCCAGGCGTCGCCAGAGAACCTCTCGGTTGACAGAATCGAATTCCGCCTTTAGGTTAAGAAATATAATGATTATTGGACGCCGGTAGGAATGCCTATGTTCTCGAATCTGCCGAAGGGTGATGATATGATCAATACACCCCTTCTTGGTCTAAAGCCTGCCTGGTTTTCTCGTGTTTGTGCCTCCCGAGCAACACTTAGTCTACGCAGTATTATTGAGCCTAGGATTTTAAATACTATATTAGTCAAGCTAATCCCTCTGTGATTATCACAAGAAGACTTGTCTCCCTCTTTGTATATCGGGATGATCAGTGACTTACACCAACCTGATGGGACTTCCTCTGATTCCCAGACGCTGCCTAGAACCTCAGTTAACGCAGACAGTAAACTGTCTCCACCGTACTTAAATACCTCTGGTGTCATTCCATCAGGTCCCGCTGCTTTGCCTTGCTTCAGATTAGTGACAGCTTTAGTAACCTCGGTTATGGACGGAGGACCTGTGTCTATCTCCCATTCAGGGAGGTGTTGGATGTTCGGCAGGTTAAGTGTGGCTGTAGACCAACTAAACTGCTCCTCATAGTGTTCTTTCCGGCGTTCCAGTCGTCTATCCTGGGAGCTAATTATGGTGCCATTTTTCTCCGAGATTGTTTCACTTATCATTTGCCTTTTACCACCTATTTCCCTGATAAGCCTAAATAGTTGTCTGGTGTTACCGATCGCCGATACCCTTTCCATCTCTTTCGTTTTTGTCGCCCACCACTGTTTGCTTGATCTGAAGATTTCTTTCGAATTTGTTTATTAAGATTTATCGTTTCCGTTTCATTTACTCTGTCTACTCACTTCCTCATATTATTCATAAATCTTCATTTGTAATTCAGAGAAACCTTGCTGTAGGCTATCGTGATAAATTGTGATTTTCCGCTACAATGTATATATATCTTATTTTCCCTTATCTTATTATTGATCAAAATCCAACAACTATATACCTCCTAAAGGTTTCTCAATCGACGTAGAACTTAGTAGTTGCGCAACTTTATTCGATTATTTTGTTTGGAAGCCTACAGCCGTCTGGAAACTAAATGCAATAATTGTTGCTTCGTTGTGTTGTTTCAGTAAATATCATTAGTTAGAAAGGAATGGGATACATGCGTTGAGCAGCTTACCAGTCTGGCAGGCTAGTATAAATCAAATACTACGAACGATAACTTTTTTTGCCATCGATATATCGTAGTAATTTCTTTAACGATAAAAAATCTTCTGTTTGGTCAGTCTGTCCCATCCCATCGCATTACTCACAGACAGATAGACTAAGAGAGAACCTGTCTCATCTCAGAATTGCCTTATTTCAGTTTATAATAGCTGTATGTTCATAGTTTTCTAGTTTCGGCGTTGTACTACTGACGATTCATTGTCCGTTTCGTTAAGGGCTTCCTCTGGGCGGCAATTTACTGCCACTCAGGAAGGAAGGAAGATGACTTGTTCTTCTGGATCTGTTTGTATACAGTCAAGTGAGTTACAGTGTTATTCAAAAAAAGTGCCACACTTGTGTCGTCTTTTAAGCAGCTAGATTAGGGCATATTCCTCTTTTTGAAGTGGCGGCTCCTTTATGCGGTGGGTTATAGCGCGTTTCAATAACATAGGCCAAAATATACCAGCATGATTTCATGAAAATTCCCAGAATATATACGTCTAACTTTTAAACTTACTGTCTTTTTTAATCCATTTCATTGCGCTTATATGAATGAGTATCAAGTGACATTTCCTGATACGAGAGCAGCAAGTGTGTAACGCAGTCCAACTACCATTACACTGCCGATATTATGTACGTCAGGAAATAATTTCTAATATGGAGTTTCATTTAAAAAGCATATAAAAAACATAACTTCTCATTAAGTCACCATAGCAACACTTTAGGACGCTACACTTAGCGGTGGTATTGCAATAAAGCCACTCCTAGATTCCGTTGCGGCTGAAAAAAGTTTAAACCTTTTCTTTGTATGGATAAATCCTAAGGTATTTTATGGAATTAATATCAGCTTACTACCTAGAATTTCTGAAAAAAAATAACAGTAAAGAGGTATGAACTGTTTTAAAATTGTAAATTATAGTAGATATATTCTATCACTGAAATCACCCGTAGTACTATGGTAGTGTGTGCATTCGACGGCAAAGTTCAACAATAGCGTCCCAAGATATGCAAACGCACAAATGACCTTTAGCCGACCAATCATAAAAATAAGTGACTTTTGCACACACGTATATTTACAAGAAAATGCATGAAAACACATTAAACAGGTTATCTTTCTCTGACATGACTTAAAAATACGTCCCAGTTATAATGGGAAGTATCGGTTGCTAAATTAGACTAGTTCCTGTACACGTAATCACCGAGGTGACTAAAAATGAGCTGTTTTTGTGAATAGTTTATCTCTCTTATCCTGTTGTGCAGTCCTCCCCAAAGCCCTCGGTTGAACTACTATAGTTTCCAGTAAGAGGATCGACAACTACTTACCGGGAAAACAAATTAAACTAAATGACATCAACTCTAAATATATCCCTAGGTGTAATCCTATACTTAATCCTGACCCTGACCCTAAACTTAACGCTAACCCCAATTACAACCTTTATCATAACCGGAAACCTAACCCTTATGCTAATTATGACCCTGATCCCAACCCTAACCCCAATACTTACCTTAGCCTTAATTCTAACCCTAACGACCTATTAACACATTGTCGAAACAGTACTTAAAAACGTGATCTGAGTGAAATTGGCTGCTTAGTTGGGTGAACAGCGTTGATATTTCAGCTATGATAATGACAGGTGCCGTCAGCCAACGTCTAGCATGCATCCAAGGTCATTGGAGCGTTCACACTCCCGGGACGCTATTTTTGAACTTCACCCATTCGACCTCTCACTTTCGATTGATATATTTAAACCCAGCTTGGTATTATTAGGCCATGTAGATAAACGTATATGTTGTTATTATGATTGTTACCTTTATACCTTTATTATTATTATTTTCTCCTTTTAAAGCTCATAGTCATAGTCTGCCATCTCGCATGATCAGTCGTGATTGCTTAACTCAATCTAGTTCCACACCCACTATCAAATACAGCTTACCTCATATGGATTCAAATGTTAAACACCTTGAGACCACCACTACAGCTGGCCTATCTACTTGGATTAGTTCTAAAGAGAGTGAAAATTCTGACAGGAAGAAATCAACAACACTGGACAATTTTAACAGTCAGCGCGCTAATAATACCTTACCATCTGTAGTTTGTCAAAGCACACTAGTTAATTCTGAATCTGGAAGTATTCCACCAACAGGTAGAGATAATTCTAGAGTGAATACTCAACAAGATCAAACAACAAGTTCATTATTATCAGATCAGCATTTAATACAATCGCATTTACAAAATGGTGATCCTTTACCAAATTTGATTAGAGCATCATTGATAGCTCGTTTTGAAAATGATATACTATCATCTATCGCCTGGTTTGTATTAGCATTTCTTGTTCACTTTACAAGTTGCTTTGGTTATACTTACTTTCAATCATATCAATATCGTATTTTAATCTGGATTAGTGTTGTATTGGGTTTCCTGCTACACTATATTTGGCCTAATTTTCGTAAGGTGAGTAATTTTCTGTCCTTGTTGCTTCTACTTAATGAATTGTAAATTGCGATAATGCCTTGTATCTTTCGATTTCAAATTTTTTTGTATAATTTGTACTTATTATCCTGACTAGATGCCTCATTAACCTCATTTCTAGTTCTGATACACAACTTTTCAAATCTAAAACTTTGTGCTCCCTAAATCATAAATACTAATATGGTTAACAGTAATTTTAAAGTTGATACATGGAACTCTGCTTTGGCGCGCTAGGAAACAAGCAGATTTATTAAAACAGACCCAATCAAGGTTATTTTGTCTGTCTCTGGTGTGTTCTGTGATAAATCCGGACATGCTCACTGATTATAGTCGCCTTTATGTTTATGATAGATCTTTCAGATGTCTACAGTATCACTATTATGGCAAGTGATCTGTCTACTACAGTAATAACAGGTAACAGGGAATTAGGGTTCGATGGCGGAAAAGAAATCTGAAAAGTGGCTACCAAATCGAAAAGACAGTAGCACGAAATTTACCTACTCTCACACGAGGTGGTGGTGACAAAAATTACGAATATATAACTCATTTAAGGTCTAGTAATTCAAATAAGCGTAATTTTGAATTATTTACTGAGGGTAAGTTTGGCGCCAGAAGCCTTGATTTTACACCGGCTACAAAAGTGCATATTAAAGTTACTGCAGTTAGAAATCTTGTTATGCTTATGCTTTTTTGTTTTCATCCCTTTGAGTTTTGAGTGGGCTTCAAGCCTAAAGTTCGAAGTGTTAGTAGCCGGCGTGTTAGTTTTTACGGAGTGGAGTCTGTAGCCTCTCACTTAACCTTCCCGCTTTCCTGGGTCTACTACCAATTGGACAAGGCTTCAAAGTACATCGACAGGGAATCGAACCCGGGCCACATGCATAGTTGGCGAGCATTCTACTACTGAATCACCGAAGTACAAAGCGCTATCCATGGCCAGTTGGACAACAACATATATATTTATATATTATTTCTAGTAATGTACGACTTATTAGAAATTGAGTTCCACTTTTATTCTCTCTTTGTTTCTCCCTTAGCCGTATCCATGGTTATTGCTTGTGAAGCCTATTATCAAGCCTGATAATCAAGGAAAATTACTACATTGGGAAATTGCTTATTTCTGGTTATGTTGGTTGGAAAGAAATCTGTTTCTACCTGCGATCACTATGTTTTCTGTAACTTATTCGTTTACTTCATTAATCAGTAAATTTGGACCTCTGTAAGTATCGCATATTTAAAAGTGGAGTAGAATATTTTCAACGCTTTATCGATCTATGTTTCAGAGATGTGTTATATGTATCTATGTAAAAGACTTATTTTGCCATTTATTTTACAGTTGGTGTAATTCTAGAAGGATTTCCATGAGTACACTGAGCAAATCCTTATGTTTCTAGTTTTCTGTTGACTCAGCTTTTAGTTAAGAAAACACACTTTTTTTTCAGTTCTACGCGAAGTTTTTTGTTAACTTGGGAAGGCGTCGCATGAGTTGACACAAAATATTCTGTAATCCAGTTTTTATTTACTTAATATTGAGCCTCACTGTGTCAGTGAAAGATAATGTCGAATTTTTCAGTTGGATATTAGGTAGTGACTGATGTCATGCGTCTAGTCGTTTGTTTGGTGCAGACTGAATCCCATCAGTCAAGTTTGTAACGTGACTACCATGCTAGGTGGCACTCTGAATTGTTATAATCAGATGATTGGAGGCAATCAGCAGTAAGACTTGGAAAATTTCTCATTCTAAACGCATGACTTTAGTTACTACCTGGTATCCTACAGGTGGTCAGTCGCAAGCTCGAACTGCTCATTGGTGACGTCTTTGACTTCGTCGCTGGGTGATCTGAGTTGGAATTTCAGAAGGGACATGAGTCCCTTTAAGATTGCAGTCACACCTTGCTGAGGAGTACTGACAAGCGCGAAACCTACGTCTGAGGTTTCTTGCTAATTTCCTCCAATCATCTAAGTTAAGTTTCCAATCTTATATCCTTTAGTGAGTGTGTAGTAGTTGTGTATGGTTAGGGCTGTAATAGTCCTTCTACGGCTTCACCAATCCCTTTTTCTTCAAATTAGGTGGTCGTCAGTTTGTAATCTAAAGGTTATTCTCCAAATGTACATACATATGATATAATAATAAAGGTCGCAGTCAATGTTCAGTTTAGGTTTCTGTATAATTCATTTTGGTCACTGAAAGTTGAAATCTAATAATGATGCGTGCTTTGAGTGTAAAAGACCTAGAAAGCTTTGTTTTAAACCTCTTTTCAGCAGACAGTCATTTAAAAAAAAATACCGAATGGATAAATAGTGTTTTTTTTGGAAAAACTGGCACCTATACTGATTTAAGAATTGAGTTGTAATAATAGATATTTTAGGACCTGTCACTATGGCGTCATTCTACTGGTAACGTTGTAATAGATTAGATCAGGCATTACATATTGTATCAGTCTGTTTACTACCTAATAGGGATTCGGTTAGTATAATAGTGGTATAAACACCTTATGTTTACGATTGATGGGATGTATGTATCTGCACTTGACTGATCAGCATACTTGTACGTGAGTACAGTTTCTCATATAATTTTAGCTTGTCTCTATTGGTTATTTATTGTATGCAAATATTAATGGATATATAAATTGTATAGCCTGAAAAAGAACTTATTGAAAACGATTGCTCTCTAATAATTATTCTCGATTTACGTCTGATGGAATTAGGGTTGCTATTATGAACACCTCTGTACTGTCTATATTTCAACAATTTTAAGGTATTTTTACGACAGCTGTTGAATAAATAGCAAGTTAATTAGTCCAGCCTTATTAAGTGACAGCATGAAAAATCAGTAAATTTCATTAGCAAGTTAGTCCTTGTTGACTGAACAGTAGCTGAAATAAATCAATAACCTAGTGGTGTAAGCATCTTAGCCTTGGATAGAATGTTCAAGTCTTTGGTATTTTCAAGTGTTCATTTTTAGAGGTCTGATTGGTTACTGGTTTGATCACAAGTTTATATTAATTACAGGACCATTGGATAGCTGTTTCGCCCTAGTTTGGGACTCTTCATCAGTACGAACCCACAGTGTTTCGAAGCCATGGCCTTGCAGTTACAAGGCGAGCTCCAGCTGGATCAAGTCCCAGTGGCTGAATAATCTGTGAGCCCATCTTGTAGTCGGGAGTTCATGGGTCCGAACCCCAGTGGGTACGTACTATTGGAGAGTCTCAAACTAAGACGAAACAGCTATCCAGTACTCCCTGTCTTCCTAATGGTTCTTTGTTGTTTGTAAATTCACCTAACGAGTCCTAAATATACGAAACGTGTGTCTTAGATTCTAATGATACCGAAAACATTATTAAATATGTAACCATAAAGTTGCGTCTATTAATAAAATTTTGCATAATTCATTGTTACAATCTTTAGTCTCTTAAATTTACGCATAATTTGAAAATTTATAATTCTGAAAATGTTCGTTTCGAAATAGCTGAATATATATATATATATATATATATATATATATATATATATATATAATATGAGTCGTGTATTTCAGTTCTAATTTAATCACCCTCATTCGGGTACTGATATTTACGAGATGATAGTAAGGAAAAAAAATGAATTATCCCAAAGTGTTTTACTAAAAAACCAGCCTACACTTTATTGTAAATGGATACAATTTAAGTGTTTTCATCGTTAATGAATTATGCTACTATTAGATTAAGTTGCTTTCACTTTGTTTGTACAAATTGCTAATGCACATTTTCCCCTCATCATATTAGGCCCGATGAAGTTGATCAGGCTATTGATAAAATGACTACAGTGATGAAGTGTTGAGGTGTAGGAGAACAGAAAGTTAATAGCTATTCCTTTTACTCAGCCACAAATGTTTTGTGTTATATCGTTTGTCAAGTATTGGTTTGTAGGGACTTGATTGATTGGTTTCAGGATTTCATTATGAACTGACATCGGCTAGAGAACCATTGGAAAACCTGGGAGTACTGGACAGCTGTTTCGTCCTAGTTTGGGAATCTTCACAGTACGCACCCACCGGGTTTTGAACCCCAGACCTTCTGGTCACATGGTGAGCTCGTAGACCATTAAGCCACTAGGACCCTATCCAATGGTCAGTCCATGAATTCCAACTTCTGCAAATTCACGACATAGTGCGACCACTAGTCAATGTCTTCAGCGAGTATTTGTCCTCACACCCAACCTGTTGTACCTCACTGGTTACAACTGCCCCCTAGAACCCCAGGTAACTACCTACCTGAATATCGTTTTTGTGGAAGTATTAAGAATACCCCTAAATCATTTTATGAGTAACTCATTTGTGGTTGGGAAATTTCAATATAGAATTATACATATATATTTTGGTGAATTCAATGAATCACTACCAACCAGAGAAATTTGTAGGAAGTCGCCTCTTCCACTTATGTAGTCAAAATTGTTCAACTACAGACGGTATAGTTGAGCAGGATCGAAGGAAAACGAGACTTACCTTTGTTACTCCGAAATCAGTCTGAAAATCTAATACACTGGGCATAAAAACAAACAACATTTGGATTTTCAACACCAATGTGAAGCCAGCGCTTCTATGTGGTTCAGAGTCAGATAGTGTGTCACCAAAAGCACTATGAACTGGCTTAAAACTTTCATTAAGAACTGTCTTCACTCCATATTGAAGATCATATGCCCAGATAGAATTAGCAAAAAGTAACCCCGACAGCGAAACTGCTAAGAACCTATAGCCCAAAAAATATGCAGAAGGAAATAGCGGTAGATTGTACATATGCTGTGTAAGTCGTTGAGTGACATTTGCGGAACCAGAATAGGAAAAGAGTTGGGCTCTGGTCCAAGGGTGACATGGAGGAGATCGTAGGAGGAGGATGTGAGAGCTTGTTAACAACCGTGGAGCCAGCTAAAGACGACTGTAGAAATCAGGATGAAATAGAAGTGTACTGTTGAAGCCCTATGTTCCCTTTGGAACCCGAGGGAATAATAATATTGTTAATCCTAAGTCAATCTTCTGTAAAGTTACATGAACTATTTACATCATTTTGTAGCATTAAGTGACACTTTCTAGTTTTGTGTGTAGGTTAAATCTTGAACGGTAAACATTACAGTTGTGAAGTGTTAATTATATCACTTTAACGGGTTGGGAGTTCGAGGATGATATGGAGAAAAATATCATGTTAAAGGGAAATGAAGTCTTGTAGGCAGTCATGGAGCCAGCTGAGAATGATAACAGAGAACGCAGTGTAATATAGGTGTGCTACTGAAGTGCAGTCCGAACGCGGGGAATGAATAATGACAATAATTAAATCAAAATATAATAACTTAAACACCTTTGAACAAGAGGTGGCTCTCGTGGCCCTAATGTTGTAGTGGATACTGCTGCTCTGGGGTTTAAAACGACGAGTACTAACTTCGGGTCTTAGAATGAAAACACTATCACTCACTGAGGGATTGCAAGTGCATCCGGATGACGAGTCAAAAGTAGGATGAATCGCCTATCCCGGATTCCACTGCTAGGCATCACCAGGGATTTCCTCAAACATCGTTGAAGTGTGCTTATTAGGGGCTGACATGTCTACAGACACCGAACATTTTGGTGTAAAATAGAATCAGTCAACGGGAAGTACAATACTAATTTAACCAGATCATAGTTGTGTAACCTTAAATTTCTTTTGCTAAACATAAGTCAGCGTCAAATATGTTATCTGTGTACTAGTGCTTTTGTTTTGCATAAACAATCTTTCTGCATACGTTTTTGTTTTGTATTTCGCAATGTTGTTTACTGCCTTCCTTTTTTTCTATTTCTAGAATGTCTACATTCATAATTATTGTAACAAGTATGAAAATGTTAAGGAATGGATTTTGTTGTGCTAAACAAACTTATTTAAGTTTGTTTCTTACAGATTTATTGTTTTCCTATGATTTCTACAATATCAAAGAAGCATTCCCTATTAACTACTTCTTTGTATCAATTCTTGTCAGTAAAGTGAGTCAGTGCTTTAGTATTGTTTTTCGAAAAACAGTTATGTGTGTATATATGTTATGTCTTTTTGATATGATTGTGTTCTCTAAGATGTCTGATTTAATTGAGAAGCTTTCATTGTTCTTCAAGACAATATTTTCAGTGCAAGCTTTAATATGAAGGGAAATTAGTTGATCTCTCTATGAATAATATCTTTGCGAAGGTTGATTAGTCACTGATATTCTTTCCCAATATCTCTTAACTTCATTTGCGGGACTTGTTCAGGTCTGTTCAACAAGCGTATTCCTGTGTCAGCTAAATTGGAAGACTGTAAACGAATGAAAGGACTTCGAACTGACCTTGTTTCAGCGACTTTAACCTCAACCGTTCACATTGGTGGTTAATAATACCCAGCCGAGTATGAATATCATCATTTTCATGAAACACCAGCTGCATACAGTGGCAACGGATGCTGAACAACGATCTGTGGTCACCAAACTGCTGACGGAATGTCTGGACTGTTTCCTCAAACATTCTATCACTGTACTTTTGTGGGACAATCAGGTTTCCATATTTGTCTAAATCAGCTGCACTGAATTTCTTTAATAAGAGTCTAACATTCCAGACATCGTCTTTGCTCAAAAAATCCACTCTAAACAGGTCTTCGTATCTGTGGAACCAGGTATCGAATGTAATGTTTGCGTCTGGGTTATAAATAAATTCCAATACGTTGCTTCTACAGTATTGTCATTGGCTGGGGATGAATTAGTAGGGGATGATATCCGTAGACCAGCAAGCAACCCCATCAATTTCTCCGAGCGTGAAAGGTTTGTCTTCACGTTGTACCTGTTGCCAAATTTGATATAACTGTCGATACAACTTAGTAGTTTACGTGTCTTACGCTAACGAACTTTCTAATCTATAAGAGTGTATCACTTCATGTTAAAACTTGCTATGAAGACTTTGTATAAAAGGACAATGAAAGCTTAGCAATTAAATCAACCATCTCAGAGAACATAATCAAATCTAAATCATCCAACTGAGCTACAAATCTTCCTTATGCCTTCTGATGATGTAATAATTCCTATGAATCGTGGGTTCTCTACAGACACTAATTACTAATTAGTTTAAGTCATCTTAATCCAGGAGAATAAAGATAGGATTCAGACTAGTTCGAGCCGATGAGAACGATCCGATATATTACATACCTGGGGAACTTAAGCCTACACAATGACCAGTTATGTTAGTTTCATAAGATTGGCCTTCTAGTTTGTTTTACGAGTTGATCACGGACTGATATCAGTTAGAGAACCATTGAAAACCAGGGAGTACTGGACAGCTGCTGTTTGATCCTAGTTTGGGAATCATCGGCAGTACGCACCCACTGGGATTCGAACCCAGGACCTTCCGGTTACAAGGCAAGCTCGTATACCATTCAGCCACTGGGATTCAATTCAATGGCTCATGAATTCCATTTGTACTAATTACAATAAATATTCCACCTCAACTCAATTGTTTAATTTATCTGGACTGCTGTAGGTTGGTAGTAGGCCTGTTTCAGGTAGTTTTAGTTGCTTCCTGCCTATATCATAAATTGATACTATTGGAACTTATTGGTCTACTATATTATCAATTCCTTGTTGTTAATCGATTATGAAATGCTCAAAATGTTACTCAATAGTTTTACATTTACTTTGATGTACTTGTTAATAAAGTTGCATCTGTCGTATGAGAATTGGTCATAATATCTGGCCATTCAAACCTTAGTATATTGAGGAGGGTTGGGATCTGTGAAAATCTGTTAATTCTGTAGCTGACGATTTTGAAATATTCTAACTGGCTGTTTTAGTTATGTTTATGGAACATCTTATCAACCGAGATCAGTGATATTTTGTCAGAGGTCAGATCATGAATCTTAGGGATCTACTATCATTTAACCTGAAAGGAGTTTTCTTTAATGTCAACAATTGAGAGAATAGCGATCCTAGATTCTGGAAGACGCCAGTTGCAGGATTACCATGTAGTGTGTACTATTCATGTTATTATCCAATAAACAGATTAATATGTAATGTAAATCTTATTTTATTATTATTTTTTAAAATCTAGTTTATTGAACTATTTCGAAAACTGCATTTCATCTACGTGTATTTGGCTCCATTCAATATAATTTGGGGTTCTGTGGCGCATGCAGTTGTTCAACTTGGCTCAATTCCTCGTATCCTTTTCAATTTTCACTGCTTACATTTTCACTTATTAGGATGTGTTTAACATAAAAATGTGTACAATACTTTAATCATTGTTATTGCTTATGCTGAGATTCTGTCGATCAAATGAGTAAGAGGAGAACACTAGACTGTAATTCACACTACTTCGGTTTTACACTTTTACCAAACTTCTGCCCTTTTAAAGTAGCATATGTACTTATGAATAAGAGGTAGCACGGCTTGTGCATGTGCATAGAAGTTAACTTTTATTTAACAACGAGATTAGTGTTATGCTGGTCGGAATCCAGGTTACTCACCTCGTCCAATTTGGCATTTATCATCTCAATATGCCTACATTTCTAGTGAGTGACAGCGCTTTCACTGAGACCCAAACCCTGCACCCATGATTTCAAACACCATAGCACTACCCACTAAGCCATTGGGGTCTAGACAGATACGTCTTGTACACAGTGGGTATCAGTTACTTTTTGTTTCCAGGTTAATTTGCATTTCGTGTTGATTTAGTATTGTTTGACACGAGTGCTCAATCTGTGTTCATAATACTTTGGTATCTGTAACAATAGATCTAGAGTTCGAGACTCAGTGGAATCATCACTGTTCACTGGGATTGAAGTCACACTCAGATGATGAGTGTCAAATGAGACGAGATACGCATCCTGGATTCCACTACTGGTTACCATCAACGGAAATAACACCAGGTCAATCCTCAGACATCGTTGGAGCTGATATGTCAATCGAGACCTATCCTTTAAGTCCAACATAAGCAATCAGTCGGATAAGTATTGTTAGTCAGGCGAAATACTTGAATTTTAAACAGTTTTATTTGGTAAAGAACGGATGTAAATTGCAGTTTTTTCAGAATATTTTTAAAGGCATTTCAATTCTTATCTATACTACTTATCAATCACTAGAAATTTTCAAGTGGTCCTGGGTTCGAATCCCGGTGGGTGCGTACTGCTGAAGAGTCCCAAACTAGGACGAAGTAGCTATCCAGTATTCCCAGGTTTTCCAGTGATTCTCTAACTGATGTCAGCTCATGATGAAATCCTCCATGCAATCAAACAAAATCCCTACAAAACCAATACTTGAAAATTAATCTGATGCTCACTAGCGACTGACTCTATTCAGGCAGTTAACCTGGGGTTCTAGTGGGAAGCCGTGACCAGTAGGACACAGCGGGTTGAAGATGGGGCAGTAACGCATCGAAGAAGACATTGTGAAATGGACGCGCTATGTTTTGAAGTGGCAGAAGTTAGAATTCTCGGACTGGCCATTGGATCGGTTCCCAGTGGCTAAATGGCGTACCAGCTTGCCTTGTAACCAGAAGGTTCTGGGTTCAAACCCCGGTGGGTGCGTGCTGTAGAAAAGATCAAAACTAGGACGAAACAGCTTTCCAGTACTCCCAGGTATTCCAGTGGTTCTCTAACTGATGTCATCTCATAATGAAATCCTCCATGCACTAGAAATTTATTTGTGGATGTATCATGCTCTATTCATTTGCCACTTTTACGTTTATTTTGTAACATCAACCTTAACTCACTTCATTACTATTTTTTATGGAAATCATAAGACTCGGTATTTATGTTCGCTAATTGCATTTTCTCCACTGTATTATCTGCACCATTGGAACCGTTGATGGCTAGTGCAATTTTTATCACATCGTATGTGAGGCCGATTAGTTTTTGGGAGACAAATCATCGGTATGTATTCTTTTGTATCATATAATTGATTTCATATATATATGTATATATATGTTTTAAATGCTATTATCACTATTCCTTAATTTGCTTTCCTCAACTGTTTTTGGTTTGTTGCTTTGCCACACATACACAGTGTTATCATTTACTTAGACTTATACACGACTTTGTCAATTTTTGAGTCTTCTTTTCTGTGTATAATTTTATATTTTAAGTTGTATTTGGCAAAGGACATTTCTCTTATCAACAAGTCAAGCTATTTATTCAGGTACCTGAATGACCTTGACTCAAGCGGTTAGATCGTCACTTGTTCTGAATATTTTGGATATTGAGCTTTCAGTATTCTTATTTGAATCTTGAGTTCCCTAGAAATTCCTCAAGAGTATGTGCAATGCCGACTGTCCTTGTCTTTATCTACTTGACGAAGCAGACGCATTTTGTTTTTTCCCCAGGTTCACTTAAATGAAGTCTGAAGTCCCCTTTAGCTGGCCAAACGATTGCCCATAAGCTATCATCTCCTTCTCACACGATCTCTTCCTTGTCACTTCCGGACACTAAACCCTTCGTTTCTCACTCGAGTTCCACTTGAGTGCTTGACGTCAAATGTTACTTAACGGCCTCCTCAGTGTGTGTCCTATCCATCTCCGTTTTCTTCTACACAATTGTTGAGCACTAGGTTGTTGGTTGGTTCGCCGCCAGATTTTTGTTCAGCTTATCCCTTCTGACTATCTGATCTTTGGTAATAATAATTATAATCTACTTTATTCCAAGAACAGTACTTATAGTACAGAATGGAATTCTCAGTATTTGTCACAATATTGCATCTGATTTACTCAAAATATAAATAAAATTAAAAATTAAAACAAAATTAATCGGAGGAATTTGTTCACGTTTACGACATAAAGTCAAAATATTCGAAGCATGAATTGAGATTATTAAATATAATAATAATAATAATAATAATAATGATAACAGTGATTTTGCTTCAAACAGTATTGTCGATTGATTTTGGAAATCTTAGCATGTTATAGATTGTTGGATCTAATGTTCTGTTGATATAGTATAGTGAGGGGAAATACAAAATTAACAGTTATGATACAGCTTAAATTATGTCCACACTTATGAGAAAAATAAACAAAACGAAAAAACTGAGAGGATTATAAATATAAGAAATACAAAAACAATAAAGTTTGATGCTGTAAGGGTGAAGAAAATGATTTATTTAGTGGTGCTAAGAAGGTTTGTTAGTTCATGCCTGACACTATTTTCATCACATAAAGCACGTGCTAAATATGGTATAGTGGAATTTTTATACTTAGATGTACGTGCATAAAGTCTTCTGAAAAGACTTCTTGTTTTACCTGAGGGGAGACACAAGGTTGGACCTGCGGGTAAAGTGGGTGCTCATAGTCTGACAAAATTCCTTTAGCGAATTTGTTGCATGACATCAAGTGCCTATCAGTGACAATGTAAACGATATGGCCCAATGAGATAACACCACTCGTCCTACTGACAGTCTTCAGAGTTCTACGAAGTATGACATAGTCTTTTATAAGCAATCCAGGAAAGAATAAGGGTGAGCAGTAAAGAAGAATAGGTAAAATACACGAGTTGATAAACTGTAAGATGAGTGGTTGAGTTATGCCTGAGTGCTTTAACTTCTTAATGTAAAAAGTCAAACGAAATATTCTTTTAGAAATCGCTAAGACATGGGAGGACCAGGATAAGTCAGAAGAGAGAATTAGTTCAAGATACTTAACTTCAGACTTGGTTTCTATATCAGTATCATCGATTTTGCAAGGGTCATAGGAACCAACGGCTTCATTTAACTTTCGTTTACATCGGAAACTGAAATTAATAGTCTGACATTTGGAAGGATTAAGTTTAAGGCCGTTAGACGAAGACCATTTGCTAATTCCTGATAGAAAGTTGTTTATCTTAGTGCAGTCAAGCCGTGAGCTAACAGGCATTGATATAGTTAGATCATCGGCATACTTAACAAAGTTCATTTTATCAGAGTGAGGCAAGTCATGCAAGAAGTATCGAGTCGACGAAGGCAGTTATTGATAAAAGTTTGCAGAATGTTGGATATTCATCACTAGTTAAAGAATTTTTTCCGCCTAACTGTTTATTTAACCTTTGCTGATTATCAACACTGAAGTAAAAATAACATGAAAATTTCTTTTTGTATTTCTAACCGTACTACTTTTTAATCGCATAAGTAGTAGTATAAGTATTAAATCCTTATGTTTCTCATCTTACCTGGTTGTTTCTTTTTTTTTGCTTTGTTTCATTATCTTTAAAAATAATATATTTCTATTTGAAGTAAATGTTGATTTATTATTTTAAGTGTAATTTATAAATAATTAAACGAGAGATGAATAGAAAGATACCATAATGAAGATGCTAGTGATGATGCCGTAACCATGGTAACTTATATCTACTCTATCTTCACAATGAATAAAAAAAGTGAAGAGTGAAACTCTCTGAGTGAATAAAAAAATTTTTTTAGTTCTCATTATTATCTCTATTATGTCATTCAATTCATCTTCTTATTTTTTCTCCTTTTCCCATTTGGTAATATATATACTTGTTTCTATGGTACAGCGTGTTTCTGTCTTCTGCGTAGAAATTAGTTAGTTTTTTAGCTGAGCAACGGTACGCATCTGTTTACTATTAAAGGTATATCACATTACTGCTTGTAATATGTCTATTTTTAACATGAACTTGCTTCATAGTCTCCATGCTTATATAATAATAATATCTACTTTATTCTTGAAGTTATGTTTAAACTCAACACGCAGAATTCTCAACATAATTTCTTGCAAACTATTTAATTTTCTATAGTTTGGTTTGTAAGGGTTAGTTTTGTTTTAACGAGTTGATCATGGACTGATATCAGTTAGAGAACCATTGAAAATCAGCAACGAGTACTGAAAAGCTATTTCATCCTAGTTTGGGAATCATTGGCAGTACGCAGCCACTGGGGTTCGAACCCAGGACCTTCCGGTTACAAGGCAAGCTCGTATATCATTCAGCCAATGGGACCCGATTCAGTGGCTCATGAATTCTAACTTCTTGGTGGGTTCGGACTGCCGATGATTCCCAAACTAGGATGAAACAGCAGTTGTCCAGTACTCCCTGGTTTTCAATGGTTCTCTAACTGATATCAATCCGTGATCAACTCGTAAAAACAAAACTATTTACTCCTAGTATAGAGCCGTTAGGTCAATATTCATCTATGGTATGTCGTAGGCTGCAATATCATTCTTTCTGAAACAAAAGACTAAATCCTCTATTACGTTTTCCCTTCACATGTTTGCTTCTTGAAGTGCTCACTGGTGGGTTGAAGGTCAATTAAAAATTTGTGTGCGTTAATATTGCAAATCGAAGACATAATTGAAATGTGTGAATACACTATATTGCTGATGACAGTATAGTGAATAGAATACAAATATACTGGTTATTGTTTTTTATGCATTGTAAAAAATTCAACCTTTTATAGGAATTCTTATGGCCTAGCTCACTTCTTGCTTTTGACTTTATCATATCAACGACTGACTAGTCCACCGAGGGAGAGGTCTCCTGAATGGCTGCGCCACAGGATGATATGGCATGCCGGTCTCGTCTCGCAAGAAGCAGGGATAGGTGTGTTCATTTCTCCTGAAAACTGACACTCAATCAATGTTTGTACCATGATGTGAATTTTGCGTCGGTCACAGAGCGGCAAAATGCTCGCCAGCCACACATGTAGTCCGGGATTCGATACTTGGCCGATGCACTCCTTTACCTCGTTAAGTCAGTGATAAGACCAGTAAGCAGGGAAGGTCGGGCATGAGGCTAGCAACCCAATCCCGTAAAAATAAACACCACTGCTACCGAAACTTCTAAGCTCTAGCTTGAAGCCCTATGTTCCACTGGGAACATAAAGGAATGGAAAAAATATCAAGCACTTGTATTGCATAGACTAATTTTATACACTGTCGGGATTCAAAATATCAAATGAAGACATTTGATTAGCCTTCACTGAAGTCTTTATCATGATTGTGAATATCTTGTAGGTTATGTAATTTCTTAATGCTTAACTTTTTTGATATACACTTTATTCGTACATTGTGTGTGTGTGTGTGTGACTTTTCATATCCTTCTCTCGCACTTGTCAAAATAAGCAGTACTGTTTACAATGCTCTTAAGCAGATTATTAACTAATCATCTTCGGTTTCGACATATGTATTCTTTAAAAATGATCCCACCTTCCCACAGTATTGTTTTATTTCCACTTAAACATCATTTCTTTCAAGTCGTATTTTCTTTTCTCTGCATCTCATCCAGCGTCTTTTATCATCATGATAATTACCTTAGAATTACCTTTTATACCTGTTCCTTGTTTTGGTTGGTTAAGTCATAAAATTAGTCACTTACATACATGGGATACATGCAGTGAAATGGTTTCATTTTATAAGTGAATCTGTGGCTTATTGATGTAGGCACTTGACTTTCAGCCACTGATTAAATCCTGGGTGTGAATCCGTCTTCACTTGTTGAGGTTTAAGCAGCCGGGTTGTATCAATACCCATCACACAATAGATGTAGATCATGGGCAGTTGTGTGGAATTGCAATTGGTTGTTGAATAGTAATGTTTCGTTCACTTCATATCATAACTTTTTTTACTACTTATATGCTATTAAATATTGTTCAGGCAGATGAGTAAGTGTATAATCAGTGATTTGTTGTCAGTTGAGTAGAAGAGCTATTGCAGTCTTGTCTACTATTTCAGAGGAGAGTAAACATCACAAGTTGGTAGTCTTAACTATCTCATATTACATCTACGCAATCGGAATCATGTAGAGATCAAAGAAAAAGGAGATAAGGAATTCTAGGTAAAGGTAAAATGTGAATTCAAATATTCCACTGTGATTTATTTCCTGGAGGCTCCAAATATAAATTTCACTTATTGCAAAGACATTAGCCAGCCAGTTTAAGCTTTGTATCACTAGCCAAATTTGCAGTCAGTGACCCTATCATTTAATACGATATTCATATCTGACCACTCCTCTTTTTTTAACTTAATTTCTATTTTTAGTAGTGATTTTCAGGTATTTGAAGAGTTTCTCAGTCAGATCATGGATTGACATCATTTAAGAAACCATTGAAAACTGGGAAGTGCTAGATATCTGTTTCGTTCTAATTTGAATCTCTTCACCAGTACGCACGCTTGACACTACCAGAGACTGAACCCGGGACCTTGAAGATATGAGGGAAGCTCGGCGAACACCCAGCCGTTTGTGTAGAGTCCAATGACCGATGAATCCTAACCCCTACCAAATCGCGTTATGTAGCAACACCCACCAGCAAATATCGTCGGCGAGTATGTTTCCTTACATCAGATTTACTGGACTTCATTGGTCCTGACTTCTTTGTAAGACTACAGGCAACTTCATCATTTATTCAGTTGCCACTAAGCATCGGGTTTGTGTTCCATTGTTGGGATGCAGAGATATAATTAGCATCTAAGTTAGACCGTCAGTCGACATTACTTAGAGATCCTCTGAAAACCAAAGAATACTAGATGGGTATTTCATCATAATATAGGAGTCTTCATCAGTGCTCACCCATACTAACTTCTAATTTAACCTTGTCCATTGACTAACCAATTAGTACGTGGAAATTAAAATGTTAAGTTGTTGAGTATTTGTTTTCGTTTGAATGTTATTTTTTTCCCACTTAAAACTGCACATTGATATTTGATCGAGATTGTCAAAGTCGCATAGAATAAGGAATGTGTAGAAACATACCACCACTATTTTCCACTGCTTGTAATTTTACTTATGTACAGTCTCTTCAGACGCATACTTTTATGCTTTTTCCCTGTGTAAACATTATCAGTTGAGCGTTAAAAATGTTAAAATTTACGTATGACAGGTATTACAAAGATGGGGAGCATATACTAACCTGGGAAGGAATAATATGATCAAGATTTATGTGTAGTTTTCGTCATTGGAATGTTTAATATAGATTAAGTAAAATGTTGAATTGCCTAGTGTCACACAAACTCAGCTATGTTTAAGCGGAAACCAACAAGTTAGGAAAAAAAGCATCAAAAACACGACTTCAAGTGAAATGATCAAGATACCTAGTCAGCAACAACAAACACCAATCTCCACTGACAGGAGAAAACTAAAAGAAGTCGCATCCTTCACTTATCTGAGCAGCATCGTTTTAAGTACAGGGGACACGGATTTGGATGTCAAAGGCAACCAGGATAGGAAAAGCAAAGAAGGCCTTCATTACTCTGAGATCTATTGAATTAAGCATAAAGAACTAGACTCGGATTTTCAACACTGATGTCAAGTCTGTGCTTCTGTATGGTCCAGACACTTGGCGCTCGCGTTACGATAAGCATTTTCAGTGCGCTTATCAACAACTGCCTGCTCTCAATACTGATGATTAGATGATCAACCAGAACGGATTAGCAACAAGGAACTCTGACGATGAATCAACTATGAACTCAATGTCTAACAAATACGCCGAAAAAATTGGAGATGAATCAGATGCTCACTGAGGAGACAGTTGAGTGACATCACGCGCCAAACGCTCGAGTGGAACCCAGTCGGGAAACGGCGATTTGGGCTGGGGTCTGAAGATGACATGGAGGAGGTCGTGTTGAAGAGGAGATGAGAGCCTATGAACATTCGTAGTACCAGCTAAAGAGGACTGCAGAGAACAGAGTGAAATGGTGATGTGCTGTTGAGGCCTTGCATTTTACTTGGAAACCAAAGGAACGTTGAGAGTTTGGGTGTGTACCTTCACACGTATAAGTTAGCTAACTAAATTGTTCTTCTAGGCGTTTTGTTCGAAGTCGTAACTACTTTTTGATTTTGTGTAGAATGCACACGGTTATCAGCTGACAGAGATGCTGTATCTTTTGTGTTGTAGTATTTCAATGTACTTATGACAGCTACTTTCTTATTTGATTTATTCTTTTTCGTAGTTGCAGTTAACTGATTAGAAAAAAAGAGCTTCACACTTTCAAATAAATTTAGTATTATGGGTGTTGTTAGTATTAGCAACTTTTGAGTTGGTATTCTAGCCGTTACAGACAGAAAAATCTGCTTGATATTTGCTTTCGAATTTTTAAATCTATTGTGTATATTTTCAATTTCATAATAGAATTAAACTTCGTTCCAATTTTCATTAATTGTTATTATATTTACTCTAGTACACAACGTATAGAGACAACTAATATGCCGATAGCAGCACAATTAAAAGGCATATCAAAGCATCAAGTATCCGGTAATCTAGATGGTATATTCTATGAGCATTTAACACGGAAACTACAAAGAATATTAGCCGGTGATTTACAATTAGGACGTCTTGGTGGATTATCTATTAATCATGGTGATGTATTCATTCTTTCAACGGATGATTTAAATTTACTTATTCATATTATTGAAGTTGGAAATGGATTTGTCACTTATCAACTACGTGGTCTTGAATTCATCGGTAAATATTGATTGTTTTATACTAAAACTTTTTATTATTTATATTTATTGTTATAATTATGTACAGTTAGAATAGTCGGAGATGTGGTTCATTAGTGTAAGAACTTGACTTCCAGCCAATAGGTCCCGAAGTTCGAATCTCGCTCCACTTACTTAAGCCTGGTCAACTGGATAGTGTGATCAACCTTCACAGAATACGTGTGGGCCATAGCCTAGTACTGGGTAACTGAGTAATAGCCCACCAGAGTTAGAATGGAGTAGTGGATTATCGGTATTCTTATTCCTTTTGGTTCTCAGTGGAACTTAGGGCTTCAACAGCACATCTCAACTGCATCCTGTTGTTTGCAGTCGTCCTCAGCTGGCCACACGATTGTCCATGAGCTTTCACTTCCTCTATATAACTCTCGAACCTCAGCCCAATTCTCTGTTTCCCATTCGAAGGCTTGGCGTGCGTCGAATCCATCTCCATTCCTTTTTGGATGCTTGTTGGGCAATAGGTTCTTGGTTAGTTCATTGCCTGAGTGAATTCCTTATTTCTAATCCTTTCTGGCCATCTGATGCTCAGTATGCAGCGAAGGAAGCTGTTAGTAAAAGTCCTCAGCCTGTTAGAAATGCTTCTGGCAAAGTGCCAAGTGTCTGAAGCACATGCAATTGTTTTCTACATATTGTTATTGAATTCGGCCACTTAATTTTGTTTTACTTAATCAACTATTTTAATTAGTCTCTTTTCTTGAACAACTTTTGTGAGTACTTTGTAATCCTTGTCATGTCATAAGTAAAATTCATGTGATACTCATTATATTCAACATTGCATTGGTAACCATTGATTACTAGTCATCTAAACGCATTTTTACAGTACTTATTCTAAACGCAGTAATGCTAACGGCATGAACTAAGGTTTTACTCTAATTGCTAAATATCTTTTTCATTCCATTTTCCATTGGTCATTTTATTAAAGAGAAGTCGAAAAGGATTCATTATGTTCGACGAACTTCTGCATTGTTTTTGCTGTCCGCCTGTCAGTTATATTACAAAGCTTGTTAACACCTTCAGGAAGTTGTGAGGGTGATACTAATATTTTATCTGAAGTTTGCAATTTGATGGTTCTTATGAAGAGTTGTTCTTGTCTTCTATTTGCGTATTATGCTATCATATAGCCTTTTTTATGTTGCACGCACCACAGGATTTTTCTACTTTTGACTTTATGACTGAATAGTGGAGATTAAAATTACTCTGTTCCATACTAATTGGGTGCGTCGTTGGTTCAGCGATAGAGTGCTGGCCGACCATGCACGTGGTCTGGAGTCCAAGCCCCAGCTGGTGCACACCTCTACGTCCCTTAGCCGGTTATAATCCCGACAAAGAGGGGAGGTTGGGCGTAAGGGTAGCAACCCCACCCCGTAAAAAATACACCACTGCTACTGCAACTTCAGAGCTCTAGCTTGGAGCAGTATGTTCCACACGGAACGTAAAGGAGTAAAATATTAATTGAAATCCCTATCTTAATTGGTATTGTTAGTGTTGTGCAAATTTCAACTAATTTGAAGACAGGTTTTTTCTAAAAATTGAGCATCTGCTGTAAAACCATTGGAAATCGATACCTCATGAATTCTGTTCAATGCTGACCTACAAAATGGATGTATCACCATCAAATATCACTGGTGAATAGCTGACATTACTATGGACTGTGTAGAACTTACCAGTTTTGACTTCTCATTCGAATTCCAGTGAGTTTATTTCGAGGCTGCATTCACTCCATACTGAGGATCCAGACGACCAGCCAGAAAGGATAAGCTTTGAAAAACTCTGGCAGGTAACTAACCAACCAGGAACCTATTGCCCAAAATATTTTCGGAAGGAAATGGGGGTGGATTAGGCATATGCTGAGGATACTGTTTAATGATATTACACATCAGGTCGTATAATAAAACCCGAATGGGAAGTGGCGAGTTGAAAGTGGGTCTGCGAGTGATGTCGGAGAGATCGTGTAAGAATGAGGAGGTGAGGACTTATGAACAATCATAGAGATAGCTGAAGAGAACTGCTTAGAAAAAAGGGTGATGTGCTGCTGAAGCTCTTTATTCCACTTGGAACTCAATGGAATAATAATCATATACTTTCGAAATCAGTGATTAGTGAACAGTGCATGCATATAAATAGTGGGGACTGTCTACTAATAAAAATCGATATGATTTATTTGGTAAAGGGAATTATAGAATGATTGGAATTCTTATTGATTTTTTAAGTATCGTAGGATATTGTTTACCTTAAGGAGATGCTTTTTTACCCTTTGGGTTAAATATCATTATTCCCGATTTTATTTTAATTCAACTCGGGAGACTTTTTTCACTTATTCCGGTTCAGTTATGAAAAACACGTTGAAAGGGAAGTTATTTGCCTATCGATTGAATTATATATATATATGTCGATAATTTCCTCATTTTTGTAAATATTCATTTAATTCTAGTGTGGGTTGGATTTATTAATAATAATAATAATAATAATAATAATAATAATAATAATAATAATCACAATATATATATTCGCTGTCTAATTCACATTTTATGTTCTCATTTATTTGCTCTCAGGAACTTTATGTCATGCTAGTGAATCAGAAACTCTACGCTCTGATCCGCATAAAAATAAACGTTTCTGTTGTTGTCATTCGAAACCGCCTCGTGGGATATTAAGTTTTAATGCTGCTGTCCGCTTACGTTGTATGGCTTGGCAGTTCGCATATTCTCCCTACATTATTGAAGGATATGAAGTTACTGATCATAGTGCTGGATTTACTTTCCAATTGACAGATCTGAGAAAAGTGCTGATCAGTCGCTTTGTTCACGTAAGTTGTGAAATAGAATGAAGTATTATTATTAGTAAGGTTATTTGGAAGAGAAGTGTTAGGGGAGCGGGATTGTGAAGTGGTCACAACATTCATACTACTGCCGTCATGGTAGTAATTTCTGGTGAGGCGAAACTATCGGTCATTGAATTAGAATAAGAGAGCTAGAAGACCTGGAGCCCACTGCTGACAGAATGTCTGTTTGCTAAGCCATTCCGCCATGTCCTTTCTTCTTTCACCATCATCATAGGTTCAAGTTTACATTTTATTGATACTTGTGCGATGCCACGATTCGCTGGAATTTCTTTATTAATCTTTGCCAAATATTCACAGTCGGTTGTTTGGCGTATCAAAATAAGCGACTGTGTTATTGAGCTAGTGTGAATTGAAGTACGGAAAGTGTCGGATTAGGGGTTATTCTTTAAGCCAGTGGTTAGGACTCTCGCCGACCATTCACATGGTCCGGAGTTCGATCCCCTGCCGACGCACACTCGATATCAATGGTCGGCCTGCAAAATTTGGGCTTCCAATATCACATGCTGAAAATTCCATACTTGTATCAAAAATACGGTGTGGAATCAAGCTATAATCAAAATAAAAATAAAATATTTTCGCGGTTTAGTGAAATAAAAGGTACAAAAGGATAGTTCCGAGTCAGTTAAAGATGTTTCATTGCACTTACTGTCGTTTTTACTTTCGTCCTTTTTGACTCAGTTATATTATTGATGATTTATTTGTATGTACTGCAAATTGATGTAATTAGTTGGAAACTGTTTACATAATCTGGTGTTCCTCGATGTAAGAAGATGTAATTTTCTATTAAACTTTATATCATTTTCAAGTATTGGTTTTGTAGGGAATTTTCTTCAATTGGTTGGAGAATTTCATCATGAGCTGATATCAGTTAGAGAACCACTAGAAAACCCGGGAGTAGTGGTCAACTGTTTCGTCCTAGTTTGGGACTCTTCAGTAGTACACATTTATCTTCATTTAAAGATAAAAGAAAACTATTGATTAGTAATTCTCATTACTTATATGTGTACACCTGTTTCAAAATCTTTTTCCCTTCCACAGTGTGTTATTTACTTTGTCTGTAAACTACCCAATCTGTCTAATCGTTTGACACAATTATCTCCATGCCTTGAGGCAAACAGATTTTCATCACCAGATTATTTTGATTTGGATCCAGTATTTTTTAAAATGATCGATGATGATTTTGATGAAGATGTGAATGGTGTTACTAGGCAACGTTTTGTTCATATCTATTCTGATTGGATTGCTTACTGTTTAAAGAAGAATAGTGAAAATTCAGTAAGTAAAATCAATATTATTATTATTATTATTATTGAGCATTCGTGCTTATGATTGTATACATTGGTAATGTTGTATCGCTCTACATAAAACCTTTGTTGATGCATTTGTATTTCACTTTTTTTATCAGCCAGTTGTCACCAGTCTTCTATATAGTACTGATCGCTAATTGCGAATTTGATTTAAGGTATTATCTGTCCGCCCAGGTAGCTAGTCAGAAGTTAGGTGGTTTCAATTGATTTGGCTCTCTGAGCTAAGTCAAACTGGTTAGAGAACGCTAAAGAGCTCGGCTGCAAACCAGGGAAACGGCCATCAATCAATACTATTACTATTATAACATCATGCATTTATGCTTGCTTTCGTGATTTCCATTTGTGGTAGTTATCAAGCAGATCAAATATTTCGATCTGAAGAATTTTTGTTCCAAAGGGAATATGTGGTGAAATTTCACCCTGGAACTGTGTGTAATCTGTACACTGCGAATTTGATTAGCGTTACCAATATGTCCTTGTAACTTTTGGTTTTGCCCCAGGTTTACTCTAGCTAGTGAGAGTCAGACAGTCAAGATGCTTGGCTCAAACAGCATGCACAAAATTACCAACAAATACGTTTTATGTAATGTTTAGTATGTAACTGATGAAGTAGTAAAACAATGAGAACAGTGTCTGTGTTTCCTTTAATTAATTAGCGTTTCTTTATAGTACAGAATCTTATCATTCGATTCCCCGTATTATTTTGCAATGGTACATGTTTAAACGGTTGGTTCGTGACAGTTAGAGTGAGTTTTATACAATATCTGCAATAATTTTATATCCAACCTTATCTTTACTTACTACTTCGTGTTACCATGGGATACAAATATTACTCATACTTCATTCATGGATAGTGCATAGCTTTGAGTAAATAAGTTTCAAACATGTAGGGTAAAAATCCGACATGTTACTCTAAATTGTTTACATTGGGAGTTGAGTGCAGATAGATTTTTGTCAATCTTGCAAGTGTGTTTCCTCTTCCTGTGAGCTTTTACATAATTTGCATTGTTTTATACTACCGTACAGTCACGTTGAAGATTCGCTGTCATTATAATACATTAACAATAATTCAGTCATCAGAAAGTTTAACGAAGAATCGCGGGATCAGCTAAGTATACAAAATTCTACTGAAATTATTACAACAGGATTTCTGATAATATGCCTTCATTTTATTTAAAGTTTTTATGTGTTTTAAGTATATTAGTGGGACCTTTTGCAAGGATATATTAATTTTGGCCGATTGAAATATATATGAAAGTTACTGCTACCATGTAGAGACGTTATGCTTTTTTTACTAGCTGACATCAGCTGGAGAACCATCGGGAAACCAGGGAGTATTGGACAGATGTTTCATTCTTGATATAAAGATAAAAATTGGGCACTGTGGTAAAGTGTAACTCCATTATGGATAAAATTTTATTTTGATAAAATCATATAGTGTTGTACAGTAATATTTACTGATGACCACGTTTCGAGCACAACTTACTACTGCTCACAATCACACGAAGTCACTCACATAACTTTCTTGCTTCATTTATATATATGAGTAAAAATTAATTAGACGTTTGAGTAAAATCAAACCTAAAAACTCACTCAGAGACAGGCTCTGTAGGCTAAAGGACCTCGTGGACCCAATTAAACAAAATATTATAATTTACAAAATACCTTGCAATGACTGCAACTTAAGTCAACTACATAGGTCAGACTACTAGATGAGGAGTAGTGAAATTATCAGAACATAAGAATTTAGCTAAAATTAGAATGATTTATCCCACAAAGATAAGTAATTTAGAAAAAATCTCAGCACTGCATGCATTAACCCACAATCACACAATAAGGTGGTTGGGACAGAGTCAAAATTCTTAGAAGTAATATAGGAAGGTGGAGAGAGAGATTGATTACTAAATCCTGGTTCATCGAACAGTCTACACCCAACACATGCAGTAGAAGTGACTCAACGCAAATATCAGAGATATGGAAGATATTATTACCAGTCGAATTAGAGGAGGATAATAAATAATCTAAAAATTCTATTTCACTTCACATTATAACACTAACAAGTTATTTATTTTTTACTACAAAAACATCTTATTTCCCATCTTAATGTGTTATATTGATAACATTAATATTATTTCCCAGTGTACCCTATCTTATATTGATTCTTATTCAAATATCTAATGAATTTTTCCAAATGTATATAAATGAAGCAAAAAAGTTGTATGAGTGAGTGAGAACCTTGATATGATTATTGTCAGTAATATATCGTTCTCGAGACGTGGTGATCAGTAAATACTACTGTATAACACTATGTGATTTTATCAAAATAAAATTTTATGCCCAATGGAGTTATGTTTCATTCTGGTTTGAAATTTTTTAGCAGTACTCACCCCCCCAAAGCTTCCAAACCAGGACCTTTCGGTTAAAAGGCGAGCTGGTAGATTACTCATCTACGGAGGTCAGATCGAATGTCCCATGAATTTCAGCTTCTGCTAGTTCGTGATGTATGGCTCCACCACCAGCCGATGTTATCGGCTCGTGATCAAACCTTTAACTAATCCAATCTCTGCTAATGAACACTTAAAAACCACGTATTTTTGTTTATAATTTTAATACAACTTAAGTTACAGGCTTCATCTCTCCGTTCCCATTCTTTACACTCATGTTAACATGATTACATAATTATTTGTTTTTTAGTCTGTACCATGTGGTCCGGATTCTCCAGTTGTATCGTTATGCTTAGCATTAAGCCTTTTGGGTAGACGATGTATGGGAGGTCATCAATCCTCAAAACATATGTAAGTATAATGTTAAACGCTTACATTTATATATATGTTATATATTGAAAATACACTTTGCTAATAACACAGTTTAATCGACAAATAGGCGGATAGTATAGTTCACCCTAACCCCTACAGAAAAATAATCAACAGGAAAGGCGATGAAGATATCACCAAGTAAAAATATTTTAATGTCTTCATTCACATATCTGTGTGAGTGTTTTCATTCTGTCGGTATTCATAATATTTTTTCTCTGAGTTTTCCTATAACCTTAGAAAAAAACAACTTATCCAGAGTGTATTTGTTTTGAGTGCATGGATTATTTCAAGTCATTCTGGATATTTGAATTATAGGATTTGTGCGGAATTGAATTAATTTCAGTTGTTGGATTTTGTCAAGAATCAGCATCAATTAGAGACCCCTTAAAATCTAGGGAACATTGGACAGCTACTTCTTCTTTGCTTGGCACTCATTAGAATTGCGCATCCGTGAACTCCAGATAACAAGACCAGTCAACAAACTTAAAACGCATTGGTTATTGGATTCCGGTCTAAGTAACCTAGTCTTGTAACCTAAATGTCCTGAATTCGATACTTAGTTGGGTACTGGTTACGCACTGTGAAGAGTTCCATACTAGGATGAAACGGCTGTTCAGTGTTCCCTGGTTTTCGCTGACCTCTAACTGACATTATAGATATGGTAAATTTCAAGGGATTTTGTTTGATTGTTCACAGGATTTCATCATAAGCTGACATCATTTAGAGAATCATTGGAATACCTGGGAGTACTGGATAACTGTTTCGTCTTAGTTTGGAACTCTTCAACAGTACGAACCCACAGTAGTGCGTTTGAACCCAGGACCTTCGGTTACTAGGCGACCGAGCTCGTAGACCATTAAGCCACTGGGACCCGATCCAATTGCCCATGAGTTTTAACTTCTACCAGTTGACGACATAGTGCGACCTTTTCGCAGTGTTCTGCTTCGATGAGTTACTGCCTCATCTTCAACCGGTGGGCGAATACTGGTGAAGAGTCCCAAACCAGGGCGAAGCCGTTGCCCAGTACTCCCATGTTTTCCTGTGGTTCTCTAACTGATGTAAGCTCATGATGAAATCCTCCAACTTATCTGTCTTAATTTTGAGTTTCATGAGAATTCAAAAAAAGTATTGTTCAATATGAATTCGACAACTAATACAATGGCCTTGAGTTTTATCGTCACTGGCCACTTGTTTTTCAATAAGCAGGTGTTAGCAATTCTGCCTTAGTCACGAGTTTTGATTAAATAATACGTTTTGATGTTTATTCACGTTAAACGTGTAAAGATATTGTTATTATTCTGTTTCTTAGTTGTTTAGACGCCATAAACAGTTCTTAATTTGTATATTTTATTCATATCGCTTTACATCAACAATAAATAACTTGGTGTTTCTGTAAACATGTACACATAAAAAATGCGGGTTATATAATTCTGTGTATAAATCTGCATGACTTTGTTCGAATACAGTGTCAATTTCTCAGTAACTGAAACGATGTACCCATATTCAAACCTTTAAGTTGAATTCATTAAATTCTACTTTAGTTCAGTATATATTGTTGAACAGTTGATGAAGTAGTTTTTTTCTTCAGAAATCATCAGAGAAAAGCTTAAATTCGACTGATTGCATTAATTTAAAGTACATCATTGTGTAAATGGTTTAATTTGGTGCCCAAAACTAAGAACCCCAGTAGTTCATAAGTCAAAATATCCTGTTAGACCAATAGCTGATTTTAAAAATCCACCTACTTATGAATTGTTTAAATATTTAGCTATGGTAATAAATCCACTTAGATGCCACTTAAAATGTAGACTAACAAATTCTTATAAACTAAAACATAGATTGTCTAATTTTAAATTAGATAGTGATTAAGAAAATGGTTAGTGTCGACATCGTTAGTTTATTTACACAAATATCGATAAATATGACTATAGAAGCGATCAGGAAAAAACTCATTCTTGACCAAGAACAAAAGTGCCACTAGAAGACGTACTCCTGGGAGTGAAGATATGCCTGACTTGTCGAATATTTAAATTCCAAGGGGAAATATACAAAAACAACTGAGAGAGTTGCTATGGTGTCACCAATATCCTCGATAGTAGCAGATATATTGATAGACAGGTAGGGGAACTTAGTGGTTGAAACGTTCAACTGCACCCCGAAAGTATGGTGGTGGCATATAGATGATACATTCACCGTACTTAAAACACAGGACATAAATAGATTTTTTGAATACATAGACTCCAAAGTAGAGGTAATTCATTTTACTTATGAATTATAAAGTCAGGAAGGAGGTTTCCAATGTTAGACTGTAGCATAAAAAAGTGAGATGCGGAGTTAAACACAAGTGTTTATAGAAGACCCACACATTCAAACAGATATTTGGATTTCCGATCATCCCATACTATGTCATTTAGAATAGGACTGTTGAAACGTTTAGGTAATACGGCACAAAAACTGAATAGTAAGGCATATAAGAGAAGTTTTAAAACTTAACAATTACCCTGATAAATTAGACAGGAAGTATTCAGGAAGATGCAAAATGCAATTCATAATAATAATGGTAATAATAATAATTATTATCATAATGACCACATGTATGACAAACCTGCACAGAATGATGAGAACACCAGCAATAAGGAGTTTAAATTATCAGTACTACCTCCATACAAAGAAGGGACCAGTGCAGCTTTACGTAAATTTCTTAACAATTCAGGAATAAAAGTGGTATTCAAGCCTGCAAACTTAATTAGAAGCAACTTTTGTTGATGACAGGATCCTGTGGACTCAATTAAACAAAACAATTTAGTCTATCTAATACCCTGCAATGATCATCAGGTCAAATACATAGGTCAGTATAGTAGAACAGGGTCAGTCAAACTAATGGAGTATTAAAACCACCTAGCAAAATCTAGTTTATAACTCCATTATGGATGAGATTGCTCATGAGCGATAATTTCTGCTCGAAACGTGGTCATCAGTAAATATTACTGTATAACACTGTATGATTTATCAAAATAAAATCTCATCCATAATAGACTTATATTGTACCACAGTGCCTTAGTTTTATACTTATATTGAAAATCTGGATTAGTTGACCCTGATGATATAAGAAATCTGAAGATTAGCTCAGCTATACCACTCGCTGCATGCGATTAGACACAACCACACAACAGGATGGGATAGGATGACAGTTTTAAAATTTAATGTCACAGGGTGGAGGGAGAGATTGATAACGGAAGCTTTGTTTATCGAATCAACTGCAAACACGTGTGGTAGGAATGATTCGTCACCTGCCCCAGATATCTGGAAAATTCTACTACCCCTACGACGACGAATAGGAGAGAACAAAAATAACTATAAAACTCAAGTTTCGTAGTCGTGCAATTACAATTGATATGATTATGAACAATAAATTTTGTTCTAAACGCCATCCAGTAAATAGTACTGTTTGATTGTGTGATATATCTATCTAATAAATTAATTAATGTGAAATTGAACACTACCACAATACCAAAGTTTTTCAGATGTATTAGCATCATTGTCTCACTTCAGTTTTTTTCTTAATGTTTGATATTTAGATAAAGCAATAAGAAGACGTAATTTTTCTGAATCGTGTAATGTATTTCCGCAACACATTTCGAACAATCTGGTCACACACGGACTTGAGTAAGGTGCCTCTTCAGTAGAATCCAACGAATATGCGCTGAAGACACACTTGATGAAGGAGAAAGAAAGTTGACACAAACTCTGGTTGATAACAATTATCCAGACAAGTTCATCAGGAGATATAAAGTAGTCCGAACACCAAGACCCACTCTACAAATCGCCGCCTAGAAAGACGTGTACATCAAACTACCTTATATGAGGCATCGTAGCAGCTTGATAACTTGACAAAGACTGAATGCCGCTGTTAAAAAAAAACTTTTTATGCAGCTAATATCATAATAATTGAGAATGTAAAGCCAATATATCTATCTTAAGCCCTTCGAACATGCGAAAAATGATGTCACATCTCACTGTATTTACCAATTTGAATGTACGTGTGGACGCACATACATAGGGAGGACTCATCGATCTCTGCAAGTAAGGGCTTCAGAGCATATTCCTTAATGGCTCCAGGAACAAATGGAATCTTCAGAACCTATTAACGGTGAGAACAGGAGACCTAGCTCCTCTATTACGAAACATATTATAAATACAGGACATAAAATTGATGTTAACAGATCTTTTAGCCTATCTATAAAACGTGTTTGGGGCGTTTGTGGAAGCCCTAGCAATTAGAAAGTTTAAACCGCCTTTATGCCTTCAAAGCAACAATTCGTCATCAAACTAACTAAACCTTCTTTGGTAAACTTTGTTTTGATACCAGCCAGAGTAGATGTACTGTTACCTCTGTTATTTGGTTTAGTGATCTTCATTGCTATTTTGACCTTGAATATGGTGGCCTTTTAACTTAACCTAAGTAGTCTATTTTCTCACCTCTTAACTCTTAATTAATTTCATACGAATTACTATGGGAAGTTTGTGTGTGATCAGATTGTTCGAAATGTGTTGGGCAAATACATTACACGATTCAGACAAATTACGTCTTCTTATTGCTTTATCTAAATTCATAAAGGGAACTAATTGTTTTAATGTTCTTATACTTGTTTCTATTTATAACTATTCGTCTGCTTTAGACTAGATCAATTTTTACATGGAGTTCATCAAGTATTCTCTGGAGATATTAATTTAGCCCCAAGAGATGATTGGGTTCTAACTGATCTAGATCTTCTTCAAACTGTTGTTACTCCAAGTGTACGTATTGCATTAAAACTCTATCAAGTAAGTTTGTTTTTATATTGATGGTCTTTCCCCTACTTGTCGTCATAATATTTTAGTGAGTAGTGTCTGTCGTGGTTATTGTGGAATTTTTTTATGAATAAAAAATACTGCTTATTCGTGTTAGATGGTTGATTGCAACGGATATGATACCTTAGACCTAGGTTTTGGTGTTTATTAGTTCCTGTCAGCGTTGGGTTCTTGTAATTTGAAGAAAGTGACGCCCTCTTGGAGGGGCGAACATGCTTCGCTCATTGTTGCAGTCGCAGACATTGCCCCTGAGCTCTTTGGGTTCACAAATTATCACTAAACAATATTATCCACCACCTCATTAAGAAATCATGACCCTTCCACAAACTGGAGAAATATTTATCATCTGTTTAAATTTCTCTGTCCTAATTTCTTGAAACGAAAAGCTAAACTTTGGTGACTTATGATGTCACATATTGTTACTTCTTGACATTTTACATATCAGAGATCACAATCTAGCATTGCCAACGACTCAGTGGTTTTTAGTTGAAACACTGTTTTATATTACTGTTGGACAGTTGAAGTTTTGTTTAGTAGTAGTTAGGGCTATAATTGTGGAATGTTTAACTTGTGATTTATTTCATACACAATAGATAAAATTTTCTGAATTCTGAAGAGAAAATGTTACAAAGAGTTACTATTTATTTTCAGTGAATACAACCAAAGGATGCATAAATCAATCGTGTTTCATAGTTTATCCTAATATTATGACGACCATTTGTGACATGAATACATTATGAATGAAATATAGTATACATGAACACATTCCATGTGTACAGCAATGATCTGTTTACAATTCGAAATTCACATTTTGATTGTTTTCATGATTGTAGGCTTGAATTTTTTGTGACGATAGTAGATTATTATTATTATTCCTTTAGTTTCCGAGGGGAGTATATAACTTTAACAGAACATCTTCACTTTGTCCTGTTCTCTTGGGTCCTTCTTAGCTGGGCCCACGATTGCCCATAGACTCTCGCAACATAAAATCTCTTTCATGTCACTCTCGGATGCCCAACCCGTCGTTTCCTATTCATTTTTTACTATAGTGTTGCGGCGTAGTCCGACAGTCTCTTCAGCGTATGTCCTATCCATCTTCGTTTTCGTCTACATATTTGTTGAGAAATAGGTTCTTAGTTGGTTTGTTCCCAGATTTTCTTGTTGTTGATCCTTTCTGAATGGCCATCCGATCTTCAGTATGGAGCCAACGAAGGCAGCTGTTGATAACAGTCTGCAGTGACCTGTTGGAAATGAATTTCGTGACAAGCAAAGTTTCTGACCTTTATAGAAGAAACGACTTCACATTGGTGTTGAAAATGCGAATCTAGTTCCTTATGCTGAGTGCGGAAGATTTCCAAGCTGGTTTTCGGTTGATGAAGGCATATCTTGCCTTTCCGATTCTGGCTAGCTGGCTTTGACATCTTCATCCGTGCCATCTACCTGTGTTTGGAACCATGCTTCCTAGCCAGATAACTGAAGGAGGTGACGTCTGTTAAATCTCACCCATTGATGGTGATTGGTGCTGGTTGTTGTTGTGGTTCGTTGGTTATCTTCATCGCCTCCGTCCTCTCAATGTTCACTTGGAGTCCTCTCTTCGCTGCTTGCTCAGCCAGTTTGTTGGTTTTTGCCTGTAAGTCTTCAAGTTTGACTGACATCAAACATAAATCATCCATACGCAAAATTCAGATCTTCTAGAGTCTTCTGGTTGGGCCAAAGTAATCTTGTCCCCTCACTCTCTATGGTCTGACGCCATAATCCAATTTACCACGATTAGTAATACCATCGGTATCAGTAGGCGACTTTGTCTTACTCCTGTCTTCACTTCAGAGTCTTCGCTGAGTTTTCCGTTGTGGATTACTTGACCGGTGGCATTGTTATGTAGATCTTGAATGAGGCCGATAAAGATTTTGGGTACTGCACTCTGTTGTATTGAATTAGTTTCTAAATTACTTCACGGTGAACACCAAGTATAGCAGATTAGAAAAGATTATTGAAAAAATTACTATTTTTATGAACTATTTATTAAAAACTCCCTCGGTAAAATCTAGCGAAGCACATATATGAACGAACAATATTGTTTTCAATTAGATCTTATCTGACTTTACTCTGTTATGCATAACTTTACAAGTTAATATTAAAAATACAAACCGATCATGCTGATTTGTCAATAGGATGGTAAGTTTGTGCATGTAAATTGTTTATTTCGTCATAATAATAATAATAATAATAATAATAATAATAATAATAATAATTCTGTTGATAACAAATGGAGGCATGCCTGATAACACGGATCATGAAAAGTGGCAAAATTTTACAGACAAATGTTTTTTAAAATTTTTATTATAGCTTGATTCTACGCAGTATGTTTGGTACAAGGATGGAATTTTCAGCATGTGATATCAGTAGCCCAAATTTAGCAGGCCGATCATTGATAATTGGTGTTCGTTGGCTGTGGATCGAACTCCGGAACATGTGCATGGTCAGCGAGCGTCCTGATCGCTGTATGACTGACGCATAGACTTAGTAGATAAGGCTTAAGAAAAGTAAAGTCAGATGAAGTTATGCTAGACTGTAGGGAGTGTCAAGACAAACCTTCATCACTCTAAAATCAGTGTGGGGGTCCACTGCATTCAACATGGAACAAGATCCAAGTGTTCAGCATTACTGTCAAATCAGTGCTTCTATATGGATCAGACACTTGAAGCGTTCACCACCAAAAGCATTTCCAGCAGGCCACTGGAGACTTTCACCGATAGGTGCCTTCGCTTCACACTGAAGATCAGCTGTCCTGAAGGAATTAGCAACGAGGAACTCTGGCAGTACGACGAACCAATCAAGAACCTGTTAGCCATCAAGTAGAAGAGAATGGAGGTGGGATGAACATAGGTTGAGAAAACTCTCAAGCGGGAGCTGGATGGGAGGCAACGAATAAGGTATGGGTCCGAAGATGAAATGATGGAGATCGTGTGGGGAGCAGATGAAAGCTTGTAGACAATTGTGGAGCCCTCAGAGAACAGAGTGAAGTAGTGGTGTATTGTTGAACTCCTCTGTTCCACTCGTAACCCAAGGGAATAATAATAATAGATTTTAAGGGAAGTAAATTATCTCGATTTTATTGAAGATAACAACAGTGAATAAAGACATTTTGAGAAAAAAAACGAATATGTTATAATGTAGAGGGTCATTATGAAATTTAGTAATCAGTTAATTTTCTGATCGGTTATGAATGAACTGTCAATAGTGAGTACTATCGCATCTCTTTTTGAAATGATAAATGACAGCGAACCGTGCCTGTAGTGTACGAAGCCTTATCTCCATACATAATACAAACTTCGATCCTCCAGTCAAGTACTTAGAAGTTGGGTACTCAGATGAAATATGTGTAATCCCTATACATAGTTAAGCGTGTTGTCACTCACGTTTAGGTATATTCTGACATAAGTTACTTCTCATTGGTATATTTCCATAGTAGTAGTAACAATCCAGTATTTACTTTCACCGATGTTTAAGTGGTATCATCCACTATACAATGGTTTCAGGGTGAGTTAATCAAAATTCCAATTGCAAGTAATATCGAGCCTGCACATTAAACATAACTAAGGTATATTATATCACTGGTTTATATACAGTTTATTTTTGAATATATGTGTATTTTTGTCATAGGACACTTTTACATGGTCTTCAGGAAATGCACATCATGAATTGTACAGAAAAATTGTATATACAGAGAGAAATGTTGTAATTTGTCAAGAAACAGATCCAAAATGGCGATTCGCTGTACTAAATGATGCAGATTGTTTATTCTCATTTCGTTGGGTATCTGGTCGCACATCAATGGATGTTTATCGTATTGTACAGTTGACTAAAAGAAGATTAGAATTTAGAGCTATAAAAGTGAGTCTGAATTATTTATTGCTACAGTTATCTCTAATGTACTCCGCTGCTGTTACATGAGCATATTAATATTATTATTCTTTTGCGTTCTGAGTAAAGCATATGCCTTCTGCAGCACATAAGCTCTCAGCCCCTGCTCGCATGATCTGCATGTCACCCTTGGAGACTTGTCCAACTCTTCATTTTCTATTAGAGTTCCTTTGGAAGCTGTGCCTGGCTCATGTGTCGTTCAGCGGTTTTCTCACCATTAGTCCAATCCATATCCATTTCCTTTGACCTGTTTTTGGGGGCATAGGTTGTCGGTTTGTTCATAGCCCGCCAGTGTTCCTTGTTGCTAATGCTTACTAGCCATTTGGCCTTCAGTATGGAGCGAAGGGAGCTGTTGATGAAAGTCTACATTGGTCCTTTTGAAATGCTTTTCGTAACACATCAAGTCTCCGAACTAAATCGAAGCACTAGGTTAAAAGTAGTGCTGCAAAATTCGGATCTTGTTCTCTATGTTTAGTGTAGTAGATTTCCTTATTGATTTTTAGATCATCGAACGGCTGTATTGCTTTTCCATTCCTGACATTTACGTCCTCATCTGTTCCGCCTATAACTGAAAATGATGCTGCCTAGATAAAAAAAGAGGTAACCCTTCGAATTTCTCCCGTTGATAGTGATTGCTAGTTGTTGTTATTTAGGTATGTTGTGTTACAGAGGTACACTTGAAGTCATTTGGTGGATGGTGACTAGCAGTGGAATCCAGGATGCGCACTTCGTCCTATTTGAGACTCGTCATCTGGGAGTATCTGCATTCCCCAGTGAGTGATAGCGTCCTCACCGAGGCTTAAACGCTAAAGCGTTATCCTCTAGACTACTTGGAGACACCCTCACACACTAGCGAATGCAGGTACATCCAGATGACGAATCCCAAATAGGCCGAAATACACATCCTAGATTCCACTGCTAGTCACCATCCACCGATTGACTTCAAATAACATGACTAGACATCATCGAAGCATCTTCACAAGGAGCCGATATGCTATCCTGAGACCGAGCACTTCGGTCCAATCAATCAACGGGAAAATCTAAAATTGAATTAAAGGAGTACACTGTGTTTAGAAAAATTTGACTGTGAAATTTGAGTACCGTGGTTAATTATTGTCACATATTGCTTGACACATGTCGACAACAGCACTGTATTTTTTAATGGTATATCATTGGTAGCTCTGTTTGTCGCCTATAATTATAGTCCTCCTTCTTCTCATATCACAATCTGTTATAATTATATGCGATTTTTTTTAAAAACTGATTGATAACCCTAAATTTTTGATATCCATATGTATTGTATTAAGAATTAAGCTTTTTCATAGTTAGTGGGATGTTACTCTCGATATATATAAAGGGAATAGATAAATAAGGTAGGTGAGTAGAGGTATAATTGTAAAAACAGAAACCAAATCCTTTGCTCCAAAGCTACACTAGGACAGAGAGTGACATACCTTTATTGCAAATAGATAAATACATTGGGATAATTGTACATGTGTTGTCAAATATCCAGATCGCAAAGATCTTGAACCAACTGCTAGTTTTAGAAGACCAAGCCTAATACGCAGAATACTATGCATGGTAATCTATGCAGAACAACAGAAAACGGTAGGGTAATATGAAACAGAATAACAATTATTACCAATTGCAAAGTCTGTAAACAAACGTTAATATAATGTACAGTTATACTTCTGATCGTATTTCTCCAGTCTTCTGTCAACCAGTATACGACTAAGCAACGATAGCCTTCTTATCTCCCGCCAAATGGAGATCAGTTCGAATAAACAAACTATCCAGTGTCCATCATTACTGACATATGTTCTAGTTCAAACGTGGTCTTTTAAATATTCTAATATTTTTTTCCTTCACGTTCCACAGCGGAACATAGGGCTTCAAGCTAGTAGCTTGAAGTTTCTGTAGCAGTGTTTATTTTACAGGGTGGGGTTGCTAGCCTCATGCCCAACCTTTCCTCTTCACGTGAATTATTTCTGGCTTAACGAGGTAAAGGAGTGCGTCGGCCGGGGATCGAACCCCGGACCATGTGCATGGTCGGCGAGCGTCCTAACCGCTATGCCACCGACGCACTTAAATATTCTAATAGCTTCCTAAATAACCTCATGTGTCAAATGATATCATTAGTAAATTTTACTTACGGAACAATATAGCTGAATGATATGACTCTGGAATGAATCACTGAGATTACATAGCCGATCAGTTCGACTCCATACAAAAGAAACGGTTATAAGATGCATAGATTATTTCAAGCTGGTGTTATTACTGCACATACCTTAAATATGGGCATGGTAAAAAGCTTTTACAAGCCTAACCTTGACAGTACTCCTTCGAATCTACCCAGTCATAGATCGATATCCAGAAGGCAAAAAACGTTTCAATGTTTCTAGTGTACAAGTCTTGAATAAACAGAAATATGTTGAGGTGTCCTTCAACTGGACAGTACTACAGAAATAATGTTATTCCCCCCTTCCAAAAATAACTTGACTTTGGGTTGGTTGCCCACCAGTTTCCGTAATATACCATGTTGCTAAAAAAGCTTATGGAAATATTCTAAAACTAATTGATGACATTACTTGTGACCTTAGATTCATGTCACAGAATCATAAAGGGTTGTGTTACCTTATTATCTTGACATTTTATATATTGATTGGATTGATTAACTATCCCTATGGGAAATATCCTTAAATTTAGTTTGTTCACAAGTATCAGCGGGTGTCTCCTCAACCACCCGTTGACGGCCGTGTAAATAATATGATCAGTGTTCCACGCAGTTGTAGCAGGTGTAGAGAAGCTACCTAGCTATTAGTGAAGTTGGAATTACAGTGAGGGGTACTACGAAGTTCTCAGAGAGTGCGACGACCTACCACGTATCTTCAAGTGGTCCCCAGTCGGAAACTTATTTGTAAAAAAGGAGGCTTTGAGTCAGGAGGAGATATTATGAATCATTGTCTACCTGGTTTGGAAATCAAGTATTTGACCCTTTTAGGCGTCCAACAATTGCCATATTTCTTGACTTGAAGGCGGCCTTCGACTCCCTGGATCGGGAGGTACTATGGCAATGTTTGACTATGAAGGGAGTGCCAAGAAAGTACATTGCACTAATCAAGGCACTCTACTCAAACTCACGTAGCTGTGTAAGGGCTTATGGGGAATTGTAATCTGAATTGATAACAACCAGTGGTGTCCGTCAAGGATGTCCACTTTCCCCTTTTCTGTTTAACTTCATCATAGATATGCTAATGCAAGTATCCTTAACTGAACTTAACGACTTAGGAATCGACTTGTTACCAGGGAATAGTCTTATGGACTTAGAATATGCAGACGACATAGTCCTGTTAGGGGAGGACACTGTCAAAATGCAGAGTCTTCTGAACACCTTGAGCAGCAATCTTCGTATGTTTGGCATGCGATTCGCCCCTGTGAAATGTAAGATGCTGCTACAGGAATGACTGGACTACGTCAACTCCTAGCCTAGTGATAGGGAGTGAAGTGATAGAACATGTTGACCACTTCACCTATTTGGGAAGTTGTATCAGCACCAACGGATTGATTGGTGACGAAATCTCATCACGGATCCAAAAAGTTCGAGCTGCTTTCGCTAACTTACACCGTCTCTGGCGTAGGCGTGACATCCGACTATCAACCAAGGGACGTGTATACTGATCAGCAGTTTGCTCCGTCCTTCTCTATGGCTCTGAAACATGGCCAATACGAGTTGAAGGCATGAAAAGGTTGTCTGTTTTTGATCATAGATGTTTACGATCTCTTTCTCACTTTAGGTGGTATAATAAGGTAAGTAATGTTGACGTTTGGCGTAGAGTGTTGGGCAAAGAGCGAAAATCAATCGACGAGGCTATAAAGTTAAATAGATTGAGATGGATAGGTCACGTGCTGAGCATGCCTAACCATCGCCTCCCCCGACGGACGGGCATTACTAGCTGATATAGGTGCAGGTTGGAAAAGAGTAAGTGGTGGCCAAACAAAAACATGGCATCAATCAATCCATGAAATCCTTGACAGTTAAACTGAGTCAGGTAGGGAGATGCAGGCTTCCGGGTTGGGGCCCTCGGGACTCTAAGAATCAATGGCTGGAGACAATAGGTGACATGGCTCAAAATCGTTGTCAATGGCTTACGCAGATGTATTCAGTCTCTTTAACCTTCATACTCCTTTCTACCATTACTCATTCTGTTTCACTCTTATACTTGTCAAAACTCTATTGATTCTCTTCACTCATCTTCTTGTCTACCTTTGTGTGCTCTTTGGAACGTGGCAACTGGAACTGCTGCACTTCGGTGCCAAGTTCTATGTTGAGTCCAGACAGAGACAGACAGACATTTTACCCTAACGTCGTAGATCAAAGGTCACATCTTTGGATTTATATTGGTGTATGTTTTCCAGTCAGAACCTAGTTTTTTTATAGCTTCAACTAGTAATTAATTGGTTGGGTAAGATATCTGTATAATTATTTGTAATTTCTAAATCTTTGCTTGGGTACGTCAGTCTTCTATATCTTTCTCAGTGTGGGAATATTATTCGAAAGATAAAGTGTATTATATTATCATGCTGTTGAAGTAATAGCAATAACAAACTTAAATCCAGTATTATTGTCGATTATAACAACTGACTAACGAGGAGCACTGCTAGTGTGTGTGTGTGTAGCGGGGGGGGGGCTTTATCCACTACCCACATAAGTCAGTTGTGTATATCCCAGATTTGAATCGTTTGTTCGTCTACGCATTCTAGGAAGGTTGAACAAACATAAGTAATAATTGTTGCCTTGTTTATTATTTATCTTCCCAAAGTATTACTAATGGAAGACCAAAATGGAAGGAATTTTGTGCTAGTTTTGAGCGATAATCTTAACACTAATGTTGATCTGTATCACTGTTTAACTGTCAGTTATTAATAGTAAATGAAAGATAAGTGGTTAATGTCCTTCTGTAGTGATTGCAAGTTATTATCGATTCAATCTATTGCATAGTTTAAAAATACTTTTGTATAACTGACAGCTCGTGGTAGAGGATAAACAGTTCAGTAATCAATAAGAATAAAGTTAAAAATTGGTTTGTAAATATACTTTGTTTGCCATATTGTCTCTTTCTTACCTATAGTGCTAACTGGATTCCATTTCTGAGACTTGCAGAATGGTCACAGGAAGCGCTTGTTGACTCACTATCGTAGCGTTCTTTTGATTAAGATTATCGGATGGCATCAAAAACCGCACAATATGACTAATGCTTCTATTGTAGCTTTTGAAAATATCAGTTAAGGTGTAAAACGACCAGTGTTGGCACCAACAGCTGCTGCAGTTCCGCACTTCTCGGAGGCACTTGTTCCTTTGCGCATACATGTGTACCTTACTAATGTGCTTCAAATCACTGTTCGTAAGGTTTTCTCCTGATTATTTCTAATTACGTAACATCAAGTTAACCCGTTTTTCGGTTCTTTAGTCCATAGTCATATGGTACTGTTTCGCTGTTCACGGTTTGCAAGATTTTTGGCTGACAGGTCGGTATTGATTGAAGTTTAGTTTATTAACGTGTATGAAAGTATTCGTGAAACGTCACCACTAGTCTTGTCTATATTTCCAATTCATTCTCCATTGCTTTCTTTTTCTCCATTTACCTTTGAATGTCGCCAGTTGAATCCTGAATGTGTTCGTGGTTTGTGGGCTGGTCAACAACGTGAACAGATATTTTTACGAAATAATAATGAAGAACGTGGAAGTATACAAAGTGCTAATCCAGTTCTACGTAATTTAGTTAACTCTAGCTGTGATCCGCCTATTGGTTATCCAATATATGTTAGTCCATTAATTACTAGTTTTGCTGGTGATAATGAAGATTATATACGTGTATGTGGAGGTGAATTATCACTTGTTGGCATTCTTTTGCGTATACGGGATTGTTGGTCACGTTTTCTTCGTCTATACTGTTGTACTACAGGTGATGAATCAAGCGGAGGTATGATAATTGGTTCTTTTTTAAAACAAATGTTATATAAATGATGTTTCTTCCTCCTTCAAAACAGTGACAATATGTCTGGTTTAAATAGATTTTCGTGAAAATTGTTAATCTCTTTTAAACCTGAATAGATGAATGTTGCTTCATTTAATCACACAGAATTTCAATACTACCACTGTCTTCCATGCTTCAGTTTAGCGGTTAATGCAGGTACTACAACTGCATACCTATTCAAGTGGTAATTTGTAGAAATTTGATTCGTTTCAAGTTTGACTACGGATTGATATCAATTAGTGTTGCACTGAAATCAAGGGAGTACTGTGTACACCTGTTTCATCCTAGTTCAAATACATATATTATTCTGTTACTAATGCAGTATTGAACTGTGAGAATAATATTCCGTTGGAACACACATTGTCTGTATCGCACCACCACACTCGCCCCCCCCGTCAAATACTTTCGACTGAAGTTTGTTCGATCTTCTTGGTACTGGCGGCTTTGTTAGCTTGTCTTTCTGTATCAAGTTCCGGAGCTCGCTAACGTTCACCAGCTTCTCTTTGTTTGCATTTCTGATCGTATGTACGTGACCCCGTCTCACGGTGACTGTGTGTGGTCCTTCCCACTTTGGAAGCAGTTCGCGTAACCCTGGAGCGTAATCGCTGGTGTTTCGCCTCACACTATGCTGCCTTCATCTGACCTCCCAGCAGCGTTCCAAGTAACAGACTCTTCGCTGACGGATCTTGAACGCCATTCAACTCCGCAACAGCCTCGAAGTCCTCCAAGAAGACCCATATATCTCCTTCTTCAAAAACTTCAGGGCATAGGCTTTTCATTTGTTGTGACAGGCAGTGACACCAAATGTAACTGCAAAAGGCAGGACACGGAAGCCAAGGTGTATTTTCAATTGATTAAACAGCTATTTATATCTATACAGTTTATATTAATTAACCAATCACTGAGCGTGTGATTTTGGTTTACATTAAAAGACATGAAATAGAATGTTCCAATTCACATAGTATTCTGTTGCTAATGCTATATTGAACTGTCGGAATATGTGAGAATAGTATTCCGTTGGGACACATTGTTTGTTCCACACCACCACATATGTAGTAAATTGATTGGAACAACTTTCGCAAAGCTGCTTATATTATCTCTGTGTTTAATCCATAAGCTGAACATGTTATTGAAACGCAGGTAACTTCCGCTTTAGTGTTGTTACGGTATTTTACGACAGAAAGACAAACAAAAACTACTTAAAAAAGGCAGACCACATGCATCAGTCACTTCATATGGTTAATGTTTATAAGTTGAATGAATAAGCTATCCGTCCTGTCTAAGAATATACACCTAACCTTTGTATTATGCATCAGGCGATTTAATCAAACGCCATCAGTGCAACGTGACTTATATTTTGGAGCCTTTTTAAGGGATAAGCTTCACCCCATAAACGACCTGGTACAGCTGAGGGTTGGCAAACCTCCGTCTTCCTCTCGGAATGCTCTCATGTAGTCAGGCGTTTATAGCCTCTGTTTGGTAAGTTCTCTTCCATACCATCATGCAGCGGGCATTTTCCTCAGAAAAAGGGAAGAGTGAATTCAAATGGTCGACGCTTACAACAGGATTGAGTGATGAACATGCAGGCCTATCTTAGAGAGCTGGAAAACCCTGATTACAAACATGTGTTGCACATGGGCTCCAAATTCCGAGTACATCGAATGGCGTATGAACCTGTTTCGGTCACTGAAAGCTCGGGGCGTCGCCCCTCAAGAAAAATTCCTGCTTCAGTCTAGAGATCCCATACCCTCCACCAACTAAGATTTTGTAAGGAGTGCGTACCATGTTTGCGCTACAGTAATAATAGCAATCTTCACACTTATTGATTGAGACGTTTATCTTGTCAGTTTTAGGCTTTTAGAGTTTGTATTGAAGATTTTTCTCCACAGCTTTCTACCGATTGACTAAATTCTTCAAGTGTCATTTTGTAGGGAATTGACAGGCTTGAAGGTTGGATCATAGATGGATATTGTCGATGAGCTCACCTTGTAACCTAAAGTTCCCGAGTTTTATCCCTGATGGGTGGTGCTGAAGAGTCTCGATATAGGGCTAAACAGTTGTCCAGTACTCCCTGGTTTTAGTCGGTTCATCAACTGAGTTAAATAAATTTTTGTTTCACTCACTGTTAACTTGTTTTCTTTTAACTGGTTTCTTAATTACTGTAGATAAAGTTGGGTCCAATGTGAACGTATCATCATCTATGCATAATACAGAACAACAACAGCAACAACACACAAAATTTGGTTTTCCTACTATCGGTTGGGTTGGAACATCTTCAAAGTTAACAGTACCTAGTTATCCATCAACTAGTACAAGTAAATATTCATCTAGACATTCAGATGGCAATCGACAAACTACACTAATTGCTTTGATTCATCAACAAAATGATATAGACAATATGACTGGTGCAGCAGGTACATCTTCAACAAGTACACTTCGTGATGGACGTAATATTGAATCATTTTGTTTAGAGCAAATGATATCTAGGAAACGTCAAAAAGTTAAAGTAAGTCTTCATTGTCTTTTTGTTTATATTTGTGGTGTTTATTTGATAAGTATACGTTTACAATTGTTATATTTGTCTTCATTTCGATAACAGATACTTTAAGCCTCAGAGGTCGTTATATGATGAAAGCAGAGAATGAAGTGTAAGTTGTTATTAGACCGTCAGTTATGTTACTTTTTACACCTCCATCACTTTTTCTCATATAAGTAGAGAAGAGAAAAAGTAATGGAGGCACAGAAAGTAACACAATTGACGGTCTAATAGCAACCTACACTTCATTCATTCTCTGCTCTGTACTGTTGAGCAATCCGCTCCATCCTCCTTTATGGCTGTGAGACCTGGCCATTGAAAGTGGAAGAAATGAAAAGGCCGGCTAGCTGTCTTTGATCATAGGTGTCTGCGTTCTATCTCCCGTCTTAATTGGTAAAACAAGATGAGCAATATTGAGGTTAGGCTTCGGTTGAGTGAAAGGTAAGGAGGGGAGATCAAACCAAAACATGGCATTAGTCAATGAAATTCACAACAGTTAGTTTAAGCCAGCCACTTAAGGAGGTGTAGATTGGCTGTCTAGTTGGGGTCCTCGGGATGGTAAAAACCAATGGCTGCAGACAGTCGGTGATATTGCTCAAAATCGTTCTCAATGTCGCAGATGCATCCATTCTTTTTGACTTATAATATCCAATAAAATTGTATTGTTCTTCGACATTACTATTCTTTTGGCCTCATATCTCTGTTTTGCATCTCTTTTTACTTTCTTTTCTTTCTTTATGTGCTAAGTGAAGTGTGGCGACTCGAACTGCTGCACATCTGTGGAAGGTTCTATGTTGAAACTAGTCAGTCAGTCAGCCTACTTAAACCACTGAAGTAGTTAAATTTTATGTAGAAATAAGATATCTTGTCAAAGATAAACTTTTAAGATGTTTGCTTAGGAAGGCATATCACTAAATGAAGGATCTTCCTTTTAACAGATTAGCAGTTGTCGACAAGTTAGCCTTCCATAGATGAGGATTCAGGTATCAACTATGTTATCTCTTAACTAACCATTCATAGATATGATTCACAATTTGGAGTGAAGGAAACAAAAAGGGAGTCTGAAATATTGATTCGTGAAGCATTCACTACCACTGACTCTGACTTTATTCAATTGTGTAGAATCAAAGTTAACCTAAATAAACAGTTCTATTGAAAGCGTAAGGATTAGGTGTTGTTAGAGATAAGGATGTTATATGATAATTTCACTCTAATATATGATGGCTTTCAATACCATGGAGATTGAAATGAAGTGACTTTAAGCTCGTAATCGATTACTTCGTAGTTATATGTATGGACCACTGAGAGATACTCTAATACCTTTGATGTATGAATGAGGTGTAAATTGCCAAATGAAAACATGGCATTAATCCATGACTTACTTGACTGTTGATTTGATCTACATAGTGAGCTATAGCCTACCTGACTAGAGCCTGTTAGTGTTACAGCACAGATAAAGATGCATTCACTGTTTGTAATCTCTCAGATCTATTAAATCCTCATTATTCTCTATATGAATATCAAAGAGAGGATCGAGAAAGCAAATCAAGCTTTCATTACTCTCAAGTCTGTGTGGAGGTCAACAGCACTCAGCATGAAAAATAAGACCCGGATTTTAAACTCCAATTTGAGGTCAGTGCTACTTACTATACAGAGCAGAGACTTGGCGCTGCTTCACGAAGGTCACTTCAAACAAACAACAGACCTTCATCAACATTTGTCTTCGCTCAATACTCAAGATCAGATAGCCAGAAAAGATGAGTAGCAGGGATCTCTGTCAATGAAGGAACCAACCCAGCAGGAACCAATTGTGCAACAAATATGCAGGAGGAAATGGAGGTGGATTGGTCATACGCTGAGAAAACAAACCATCAAGTGACATCACACACCAAGGCATTGCTGGAATGGAACCCGAATGAGAAGCGACGAGTTGGTCGACAGTGCGAGGGTGGGGTGACATGGAGGAGGTCATGCAAAGAGGAGTTGACAGCATGTGGGCAGACGTGAAGCCTGGTGAAAACGTTAGCGGTGAGCCGAACATAACGGAGACGTGCAGCTTGAAGCCCTATGTTCCTCTAGGAACTAAAGGAAACAATAATAATAATAAATAATAATAAATTCTCTATGTAATCTTATGTTTTTTACTCCCGTTATCTTCTATTTCTTTTTCTCTACTTTTGTGAAGTGTGGCAGCGACTAGAACCTCCGCACTTTCGTAAAGAATTCTTCATTTCAAAATTCGGCCAGTGAGACATATTTGTGTTCCTTTGTCTAGAATAGAACTGCAAACTGAATGTTTATCAGAAGCTTTTTAATAGATGATGAACTGGGCATAATACGACCATTTTTTCTACCTAAGGTGTGAAGGAAGATACCACAACTTTGTTCTAGAATTATTCCGTTTACCAAAGATTCCATACATCCAGTCCCTTTTATTAGTTCGAACAAAGAAAGGAAAGAGTTCAACTCAGGAAGTGAAAGTCAAAATCAAAATTTTACGCACACGAACAAAACAATTACAATTACCAGGATAGTGAGAGATCAGTCACCCTATCTTTCTGTATACAGAGGTTGAGTTGAAATCTTATGATATCAATAGCTTCTGAGAATCGAAGTAATTGCGCTTGAGAACACTTTGCTGCCCTGCAAACTGAAACTTTTAGGAATATCCTTGGAGAATCTAGTAGACACTATCCTCTCACTCTTTTCACATTTGTTTATCATTAATCTTTGGATGTTTTTATTTTCTTCTAAAACTAGATTATCGATACTAGTCAAATTCTGAATGAACACTTGAATAAATTATCTTGGCCTTGCAAAGAATGGTGTATCCAAAGTTTAACATATGCTGCATGTCGTTCATCTGTTTTTCCCGGTTTAGAGGCTATTCGTGTTCATCGATGGACTCCAAATAATCTTGATGCAAATTCACGATCATTTTGTCATCGTAATATAGCATTATTAGCCTTTCCTGAAGGTCCACCATTACTAGATGGACATTATATAGCTATATGGGAAGATAAAGGCTTAGTAGAAGTCAATGAGGTAGACAACGATGATCCTCTCAGTACTATTACAAACAACAATACTAGTAATAATAATAATAGTAATAATGATAATCAATTCATTATGGATTACTTCCTCAACAATAGAAGCTCACTTACTACAATGAAATAACAGTGATGATGAGTTGAGTTCATTTCCTTGATTTTTTTTTTCAAACCTAGGAATTAATTCTATCACCACACCACACCACACCCTCACACTCCTCCCCCTTAAACACATCTGTTCTGTGTAATGTTCAGGTTTTGTATAGAAAAGGAACACATGCCAATCACATTCACACACACACTTCACTCCTCGTTTTGTATACCATCATCTTATCTCATCTAATGTTCATAATTCATAATGATTAGATTATTGTAATCATATAAACATATAAAAAAGAAAATATTCGTAAAGAGTACACATAGATATAATTCACCTTTCTACATTCTAACGACAATTACTGTTATTATTATTATTACCACTATTACATTTCAGTATGTTTGTATATAAAATAGATATGTACATTGTTTATGTAAATATATACTTATGAATACTTAGAGTTTGAAGTAATCACTTCTTCTGTGTAAAATCCCTTTATGCGGTAAGTAAGTTCTTGTAGTGATGCAGAGATAGGCTGTGAATTACTTCAATTTACTTCGACAATACTTTTACTTTTTTTCTATACTCAGTTATTATTATTACTATTATTGTTCCCTTTTATTTTCTATCTTTACACCTCTCTGTTACATTTCCGTTTTGAGTAGTAATCAATCAAGGCAGTATTAGTAGTAGTAGTAGGTAGTAGCAGTGTGTGTGTGGTTGCTCTTGTCTGCACTTTTCCATGTATCAATTCTGTTTTTTTCTATCTTTCTCTAGTTTGCACTTTCTCTACTTGTAGTATTTTCTGCATACTTCCTGATCTCGACTGTATTCTTTTCTTTGAATCTATCCGCATTTGTTCAACAAAGATATATATATATACATATATAATTCGGGTTTTATTGAGTTATATGTTGTTTTTTCCTTCGTCTTCCTTCCTTCATAGATTTCACTTTTCATTTAGTCATATTCTCGTCTGTGGAGTCCGTATGTGGTATGCGTTTGTGTTGAAGAGGCGTTGCAGCTCTACGCTTATTTCAGCTATCCTTTAAGACACGAACGAGGGTAGAGTAACTCCTTCTTCTTCAGCTTCCTTCATACTACTACTACTGTTATTTTATTTCATGAGTGGAGATTTCTCGAATAACTGATAGTTTGTGTAGGAAAGCTAAAAAGTTAATGGTATATCTATATATATCTTTTCTTCCCTAACATTCATCATCATTATTTTTCGATTGTATCATTATTATTATTATTATTATTATTACTTATTTATTTTATAAAAAATTAATTCTAATCTACTGAATTTTAATTTTGTTTTATTTTCTAAGTTTGATTGCCGTTGTTTTTGTCATTTCAGAATACATATATTGGGGAAGAGCATTACTCTGTTGGGTGGATACAGAGATGCTAAATATGCCCTATTATTATTATTATTATTATTATATTATTTATTAAAAATACAAACTTGGTACACTGTGAACACCAAGAGATACTCTACAAAAAAGTGTCATAGTTTCATAGAGGGCTGATGTACTGCACGGATGCCTGGACTTTGTGATTCCTTAGCTTGAATTCCAACCCACAAAGCAAGTCGCCTTGCGTTCCCATGGTTTCCGGTAAAGTTCATGTACACTATAGATTCGGAGTCAGGATTTTCCAGCTCCTTTAGGTATCCCTGGAGGTCCACTAGTCCGGTTTCTAAGCGCCAAACGTTTACATTCACTCTTTCTCTTTTGTGAGAAACACGTTTTGCGCGTGAACGTACTGAATAAGAGTTACCTGGTAGAGGCTATGAACACTTGGCTACATAAAAGCATTTCGAGAGAAAGACGAAAGTCTACTCTCTCACTGTTTCAGTAGTACCACGTCGTTTATGGGGACAAGTCCTCCCTATACACCAAAGCTATACTAATTAGTGCACTAAACAAAATATGCTGACTACATCCTCAGTGAATATTAATTGTTATGCCGCTTCTGGGGTTTTTAAAGGACTGATTTGACCTAAAATGTCGAATGTTGTTTATATTTTAGACACTACTAGTAGAACGCTCGGTATTTATTTCTTCTTGTCTATATATTATGAAATGTCATCTATGATATTAGAATATAAACCTTGAGAGCTATTCAAGTTGGTAGGTTTAATATTCATGTCGGCATTTCTTGTCTTTTGTTCCTATTTTTAACAGAGTTCTATCTTTCAGATGTGATTGAAAATGTTTAGAACTGAAAGTAGCCAGAATGCATAATTTTTTTATCATACTGTTGATTCATTTTAACGGGATTTTTGTTATAATCACTCCGTAGACAATCATAAATTTTTTCAGTAGAACTTAATACATTAGAGGCTTTTCCTCAAATATACAATCGAGTCTTAACACTTAGAAGTGTGTGATGCAATACATGCGTTTAAACCGTGGAAAATACCCATCATAAACGAAGTTAGAAAGTTGTGTGAGTACCATGATCTGATTATGACCAATAAATTGTGCTCGAAACATCATCAGTACATATTACTGTATAACACTGTGAGATTTTATCAAACTAAATTTTACGCATAATGGAATTGTACTCTACTACAGTGCACAAGTTCTATTCTACTACCCATCAAAAAGTTATAGAGAAACGAAAAAGAGTCTCAGCAAAGGTATCTCTTTGGTGAATTCACCTTCAAAAGCTGTAGAATCTCATTTTTATACATACGTTTACATAGTTATATATATATATATATGTATATATATATATATTTATTTGAGTAATATGTGAAATAGTTTTATAACGAGGACAAGTATGTACGGGATGTGCATAGAAACAAATTGAAATAGTAGTTTTTATTACTGAAAATGAAGGAAATGAAAACAATTGCAGACGGCAACTAAGGTGCCAAACGAAACCAGATCAGTAGCAAATGTCGAGATTGAAGCAGATTTTTTTGAGCGTCTCACTCCGGCTTTTCGATGCAAATGGCGGAAGTTTCTGCAACACAAAAGAGTGAGAAACATGCTTCCTTTGGTAGATATTTGCATACTTTGTCAATGACTATGAATGATGAGTCAGTTGAGGTGGTGTGACAAGTGTTGACGAAGTGTTCAACTATGGCGCTTCTGATTGAACCAGTTCTGCTTCTTTACATTCATGCTGAGTAGCGTTCAGTAACATGTTTTGAAAGGACGCGCATAGAACGACCTATATACGTAGCTCCATAGAATCAAGTGAATTCATATATATATACACATTGGAGTGGTTATATGCGTGAGTTTGTCCTTCGATGTTCTTTCTATACACATCCCATTTGTACTTGTCTTCGTTAAAATCCTTTTTACATTTTGTGTCACCATTTTCTAATGTAATTTAGTTCCTATACCCCTTGTGATCTGTATTTATATCAAGGTCAAAAATTTTGTCACCTTCAATCTCTCTTCGTTACTATTTTGAGTTAAATAACGTTGGCAACTAGATAAACTAATGTATAAAAATGTGGTTACACAGCTTTTGACGACGAAATCGCCAAATAAGATACCTTTGCTAAGCAATACATCTAGTGCACACATTGTGTTTGCACTATATTATTATTCGTGTGCTATCTGAACCACTTTATATCCAATTTTTGTAACTTTCAAACATCGTGCTGTATATGGAGGAGTAATACCGATAGGTTTCGTTTTCATCATTGTTGTGTTGAACAGATCTGATCATCTATTCAGGATTTCGTTTATTCAAAATGATTCAGTGTGGTATTTATCTCTCACTGCTTGAATCCAGCTCACCTTCAGTCACTCTGTTATGTGGTAGTCCTATAGCGTCTATTGGGCCGTTAAATGTTCATCTTTCATTCAGCAATCTTTTATGTGTTTTTTGGGTTTGTTTATCTCTCATCTGGAGATTCAAGAAAATTCATTCTACCATATATAGAGAATATCTCTAAAATAGCGTCTAGAATACTAAAATCATTTCAAATAGATGCAACACACAACCCGACACAATCACTTTATTCAATATTGTGCAGACCATAGGACCCAACAGCAAAAGAAGATATGATTAGCACCGTTTACAAAATAAATTGTATAAGCAATACATTGGTCAAAGTGGGGGTGCCACTTCAAATCACAATCGAAGAGCACAAGTTAGCTGTAAAAAAGGCACGCTATGTATTTTTTTCATATCGATGAGTGTAGACAATTATGGACACCATTTTGATTGGGGGAATGTAGAAATTTTTGACAGGAGAAACACCAAAAATGCCAGGGAATTTCTACAAGCCTGGTACTCAAATGAATCAGCGATTACCTAACACATTACTACAAATCAAATTTACCAAATAATAAACAATAAATCACATGAAAGTTCAAATTCCAAGTCAAAAAACATTATCAGTAGAGACAGGTGTAAATTAACAACCAATCACGACAATTGTTGTTGCTAGGAGATACAATTATATTGCACTCACTCCCAGATAATTCAAACAAGTTCACTTTATATTAATGCCCACACTGATGAAGTTATCTAGTAGGACAATGAAAGCGTTGGTTGAAGGATTTCATTATGAGCTGACATCAGTTAGATAAGCACTGGAATATCTGGGAGTACTGAACAGCTGTTTCATCCTAGTTTTGGACCCTTCATCAGTGCGCACCCACTGGGCTTGAACCCTACTTGAAAATTAATCTGATGCTCACTAGTGACTGGCCCTATTCAGGCAGTGACCTGGGGTTCTAGTGCGAAGCCGTGACCAGTACGGTACGGCAGGTTGGACATGAGGCAGTAACTCATCGAAGAAGACATTGCGAAATGGTCGCGCTATGTCGTGAATTGGCAGAAGTTAGAATTCACAAGCTGGCCATTGGATCGGGTCTCAGCGGCTGAATGGTTTACGAGCTCGCAAGCCTTGTAACCAGAAGGTTGTGGGTACGAAGTTTGGCGGTAGGTGCGTACTGATGAAGAGTTCCAAACTAGGATGAAATAGCTGTCCATCACTCTCAACTTTTCCGGTGGTTCTCTAACTGATATCAGCTCATGATGAAATCCTTCAACCAATCAAACAAAATCCCTACAAAACGAATACTTGAAAAAGAAAAATTTGCAATTAAATCAACCAGCTCATAAAACACAACCAAATCAGTGTGTATATGATTACCAATAGGCAGAATGACGAGAAAATTTGACACTTGACGCCTTCCTTCTTGATTTAGTTGTCTAGTGCTATTCATTTACTTGTATTTTTCGTAATTTTTCTTTTCTTCGCCGTTGGAAAGCTATCGGTTTGGCTACTATTGATTCTTAAAGTTTTAAGAAAAAGCGCTTCCAGTCTGTTTGACATACTTGACTCTCTTTGAATTTTGCTTGTTTTTTCTGAACAGAAACGTGATTTGTGTATGTTTTTTTCAGTTAGAAAGATTCTAAGCGTGTAAATATAGAATTTCAATTCAGTGTTGATTTTTTTTTGGTGGGGGGGATTGTTATGAGCAGAAGCAACATTGACAAATAGTGGAATAAACCATTGAAAGCAATGGCTGTGAATAGGGATGCATTTTGCTCTTCAGTGCTAAGTTCGGAATTATGTCTTTTCTGTTTGAGTATAGGTATGATACATTGACGTACTTCTTGTTGTACTTCCTCATTTAATTTTGATAATTTGAGTGATGAAAACACAAAAACGCAATTATCAACTTCGATAGAAC